CCAGTCTAGAAATCTTCGTCACCTAGCATCAACAACAAAATCCAGTCGGATTTTCAATACAGACGTCAAGTCAGTCAGTTCTTCTATACAGATCAGAAACTTGGTGAGTCTCAGAGAATATTTCCAACAGCCTGTTGACACTGTCAGTGCTGACTATCGCAGTACACATTCCACTCACGGCGAGTTTAAACCTGAAGAAGTGCCAAAACTATTGTCACGCATTTTTCTGTGCTGACAGTGTTTAATCTTAAGTGATTTCGAAATCTAGTAAAATTACCAGCCTCAGGTAAGTGTCTTAACATATCAGAAACAGGGTTCGGAGTTTCTATGGCACGGTTGATGTTTCACGCGAATGAAAAAGACTTTGAGTCTAGTCCTATACAGCGTGGGCCGTAGCCTTATGAGGTGAAGATGTACGCTTCATCACCTCTGTGTCCAAGCAGTCAGTCATCGTTGCGATTATCCGGAAAAAATTGGGGATGTTTTTTCCAAAAGGCAGACAAGCTGGTCTAAATCCGCAAGTTTTCCTGAGTTGCATCCAACTGTCCCGACCTGCTCAATATCATGCCAGTCTTTAATGATATTTGAACTCATCATCAAATATGCCTAGTTTCGTCTGTATTCCCCTAATTTGCTTCCGAATTTCGTCAACAAGGCATTTGAAATTACAAAATTCAGCGTTCTCTAACAGGACGTCTTTCACATGTATTGAGTATGTGATCTGGACATTTGATGAGGCAATAGTTGCTACTATACAGGAAGCTGGAATTAATATAATATATTTCACATAAATTAAGCATTTACATGATTCACATACCGTTTGTACAGACATGATCATATTAGACAAGTGCAGTCTGAAATTGAACACTGTTTTATGACTTTAAAAATTGGAAAATGACCTCTAGAAACTTTATAAGAATAGAATATAAGACTTTGGTTTAAGTCTAAATTATAGTATGCGGGAATTATGAAATTTTGCGTTAATGGAATGTAAGAAGAGAGGTGATATACAGGTGCTAGAGTAAGACACACTGAATGTAGACCGTTATTATTATCATTTTATCAATCAATAATGGTTCGTAAGTTTATAAAAATCCTTATTAGATGGTAAGTACAGCATTATATTGGTATTAGCAGATACAAGGGACCAATTGGTCGCAAAGTTAACTTTGCGATGTTGAACAGAATTCAGAATGGAATTTGTTCCGTTGTTCATCGTAAGTGCTAACAATATTCTGGATACCGCTCAAGTAATACAAATGTAGAAAGCAGCATTACTGTTCATTTGCAGTGCTTCAATGCAATACCTTCGAGATGTGAAGAAAACAGAAGGAGACAGAGGCGGCCAGCAGATAATAATAATTTAAGCAAACAATATGCGATAACCGTAGGGTTTATTCTCCTTATTTATTACTAGGAATTTCTAGTCATTGAGTTTTACGGTGTTACATACTAACGGTTAGTTTAAGTTTATAGTAGTAAACAACAACTGAAGTGTAGGATAACAATAAAAAAAGTAAAAATTAGGGCGAAACGAATCATGGTTTTCACTATTATATAGGGTAATGTTGGGAATAGAAACGGAAGAAGCGATATCCAAATGCCAAAGCACACAAGGTATTTAGAAGAAAAGAGGAAGTACGGTAATACTGATTTATGCTGTTGTTCTGATTTATACAGTTAGATGTCCTCCTGAAGTAGAAAAATGAGTCATTTTTTCAAAGAGTTTGTACACAAGCTGTGACATACAGGCAGCTTTTATTTTTTATTTTATCATTATTTTTTGAAGTAATTCATCCTCAGGAGCCTTAGCAGTAGAGTGCATTCCCACAGATAAGGATGGTTCTCTTAAGTCCCCACCATCATATCCGCTGAATAGCTGTCACCACCCTCCCTCCTTTAGTGCTTCTGTATTCGTACTGACATGTATGAAGTAATAGTGCTGTTGGCCTATACTTTACCGACACCTGCTTATTTTGACTATAACATTCCTGTAATGAGTAACAAGGACAGTGATATGACTGTAATTTGCTACGCATATTTGTTGTTATTTATTTAGACAGGTTATAAAGGTTGTATTGCAGCATGTCTTCTGTGCATTAATAGAATGATGATGAATACCTTGGGCATATAATCCCATCTGGAATTGGGAAGATTGAATAATGGGTGATGAGATTACACCGCTAACATTTATCGTAAAAAATTCACCTGAAAACTTCTGGACTTTGAAGGATACTGACAAGCTTTAGTGTGACGAAAGGATGGACGCATGAATATTGCACAACACCCCATGATGTTGTTCGATGTGACCAAAGGACACTTAGTAGGCCAAAACAGAATAACAATCAGAAATGCAATTCGGGACCGCTGGTGTTCTGCAGTTACATATGCTTAAGCATTTATGTATTAAGCACGATCAATTAAAAGTAATGTATAAACTCTCAGGAAGAGAATCTTTGAAATATAATATATAAGCCTCACACTCTTCCTACAGTCCTCGTGATCCAAGAAACTACCAGTGGGCTGTGTGTTTATCTATTTTAGGGGACTTGATTAACCGTCACATATCATCGACTGTGTTCGTGTTTGTTTTCATAAACGAATATTACTGTTACACTTTACCGCGACTATCACCTGTGTCGCTACGTGGCTGTTTATCTCAAGGTCACTGGGGTCATAAAATGACTTACAAGGTGTCCGTGAGTAGGCCATAATCATTAGTTTCATTTCAATTCATTATGAAGTATCTTCAAAATATTTGTTTCTTTTACGTATCTGCATGATCATTGTAATTCACAACACATGATTAAAACCTTCGTTGATGCACCCTTTTTTTAAATAGATTAATATATTGTGAAGAAATCTCTTCCATCTTTAGGGAATATAAACATATTATTAGTTTTCCGGATATTTTTCAATGCTGAAATAGTAGCCTAAAGTTAACTTCGGGCTAATAAATATGTTTTTAAGTTTTTGTTTTGCACGTGTTATCAGTAAATTCCTCCTTGGAGAGCAGTTGTAAAATAACCTACCATAATCCAGTTGCGTTTATGGTAAACGGCAAACTACTGCTGCATACAATGTAAGGACTGAAATTAATTTGGAAAATAATTTTACAACAGAGTTAGACAACTGTATTAACGAATAGTGTAAAGCGGCAAACCATTTATTTCCATCCTTAAGTGTTATTTTTGGCTCTCATATTTGAATTGATGATAATGGGTTTCTGTAAAATACTTGAACAAAAGCCAGATAATATTTCCTAATGTATAGGAATCTAGTATTAACAGATGAGTGAAATCAAAAATTTATCATCGAAAGGTATATGTTAATATTTTGCTTATGTCTTAATGTTATCCTTAGTTCGTTAAGGGACAGCACAAATCGGTTCAAGCTGAATGCAGTTTTTTTGACGTATATATTCTGTATGTAGTTAATGCAGCCAGCTGATATCTTAACTGGTGCATAATAGTGCACATTTAATGGTGCCTAAGAGCTAAATCATAATTCAGTTTGATTTTTAAAGTGAAAATTAATAACAATTTTTAAGCAAACTAAGCGTTATATTGTGGTTTACATTACTTAATTAACATGTACTGAATGGTAAAAATTGCACGTATAAATTTGGTATTCATATTCAGTTTGTTTAACATTTTGGTACGATTAATAGTAGTATGTCTCAGACTAGAGTATAAATACCATGATAATACCATCAAATCAATGTGCACCTTGATGGCGAGCCACCTAAAATGGTGGCCACATGGCAAACCTTACTGATAGAATTTAGTCTGCACCAAAGAAAGAACCAGACACGTCGCACTGGTTACGAGTGTTCAATCAAAATACCCACTACAATCCCACAGGAGGTTAATCGCGAGCCCGAATAGCTGGCTCAGTGGTAACGTCTCTGACTGCAGCAATGGTTGACGTGGGTCCGAATCTCAGAAGGGACATGACTCCCTTCAAAATTGCAGATATACCTTGCTGACTGATGAGTGCCAACTAGCACAAAACCTAGGTCGAAGAAAGGCTTCCTGTGGCTGGTTGCCTCCAACCATCTAATATCATGATTGTATTGGTATGCAGTGAAATGGATGGTTCTGACTAAGTAGTTGCATTGTGTGAAAAGAGATAATCACATACCTAAGACCGATCATAATTCGAAGAAAGTGGAATTCAGTACCTTTGAATTTTTTAATCGTTCACACTGAGATTTCACCACAGTCAGAATGATGAATTCGAATGAATAAGGCAAGCATTGCTAGTGAATAACTACCTACCAAAATTTATTCAGAAATATCTAAAGACGCGTAGAGAAAATAACTATAGTAATGAAAGTGATAAAAATAATATAAATAATATGGAGTTCAAATCCTCAATAGTACCGCCATATAAATAAGATTTTGTGAAGTCAGGAATCAGGGTGGCCTTTAAACCAACCAATTCACCTAGAACCAAACTTTGTAGGCTTAAAGGCCCAGTAGATCCAATTTGGAAAGACAATTCTATGTAGTGACTGTGACGTCAGTTAGATCGGTTAAACTTGTGTATTCGATGTCGGTGAGATTACCGGAACATAGAAATTTAGCTGGAGGTAGAATGACTGGCCCTGCTAAGTTTAATAACGGAGGAAAAAGCTCGGCCGTTGCCTTGCATTTACATGCATTTACTACTGCATTAGTGAGTGTTATCTGATATAGAACTACATTTTATGGAACTATACTCTTGTATTTCTGTCAGTATCTGGTACAATTCAATGTATTCCGTTGATTTGTCCATTAGTTGTCTGTCTATTAGTTAAACTGTTCGTGTACGATAAATCTATGTTGCTATATTTTCCTCCCCAAAATGCCGGCTGATTTAAATAATGCATCATGTATTTTAATAGTTACTTGTTCTTCCACTTATTTAATGCATAACTTTTCGTTTTTAGGTCGATTAATTGTGAGTTCTTACTGATGTAACTATTAGCAAATTAAGAAAAAATAAGTCAGTTCAAAATGCAACGGTTTTTCAAGTTGGAAACTTATGTTGGAAAATTGCTTATGAGTTATCTCAATAAATATGTAAAACTGCGTGAAGATCAATTCGCAATGTCTATATGGGATGGTGATCTTATACTAACCCAATTAGATTTACGATTAGATTTTCTGGAGGATATTATTCCTTTTCCAGTTAATTTTCGTTCTGGTCGTGTACATGAATTACGAATTCATGTACCATGGACTAAGCTGAATTCTGAATGTATTGTTATCTCATTACATACTGTAGAATGTATTTTTGGACTGAAAAAACGTGACGTCAAAAAAACCAATCAAAATAATCAACTTCCAGCTAATTTTGCTGATATCTGTACATATAAAAGTCAACAAATGCCAACAAATGTTCCACCTGGTTATTTAGAGATTTATATCCATCGACTTCTTTCTAATATTCATTTTGTTGTTCACAATTTAAACTTAAAATTCATTGAAGAAGACATAGTACTGTCGGTTAGTGTAAACAAGGCTGATTCCTTTGTCACTGATTCTAACGGTAATCCTATTTTTGCTGATATAAATCCTTGTTCCACCTATGCAATTCATCGTGTTGTACAGTTTTTTGACCTCACTGTATGTCTTGATCGTGCAGGACCCAATGGTTACGTTGAAGTGTATGAAGATCCTATAGCCTATCGATTCAGTATGTCATGTTTCCTTCAAGTGGTTTGTATACCTAATGCTAAATCATCATCGCTGATTAACCAAACAGTGCTGACTAATTTGAAAATACATTGTCAAACGTTTGTTGCGCATATTAGTCCAGCTCAGATTCCTTTATTATGCAGACTTATACAAGTTCTGCTGAGTGTAAGCACAGAGACATTTGACTGGTCTATCTTAGACTCTTGTTCACATGACAATACAAAAAGTGAAACAGGCAGTTCAGATAATTCCTGTACACAAATCGGTGAATTAAACAATGAAACTGACAAATCAGATACAGAGACACAGTCATGGGCATCATGGGTTTGGTCGTTTGTTCCCACCATTCTCCCAATGAATGAAGATTCGGATGAATCAGATAGTGAGTCTATAGATAGCTATACAAAAGAACCTCAGTTAGATACTGAGTGTTTCAAACAACTTATACAGTGCATCTTAGAGGATACATATGAACAAGAAGTTGCCGCACAATTATCAGTTCATGATCCCAGTTATGATGAGGCATTGAGTCCTTCAAATACTCATAATACACCTCATTTAAGTCATTCACGTTCTTCTGAGGAGCTTGGTGATAATACATCGCAACTGAAGATTCACAGGCCAAGTAAAGAGGAGTATTCGCAGACAAGACGTCGAAAAATTAGACGTCTTCGGCGTTCTGCTTCAATGGTTCCTGTCTTCATTATTGGAATTTACTTCGATAAATTTGATTTAAATATTTCTGTAAGTGAACATTTGATTTGACATAATGAGTGGTTGTTAATTTACTCGTTTGGATACTTTGACACATTTTCATGGAAGACAGTTGTCGCAAATAGGGAGTAATTGCTCGTTTTGGGAGACAGATTCAACTATGTAGAATGATATGGTAGAGTGATCACCAACTACACGCGTGGTCCTGAGTTTGACTTCTGGTTGATAGTAAACCCGGTACAAAGAGAAGGGTAAGCGCGATACCAGCAACTCCACCCTTTGAAAACAAACAATCACTACTGAAACTTCGGAGCTCAAGCTTGAAGCTCCATGTTCCACTCGGAACGCGAAGGAGTGAAAAAAGTAGTGTGCAATGTGATTCATGACGCTTTGGAAATCCTGTCTTTCACATAATAAAAAGAATAGTCGTGTTACATCTATTATATATTATATATATATTACAAAATGAAATTCCCGGCGTTATTCAAAATGTAGCTACGTACTTGAGATACTTTCTTAAAAGCCATATATATATATATATATATATATATATATATATATATAGTGAAACATTAAAAACCACGGAGTAATGGACATTTATTTCGTTCTTGTTTGAAATTCCTCAGCAGTATGCACACATGACCGCATCAACGATCAAACCCTGGTCCTTCAGGTTACTGGGAAGCCCGCTACTTTTTTGGCATATATATGTATATAGAAAATAATTATGTTTTAGTTTAGTGCCATATTTATTACCTTTTAAATAATCAAGTTAACGTCCTCTCAGTAATGAATGTGTTTCTTAAATCATTAAATTTACATTTAGCTGCCAAGTCCTAGAGGTTTCTCCTGTCCGTCTTCAAATTCAGGTATTCGATCACGCCGTAGCAAACGTCAATTTCATCATTCTGTGCCAGCAATAAAGTTTGAATTAACTGTGAGTTTTTATTTGACAAAAAGTTGATTTTGTGGAGTTACAGTTTGCAACTTTGTTCATCTATAAATATTATACGTTTTTCGAATAGTTTTTAGGGTATTTGTCGACGGGTGAATATATGATCAATACATCCATTATTCCGGGCTTGCCTAATTTTGACGTGTTTGCTTCTCCCGAGCACATCTTAGTCTGCTCATGGTTATTGAACCTAGATGCTATGCTAGTCGAGCTAGTCCTCATATGATCAGCACAGGGAAAATTGTCTTCCATTCTGTTAAGTCGGACTAGTCCAGCGGCACTGTCTCAGATTCCTACACACTATCTATTATCTTATTTCTCTCAGTCTATAGTTCACCACTGCCATCCTTAAGCACATGTATAATCATATCTTTAGATACCGCTGCTTTGCCTTGTTGCAGATCAGAGACAGTCCTTGAAGCCTCAGCTACAGTTGAAGAACTGGTGTCTATGTCCCTTACAGCTAGGTGTTAGATGGTGGGGCAACTTAGTGTGGCTGTAGGCCCTTTGAATAACTTCTCACTGTGTCCCGTGGAAAGTTCCAGTCGTGTATTAGAACACCATTCTTCTCGGGAGTTATTTTGCTTTCCGTTTCCATAGTGACTTCAATTAGTTGTCTGGTAATACTTACCTCTGATGCCCTTCCCATCCGTTTTGCTTTTCTTCCATACTGCTGTTCACGTTCATCGCAAAAGCTTTTAGTCAGCTTTCGTTTCCTGTCATGTTCAAAACCCTCCAGAATATATCTTCTTGCGTCAATTAGTTCGGATGAAGCAGCAGAGATTCACTAGCATTTAATAACCTTTGGTTTTAGGTTATTGACACCCTTTACAACTGTTTCTACAATCGAATGGATGTTGTACCAGGCTTCCTCAGGATGAGTATCACTCCGAGTCATAGATACACACTTAATTCTTTGTTTTCTAAATAAAGACTTTGTGTTCTTGTCAAGAAGTTGGAGGTGCAGAGGTTTCGAGCTAGCCGTTTTCAGTGCCTCTTCGGTCTTAGGTTTATACGCACGTGGACTAGAGCATGATGGGAGCCTGCGCAGGTGTTCCGGAAGGAGCTTCAGTTTTCTACCGATCATCTGCATCTGCAACTTAAAGCTATATGATCTATCGTTGAATTGATAATGGTCACCAGATTAGGCAATTTCTGTCCGTATGTTTGTAGTTAGTGCTGACTAGAAACAGAAAAATATCTGAACAAAGTTGTAAAAGATGATCGCCGTTGTCGGTTCGTGCGCACATGACTTCATACTCGCTACCGATATATTTTCTGACTGGCACAGCTTCCTCACTTGAGCATTGAAGTCACCAGCTAAAATGACTGTATATGTCTACAGCAGCAAACTAGACAGCCTTTGATTGATTGAACTCATCTTTAACTTCGTCCGAACTACAGTCGTTTGGTGGGGTGGGTGGGTGGGTGAAGGATAGGTGGAGACTATGAAAAAAAGCATCTACTATCCACTGGGTTCCAATTAAGTAGGGATTTTTCTGCCCTATTGCTCAGTGCTATTCCCATAGAAAAAAGAGTCCACGTGAACTAATGGGAAAAAATCTCCTGTCGTGCGCACGATGAACTTTACAGATTCACCATCTTGGCAATTTGGGGGATAAATCGAGTAATAACACTTAAGTCTTGTATGAGTATCTCCGAGACAACATACATTGATTGTTCTAGTTAGTGTAACCTGTTTTCCGATTTGGCAAAGGGTTCTAATGTTAATTGCTCCAACTTAAAGTTGATAGTGTACTTCTAAGTGATTATCAGCGGTGTTTTTCCTTCTCTTGTCGCTATTTGTGTTTGTAGAGTTAAGAGAAGATTAAGGACTTGCCTCTGGTATATTATTAACGTTAAGAGGAAAACAAGATGGTGAAAAATGATGGAGGTGAATGCTAGTTAGGAAAGCTTTGTGAGCTAATGGAAGTATGCGGGTGGTTTATTACTTTCCGCTGGCCAGACTAAGGAATTTGCTTCCTTCTTGGGGTATCTGAAGCAGATGGAGAATTAATATTGTGTGACGATTGAGCGCAGAGGACAGCTTCTTGGGGTCGGTTACACACGACCTGTTTGAAGGAGTGGTCTTTGGAGTTGCTTCCATGATAAAGATCTTACCACCACAAGGTGGTAAGTCGACACGTGCAATTTTCGATGTCAGCGTCTACTAACCCACCTCCTCAGAGAGGGAAGGTAGCATACTTGGCTCTCTGTTCGTCCATGGGAAGTACCTCACTGTTTTTGCATTCCTGTTCGCTGACAGTACGACCTGGCTATCAGAATCCCAACATAGTATGGGCGACTTACACTATGATGATAACTGCTTTTAGTCCAGCTGCCATCCGAACGATATTTCTAGCATGGTAAGACCCACAGGAACATTCTTTCTAGCCAGTGTAATTACTTGGATTGTTGAGATACACAAGCTTGGCCACTACTACAACAAGGTACCAGCTCTATCTGTCGGGTCATGTCTTAATGGGTATCTTTTGCCCTGATTATTGATTTGCCACACAACTCTCAGAACCACAATGAATGTTAATGTATATTAATTAGTCTGTTGTGTTTAGCCTTGAAAACTACTAAACACTATAGTTTTGTTTAAATACTTCTTATTTGTATTTGGCTATTTTTCTCGGATGAAATGCTTTTAGGACATTGCCTTCCAGACAACCCTACGTGATGTATACTTTCGTCTTGTTCAACTTGGAATTCGTGGATTTCATTGTTATCCAGTGGGATGTGTTTGTTGCTGTGGACAGTCGGAGTATGCAAACAATTCACAGCGTGATACTGTTCATATTTCAACAGTTGACAGTCTCAGTTCCGGTAGTACGAATGCATCAAAATGTCCTGTATCAAAGGCCTGTACGTATGATGATAATGTAGGTTATATAATAATAATATGCTATTTTTAATCGCATACAGCTATTTTGGATGTAATAGATAAATCAGTTTGGGCCATAGGAGTTATTAAGAAGACAATTGCAGCGAAGAAAATTTTCTTTTCGACGAAGTCATCATCTAGGCTGTACATTCGTGTATTTATATCAAATGGATGGGAAAGTTCCAGAATAATTTCCAGTTAAGGGACAAATTAATAAAAATTAAAGTTAGGAATTAAAATGCCATAATAAACAGGGGACGGATAAAACTCAAATAAAGTAGCATCATGATAGCTAAGAAGATTGACATTGTGCAATTAGGGGTTAGAAATGTAGAAATAACAAAATAGACAGGATGTTTGGATAAGAACTAATGTGGTGAATAATTGTTTATGCAATCAGGGATTAAATATGATGTAGAAATAGTAAAATGACAAAATAAACACGAAGTTCGGGTATGAAAATATGGTAGTGTAAACAGGGATTAAGAAAAACTTAAAAAATAACATGAATAAACAGGAAGTTTAGATAAGAAAGGCGATGGATGGTCATTACTAAAAAATTACCTGCTTATGATGGTCATGGCAGGGACAGGGGTTGGATGTATTTCTTTTGGATACAAGCATGGGTTTGAGCTTTGGGATAGCTAGCGCCTCGGCTTTGCCCAGATGTCTTGATTTCATTCCCTTTGATAGGTTTGATTGAATCTTGAATATTACTTTGAAGGATTTTCCGAAAGGCGGTGAATGTCCTGAATTGACTAGATGTTCTGTCACTGAACTGTATACACGCTTTTGGTCTCCTTTTACTAACCAGGCTGGGTAGTGTTCACGAGCGCGTTTTCAAGTCGGTGCATGGTACGACCAACGTACTCAGCTCCACAAGAGCAAGTAAACTGGTATACACGTTGAGGTGGCCCAATGCGACAGCTTGTGTTTAGCGTTCTGGCTGAACAGTTTCTTGCAGGAAAACGTCAGTCGTAGGCTCGCGGTGAAGTATGTTTTCCTTAGCGATTTGGAGAGGCGTTTACGAAGGATTTCTGCTTCAATATCACCTTTGAATTCTAGATTAAGCAGAAGTATTTCCTTTGGAACGGATTGGACTTGTTTGGAAGTCTTCTTAGGTTCTTCTTCCCGTCCATTTGATATAAATACACGAATGTACAGCCTAGATGATGACTTCGTCGGAAAGAAAATTTTTCGTCGCTGCAAGTGTCTTCTTAATAAATCAGTTTGTTATATTATTTCACATTGTAGTTAATGCTGATGATGTTCAAAAGGACTCTATTAAAGGTTCTCAACTAAACTGTACAGTTCAGTGAACGTAACGACCTCCAAATGCTTTATTGTATTCGTATTTATAGCTATTCGTTGGAATTGTTAAAAACAAAGTGAAATATGTTTTTTTTTTCTTTTGTATTTCTTGAGTTCCGAGTAAAACATAGAGCTTCAAGCTTCTAAAGCCTCATCAGTAGAAATGGTGCTCATCTTTTATGAAAGAGCTTCTCTTGAAATGCCACAATGAATGTCCACTTTTTATTCAATAAGGAATTATATAGACAAATCGATGGTGTGGCAATGGGGTCACCACTAGGGACCCATTCTAGCCGACATTTTCTTTGCGAAACTAGAAAATGGGCCTTTGAAGGATGTTATTAATGAACTCGAATTCTATTGTCGGTACATGGATGATACATTTTTGATTATGAAAAATGAGGAGGAAGTAAAGAACATCCTAGATAAATTTAACGAGGTTCATCTGCAATAAAGTTTACTATTGAGAAAGAAGAAGACTCGTATTTCATTTCTAGACTTCCTTATAATCAGAAAAGAGGATGGCACAATAAGAAGTGTACATAGAAAACCTTCATCAACTAACTGGTCAGTATACTCATTTTTATCAGCTTCGTGCCGTTGAAATACAAACGCAATCTGATAAAGTGATTAGTTCACGGAGCAAGAGCAATCTGCTCGGATGAATATCTTGATGAGGAACTTAATAGTATCAAACGGTTGTTGAGTGAAAGTGGTTATCCAGAAAAGTTTATTGATAAGAATATGAATCTAAAATCAAAGCAGCCCAAGGTACCAACAGTTCCTATAAAGGCCTTATTCTTACAAGTGCAGTTCCTTGAGGACAACATCAGAGAGATACTAACACAATGTCATAGAAATGCGGTAAAAAGCGCATTCCCTGTTACCGAATTACGCTTTGTTTTCGAAACCACTCTCTTTTGCGTTCGGGAGTAAAAGACAAACTGCCTAATTTCTCCTCTTTCATGTGCATCTAACATTTCAACTGCTCCTGTGGAGTGAGCCAGTTACATAGGCCGTACAATTAGGCGTGTTTCTCGTTGGATTTCCGAACATCACCCTGTGTGGTTAATCAAAGGACAAACAAAATCTATCCGTAGCGTTATTCTATCTCATCTTGTGGATACAGAACACAAGACTGATGTTAACAAGGCGGCTTTCAAAGTCATTTACCGCATACCGACAAATCTTAACTTCTCTTTAAGAGTTCGTTTACTAAATATTGCTGGGGCAGTTGGAATCCACATTAAGAATCCTAATTTATGCATCCAAAAGCAGTTAGTTCAAACGTTATCCTTACCATAGCTATCTAGGTTTGAATGATCCTGAATTTTTGTGGAATTTTCCTAATTTTAGTTGATATTCTGTTTGCTACTATATCTTTATTATTATTATGATTTAGCATCTTTAATGAACTGTAATTCCATTTATCTTACTTTACAAATCAATATCATTTAATCTAGAACATTCTATGTATATAAACATATACATATAATTGTAGAACCAGAAGAGGAATTTATAGAAAAGAATATTCTTTGCTCAATTATATTGTGTTTTATAGAAATGGTGTTGTTTCTATGGTGCAGGGTTGCTGGCATCATGTCGAACTCTCCCTTTTTTTCCTGGATTACTACTGGTCAGCAAACCAAGTGAAGTTTTAGGCGTGAGTAGTCCCGGAATCGAACCTTGAGCCTACTGAGTGATTGGCGAGTTTTTTTTATCACTTTGAATTACCCAGGTAATGGATTCTTAGGATCTCAAGGATTTCAGTTGTACGCACCATCCTGTTTGTGATTTAATCATCTTCTAGTTATGTGGGATACAACTGAACTTAATCAGCTGGTTGTAAAAGTGTTTAAGGTGTAGGAAGTTTGAAAATGTATTTTAAATCATGTTGAAGGGGAGTAATCAACTAATTTGTATCGTCACTAGGAACCAAAATGCCGTGTCGGTTGGCATTCGGTGACTAACCTGCATATTTGTATTGTCTATAATGTCAGGGAGTTTTTTTTATCTAAAGGTCTAATTCTTAAAGTTTTTAGCTTCAGTTGGAATTGAGTTTTGTCAAATTTACAGATATTCTCCTTAATAATGCATGTCAATAAGTGACTGACAATTATCAAGCATTGTAATCTTTTTCTTGTGCATTGAATTTAAGTATGAGTATACGACGTCAAGCAGTATAGCTGAGAATGTCAAAAGATAAGCAGGATCGAAGAAGCAAGACGAATCTTCATTCATCTGAAATCAATGTAAAAATCTACTGCACCCCCAGCACAAGGAACACGATCTGGATTTTCAGGTCAGGTCACCAAAAGCACTTCCAGCAAGTTGCAGACTTTTATAACAGCTATTCGTACTGAAGATCAAATAACCGTCGATAAAGGCTAAGTAGAAAATAACTCTAGCAACGAACCAACCAAGAATCTATCACCCTACAAAATATACCAAAGAAAATGGAGATGGGTTGGAAACACTTTGAGGAGACCGTTGAGCGGAATCACGTTCCAGATCAGCCGTCTAGTAGAATCTGAATGAGAAGACTTAAGTCCTAGGGTGAGACGGAGAAAACTGTGTGAGAAGAAAAATAAAAGCTTGTGGGCGATTGTGAAGCCAGTCAAAAGAGACTGTTTGTCTGTCTGTTTTCGACATAGAACTTTCCACAGATGTGCAGCAGAGTTCAAGTCGCCACATTCTATGTAGTATTCAAAGCAAGAGAAGAAAGTAGAAGAAATGCATAATAGAGACAGTAAACAGAGGTGTGAGACAAAGGAATAGTAATAACGAAGGACAATATAGTTTCATTGGAAATCATAAGTTACAAGGAGTGGATACATCTGCGATAGCCATTGAGAACGATTTTGAGCCACCTTCCTACGTGGCTGGCTTAAACTAACTGTTGTGCATTTGATTGATTAGTGAAGCCATGTTTCTGTTTGACCAGCACTAGCTAGCTCTTTTCCAGCCTGACTCTATGTCAGCTAACATTGCCCGTTGTCGATAAAGGCGATGGCTAGGCATGCATATGTAAACATGTCCTAACCATCTCAGACAACGTGACTTCACAGTCTCGTCGATAGATTTCCCCTCCTTGCCTAGCACTCAACAGATGTCTGACCTCAATATTGGTCACCCTATTTTACCACTTCACACGGAATATAGAACGCAGGCACCTATGATCGAAGACTTCTAAGCAGTACACCCGGCCTTTTGTTGACTAGAAAGAGCAGAGTGAAATGGCAATGTGTTGCTGAAGCCTTATGGTCTACACGGAACCCATTCACAATAGCAGTAATGATAATGATAATCACTAGTAATAGTCAGTTATATACCACTGTTTAAGGCATTTAACCAGAGACGATGTTGTAAATCCTTCAGATGTGCTTGTTTCACTTTTCTTTCCTCTTTTATTTTTCCTTGTTTTGTTATTAGCCTGATAGAATTCCACCGAATTTCATATCACTTGGATGTTATCCGATAAATTCCAATTCGTCTTCATCACCGTCATCATCATCATCAGAATCTTGTTTTCATCCACGGGAGATATTTTATTCCGCTGTTTCATCACAACAACAGTCTTATAGTGGAAGTGATGATAATACTTTACCCACCAACTATAAATTATCTGGATATCACTATTCACCTATTTTAACGCTAAGTGATTATAACAAGCATTTAAAAGATAAAGATTTACGCCAGCATTATCCAGCCATTTGGTTTGATTCAGTATGCTCGCTTAGCTTGGATGATTCACATATTACACCTTCAGATAGTAAGTTATATTCTATTATAATCTGTAGTGTTTTTTTTTTGTATACTTTAACTCAAAGGTGGTATCATCACTAAAGAATTGTAAACACTCAGTTTTTTCAATCAGCAGATTATGTATGTATTTCTTACGACGTTTTTTTAATGAGTTCAAAAAGTTGGCTACTATTATGAGTAACTATCATGTTGCAGGCTTGGATGACAAAGGAATGTATGACTTAATATTTTGTTGTTCATTGTCAATTATAATCGTACAACTTTGAAACTTGAGTTTTATAGTTTTCTTTGTCTTCTCCTATTTGTCGTCGTTGGGCTAGTAGAATTTTCCAAATGTCTAGATGGATAGGTGTTGAATCATTCCTATTACATGTATTTGCAGTCGATTCGATAAATAAATCTTCTGTTATCAATCTCTCCCTCCACACCCTGTGACATTAGATTTTAAAACTGTCATCCTATCCTATCCTATTTCATGGCAGTGTTGTGTGTAATTGCATGTAGTGAGTGCTATAGCTGAACTATTCTCTAGATTTCTTATCTTAGTTAGGTCAACTAATCTGGATTTTGCTAGGTTTCTATGTTCGGCTAGTCTGACTGCCCCTGTTCTACTAGTTTGACCTATGCATTTGACCTGACAATCATTCCAGCAGGGTATTAGATAAACTAAATTGTTTTGTTTTAAAAGCTCCACAGGATTGATCCTTTAACCGACAAAGCTTGTTTGTAATTGAGTTTGTGGGTTTGAATGCCAGCCACTATTTTTCCTACCTGCCTTCTTAAAAATTCTGCGTCAGGTTTCCGAGGTTCCCTCCTTGTGTGGAATTACTACTGATGACTTAGATTCCTTATTGTTGGTGTTGTCTTGCGCACATTTGACTAGCATGTCGTCATTATTATTTATTTATTTAAACGCATTAAAACTTGGTACAATGTGGCACCAAGAAAGTTGCGCCACACAATAATAATAAAACAACATAGATCAAAAGAAAAAAATATAAATAGAGAACGGATAAAGAACTTCTTCTGGAAGGAAAACAGTCATGCCTAACAAGTTCAAACAGTATTCGTTAACTGTCATCGGGAAGGGAAGAAAGAAGGAAATTGCAACACGTGTAATAGCACGCGATAAGTTTCATTGATTGTTTGTTGCTTCATTCAATTCATTGTGTGAGGGCTGAGATACTGCCCGGGCGCCCAGACCGAAGCAGGTGGTTTTATTAATGGACCACCCCCGAGCCTTTGACTTGGAGTCTAATCCGCAAGGCAGCGGAGCAGCGTCAGGAGCTGCATTCCCATGGTTCCCGGTGACCCATATGGGTTCATACGCCATTTGATCTGATTGGATACTGGAGCCCATATACCCCATGGTAACTGCCTTTAGCTTAATCGTTATCCCAACAACCTTCCTGACATGGTAGGACCTGCAGGCACAGAGTCCCAGCCAGTTTAGCATGTTGGGTCATCACGGTATTCAAGCCCGACCACCACGACAAGGTAGCAGTTATATGCCGGGATTATTATTATTATTATTCAAACCCACAAAGTGATTGTAATTGATATGATTATGAACCATAATTATTTGTGTTTGAAACTTCGTCATCCAGTTAATAATGGCTGTTTCACTGTGTGATACATCTAATAAACAAACTAATATGGAATTACTAACTACCACATTGCGCGAGTTTTACACATATATTAATATTTTTATGTGTAACTATTCTTAGTTTAATTCAAATAAATAAAAATATTATTAAAAAGTAGAAATTTTGATTGCGCAATAGGTAGTAAATAAATGTTATGCGTCTAATCTGTGAAGTGTTGATACAACCTGGCCACCATAATAGGTGGCTCGCCATCACATTACGCACTCTGGTTGAAGGCAACCGAGAGGAAGCCGCGAACTTGAAGTTGCTCACTTATTAACACTTGTCGGTAGGGTGTATATGCAATCTTGGAGAAACTCTCAGGTCTATTCTGAAATTATAACTCTTGTCACTCAGTGCTGTGGTCAAAGACGTTACCACTGAGCTATTCGGGCTGAAGATTGTCCTCCTGTAGGAATAAAGGATACTTTGATTTAGTCTACACCAAATAAAGGAATATAAAAATGACATTAGTTACCAGTTGATCACGGATTAATATCAGTTAGAGAACCATTGAGTACCAGGGAGTACTGCCAGACAGCTGTTTCATCCTAGTTTGGGAATCATCGGCAGTACGAACCCATTAGGATTCGAACCCATGACCTTCCGGTCACAAGTTGATCCGTGATCAACTCGTAAGAACAAAACTAATCCTCACAAACCATACTATAGAAAACATTGATTACCACCTAGTGTCCAATCAATCGAACAGCTTGGTGCCAACGTCTTGGGTTCAAGTCTCAGAAGGGACATGAGTTCCATCATGGTTTCAGATACGCCTTGCTGAACTGATGAATGCCAACAAGCACGAAACCTGGGTCGATGGTTTCCAGCTGATTACTTCCAAATTTTTAACAGTAAAAGTAGAAATAATGTCAAGTGCTCAAACCAATGAGACTTATTTGTCGACCTATAAGACAGTTTCTCCAATGTAAATGTCTGTTAGTGAGATGCTATTCAACAAACCCTTTCAGTCCTGTGCTATTGGCGGTGAACCAAAACTACTGTGTGAGAGAGACAGTAATCTATCTGGTTGCTTAAATCTCGGTAAGTGGAGCGGGTTTCGAACCCATCTCCCATTATTACTGGTTGCAAGTCGAGCAACTTGAAAAAAAAGAGTCGCAGCTTCACAGTGAAATACCTAAATTTGTATTAATAAACCTGAATTCTGCAGTGACGTTTTTCACAAAATCGTTGTCGCTCATGTAAAAATAAGTTTTCAGATCGTGGAAAACACCCATATGGACATTTGTTTTTATTTTTAATTGCTACTTCTCCTTTTGTTTCTTTAGTTCCATCTGTTCGTCAACATCAAGTGAACGGTGTACGAGAGTATATTTACAACCGTTGTCTACTTGGTTCGTATTCTGTAGAAGTATCACCGAGTTTAATTCATCGTTTGGCGGGTTTAGTAAATGCCTATAAAATTTCTCATCCATATCCTCCATGTTCAATTACAAAAGAAGGTATTTTTATTTCAAAAAAGTTTAGTTAGTATCTCGTTTATGTTTTTTATATATTTTATCAGGTTTTCGTATATAATTGTTAATACAGACTTATTCTTGTGGAAAGCATTGCATTTTATTTTATGTTGCTCTTTTCGTTTCAATGAGTCATTTTCAAATACTCGCCGAAGACATTGGCTAGGGGTCGCGCTATGTCGTGAATTGGGAGAAGTTAGAATTCATGGGCTATTGGATCGGGTCCCTGTGGCTGAATGGTCTACGAGCTCGCCTTGTAACCAGTAGGTCCTGGGTTCACATCCCGGTGGGTGCATTCCACTGAAGAGTCCCAAACTAGAACGAAACAGCTGTCCAGTACTCTCAGGTTTTCCAATGGTTCTCTAATCAATGTCAGGTCATGATGAAATCCTGCAACCAATCAAATCCCTACAAGCCAACACTTAAACATTTTCAAATAGCTGTACAATTGTACGTATCATTCCACGGAAAATTCATTATTTATGTTCTCTTGGGTTTCTCCTAGTGGAACGTAGGAATTTAGCGATGCATCTTCACTCCACTTTGTTTTCTACAGTCTTCTGTGGTTGGCTTCATGATTGCCGATTAACTTTTATTTCACCCTGACACAATTTCCTTCGTGTTACACACTCAAACCTAAGCTCAACTCGCCGTTTTCCATTCGGTTTCCACTCGACCACCACCTGGTGCGTTATGTTGCTCAACGATCTTAGCAGGATATGTCCAATCCATCTCCATTTCTTTTTGCATATTTGTTGGACGATAGGTTGTTGACTGGTTAGTTGGTTACCTGGGTTTTTTATTACTAGTCCTTTCGGACCGACCGACCGGCCGGCCATCTCATCTTCAATATAGAGCGAAGGCAGCTGCTGATGAAAGTTTGCAGATTAGCCACTTTGTAAATGCGCCAGGTGTGCCTAGCATTTAGAAGTACTAACCTGACTTGACATTAATGTCTAAAATTCGAGTGTTTTCCTTATACTGATTTCCAAAGTTTATTTCAAATTAATGTAGGTTTTTCTCTCTTCTTTTCGAGTCCTGGTTGCCTCTGGCACCCCTTATCATCTATACCGCCATATGTAGTGGAAACGAAGCTGATTTAAACAAATGACAGAAGTGATTTCCTTTGGTTTTTGTTCTTCCATTGATAGTAATCGATGCTTGGTTTTATTGGTGCGGTATTTTTATCTCCCGTGTCTTCTCTATGTTCACTCTGTTTACAAAGAAACTGTAGAAAGAAGCGTGTTATAGAATTCCTGCGATTAAAGAAACTGTATAGACTGTTTTGGGCTTTCCATGGCAACCCCCCATTAACCAAAGTTCCACCACAGCTTTTAGGTTATTAATAATTTTTCCCTAGCAAGTGTGATGGCTTCTTTGCAGATGCTTCGACGATGTCTGAGATATGATTAATTTAATGGTGGATGGTGACTAGAAGTGGAATCTAGATCCCATTTCTTTCTGGGACTGGGTTCGAGCCTCAGTGGTGGGAACATCATCACTCACTGGGAAATGCGGGTACATCCAGCTAGCTGACGAGTCCCATATAGGACGAAATGCGCGTTATCCTGGATTCCACTGCTAGTCACCACCCACCAGTTAAATTCTAATCAAATGCCCAGACATCGTTGAAGCATCTGTACAAGAAGCCGACAGGCATGTCAACCTGAGACCGAGCACTTCAGTCCAATCAATCGACGGGAAAATCTCAAATTCAATTAAATTGTCAAATAGTAGTTTGTAGGGATTCTTTTCATGTTAGACTAAAGTAAAATTCCATGATTAATCACCAGTGGACTTTAGTCAGTTAGGGGGACCTTGAAAACTAGAGAGGAGTAATGGACTGCGGTTGGATCCCTGTTTGGGGGATCCTTCGGCAGTATGCACGCATGACGCTATCGGAGTTCGAACCCATGATTTTAAGTTCAGAAGGCGAACTTGTATACCATTCAGCCACTGAGACAGAACCCAATAGCTGTAAATCCGTGAATTATTGCCTGACCGCCCTATTTTAAATCAATAAAATCTCTAAAAGCCAACAATTAATCCATTCATCATTAGTGGCTGACTATGGGGGGGTGGGGGTTAGGGTCTATTAATTTGGGTGTGAAGACATTTACTGATAGTGATTGGCATATACGTAATAGAACTGTGCAGACTGTTTGTTTATAACACTTTTCCCATCAAAGTGAACAAATTTTCATTATTATTCTTGATGTGTCTTTTTTGGATAAGTAATGATTCCATTTTCATTTTTTATTCAATGTTGTTAGATATCAATACTGTATCCACACCGAATGAAATATCTTTGTCGCGTTATTCACAGCACATTCCAATGTGTAATATACAGCTGGATATAAGCACTGGAACAGTATCTGTAAATACTTCTCATAATTTTAACAGAGTAAGTTCGTGTAATCATGACCTTATACTTTTAACATATGGAAATTGAAAATATCTCTTATAGGAGATTTTGCTGTGAACCGATGTTTCGTCCTAGTTCGAAACTCTTCAGAAGTGCCCATCGACGACTCTGTCCAAGGATGGAACGCAAGAGCGTTGACATTTCAGCTACCGGCTTAGAAACCAGTCACACGCGTGGGCTGTAGCCTCTCCGTCGATTCGCGATATTGCCTGTTGTTCAGTACTTCTTGGCTTTTTTTCGGTGATTCTCTAACTGACGTTGGCTCGTAGCAGTGAGACTTACATTGAATTTAATTACAATCCTGAAAAAAAAAACCCTGAAATCTCAACAAAACTACTTTCGTCAGGCATTTGTAAATAATTCACATCTTTGGGAGAATGTACAACCAACTGTGCACGTGGTCTAGATTTGTTTTCTGGCTGATATATACTCCTAAACCTAGCTTAACTGGTGGTAGCAAAGCCGATAAAGAGAGTGGAGGGTTGGACGTGAAGCTAGTAACGTCGTCATCCTGTAAAAAATGCATTACTACTGTCACCTCAAAGCTGAAGCCTTATGTTTCACTCGGTAGGTACGCAAAAGGAATGACAAAAATAAAACAAAAACGATGACGGTTAATTGTTTTCATTGTCAGTGGGATCGGATTTCTCATGCTAAAGACAACGCTTTATTGTATGAGAGTCCGACGATACTACTCAGATATCCAGTCTGATAAAACTAGATTTGAACTTACATACTCATTGGCTGGAAGCTGGACTCCTAATTCAATCAGCTACAACTCCACAGAACTAGGGAGTACTGGGCTGCTTTTTCGTTTTAGTTCGGGACCCTACAGCAGTGCACACCCACAAACCCTCCCGGGATTGACCCAAGACCTTCATGTTTCGAGTTCAATGACCTCTAATGTATATTGGTTCTTGACGAAGTCTACAGTCCAATTAGTTAATAGTGTTTTTCCTAGCCATAGGAGACTTTGACGAGTCCTGTCATCTTGAACTGTGTAATTTGTAAATGATGAATATGATTCTAAGCTGTTGTTTTCTTTTACTAATCACGATTTTCAATGATATTTAGAAATAAAATTTTCCTTTTCAGAATCATTTATCTCCTCAGCTACAAATCCACTTGGAGAATATATCCTTATTCAATCGGTCACCTGTATACCCATTTGATATTGTTCATATTATTCGGCGTTTAAATATCCCACCGTATTTATTTAAACGTAGTTATGAATTTATACAAATGGAGTTATGTAATCCGATGAAACGCGTCGACGACTGGTTACAAGATATACACTCAGATGTATTGAATATGTCAAATAATAATAAAGAATGGAATAAACAGCTGATAGCTTATTGTTATAATCGAACAATTATCCAAGTCACTGGAATCTCTGTGGATTTGGTTAGGCATCCTCATGTGAACCAGTCTTCCACCTCCACAATTACTACTGCCACAACTGCCAATAAATCTAACGATAATGTGACGATTTTTAAATTGTCCAGCCTTGAGTGTATGTTTTGGTCATTGAATTGTCCCCAGCTATGGTAAGTTTCTTTTTGTCAGCTTGAATTTCATTTCAAAATCCTCGCATCAGCATGTGTTTTCAAATTTCAGTTTCAAATTACTCTAGGTTGTTTATGTAAATGAATACATTAGCCCTAATTGAACTGGTCTCTGAGGAAATCTCAACACGAGTATGAAAGCCTGGTGTCGTGTGTGTCTTACATCATCTTGCGTCATCCCTGGCGTAGAGGTGATACCCAAGTATCCATCAAAGGATGTGATATTACTTCGCAGCAATTCCCTGTGAGACAGGGTTACTGTTATGGACGCAGAAAAAGAAACTTGGTACAATATGGCACCAAGAAAGATGCACCACACAATAATAATAATAAAACAACATACATCAAAAGTAAAGAAAAATATAAGTAGAGAACGGATAAAGAACTTCATCTGGAAGGAAAACAGTCATACTTAACAAGTTCAAACAGTATTCGTCAACTATCATCGGGACGGGAAGAAAGAAGGAAATTGTAACACGTTCGCCATTGATTACGATTCTTGGCCATATCCGACAACGTTTCGAGCCATCGATTCGAGCTATCTCGCGGACCCCAACCAGGGAGTCGTGACTCACCAACCGATGCTAATCTGGCACAAACATCCTTCATCCCACGACGCCACGTCATGGAGTGACCACCCGTCCGCCTTTTCCATCCCGTCCCAGGGCTAGCAAACAGAGATCTCTACGGAAGCCTCTGGGATGCCATTCGCAGCACATGTCCAAGCCACCAGAGGCGATGTTTTCAGATGACGACACTCAATGAATGGTGATCTTCACTGTGTTCAAACACACGCCGCCGAACGTAAGAATTACTCATGCGATGATGCTATCGAACGCCAGCAATCCTGAGGAGACAGCGATGATGGAACACGCAGAGTCGCCGAACATCCTCAGCCTACTCGGAGAGGCCAGGTTTCACAGGTGTAGAGCAAGACATCCTGCACCGAAGCATTGTATACCCGACCTTTGACAGCCAGGCTAACGTCGCGACGGCGCCAGAGGTGACTGAAGTTGATGTATGCCACCCTAGCCTTCATTATACGGTTGGAAATATCATCCGTCACCCCCATCGCCAGCACTCACACAACTCACTGATAGTTTGTTGCTTTATTTCATTTATTGTGTGAGGGCTGAGATACTGCCAGGGCGCCCAGACTGAAGCAGGTGGTTTTCTTAATGGACCACCCCCCTGGAGCCTTTGACTTGGAGTCTAATCCGCAAGGCAGCGGCGGAGCAGCGCCAGGAGCTGCATTCTCATAATTGCTGGTGACCAATATGGGTTCATACGCCATTCGATCCGATTGGATTCTGGAGCCCATGTACCCCATGGTAACTGCTTTTAGTCTAACCGCTATCCAAAGAACCTTCCTGACATGGTAGAACCTGGAGGAACATGAGTCCCAGCCAGTTTAGCTTGTCGGGTCACTGCGGTATTCAAGCCCGACCACCACGACAAGGTAGCAGTTAACGGCCGATAGATTTTTACGTTCTACCTCCCGTGTTTTTAGTATTATGCATGTAAACCGAAATGGTGTGTAATAGTTAGCCCCAAGGGGATGGAATTTAAAACATTCGTGAATATATTTCGGTCTAGTATGATCAATCAATCAAAATAGAAGGCAACTTAAGCATATATTAGTTGATATCCATCACTGAGTGGGCTACTGGATAATGCTTTAGCGTTTGAAATGATGAGTGTCGCCTTTCGAATCTCACTGGGAACACACACAACTTCTCAGTAAGAATGAAAAGTGTATCCGGCTGACGAGTCCTTAATTGAATGAAATAAGCATCTGAATAAAGCAAAAACAACAGTGGTTTGTGTAGAATTATATGGTACCATCATTTATTTCGTTGGCTTCTCATCAGCTGCTTACAGCCTAAATAAATTATGAGATTTAAGTAGAGAAACGTTTTAACATACTTGCAAATTTTACACGTTGTCAGTTGACAGAAAGTTCCACAATTAGTAAACAGTGCTCAGAAGATTGCGCTTATATAGTTTTTACACAGGCAGTTCAAGTTTAAACAAAAAATAAATGTATACATATAATGGTAAAGGAGTTACGTAATAAAGATGAGATGTGCGTTAGATGCATAGTGACTAATAAGTTAGGTAACAATGTACTGAGTTGAACTCAAATCATAGAAACAAGAGAAGCAAAATTACAGATTATAAAACGAGAGTGAGGTTAAAGACAAAGATTACATAATCAGATGAGAGAAAAAAGACAAACAGTTACCAGGGCAAGGAAAGACTAATAACTGCTTCTTTTTGAACACATAAATCTGGTTTCAAGCGCTTGATAGAAATTGCTTCGGAAAACTTGAAGAGAATGCAGCTCCCTTGTCTATTGATAATTTTGAAGGACTTCTCGATTTCCACCTCATGACCCGTGTTGAGGAGATGTCTGGTAATAGCGTTACTATAAGAGTTTGTTCCCTTGAGACGTAGGCTTTTCGGCACATGTTCAGAAAATCGGAGGTGTGCCCTTCTTTGTGTTCTCCCAATGTAACTGCTCCCGCAGATGCATGTAAATTTGCATACACAGTTGGAGTTAACATGAGAAGGGTATCTGTTGACTTTTGACTGCACCAAAGAGCATGTTGTTCGATGGACGGGAACCAACTTAGCTGTAGGATAGGCTCCGGCTAGTGACGTTCTCAGTCTTCTGTTGACCATTTCTGCAATGTTTTCACCTTTAAAATCTAGTTGAATGAAGAACAGGCTTTTTTCAACTGTGATTTGTTTGGTATTTGAGCGTTCACATCTTCCATATTTGTTAATGAATCTTTGAGGATAACCGTTGTTTTTCAACACCTTTTCGAGAATCGTAAATTCTTCCTCTAGTTTCTCTTCAGAGCATATTCTCCTCGCTGTATAGTACAGAGTCTTGACTAGTGCTCGTTTATAACTACTTGGACAAAAACTATTAAAATGTAAGTATTGTCCATTCCATTTGGACTTTCGGTAGATTGACCTCTGACCTACGAAATAAGCATCATGGATTTCACTGTTAGCCATTATCAACTGATTATCGTTCATTCTGTTTCTTTTTTTTTTACAGGAGTTCACCTTCTCTAAGTCATTTGGAGTATCGGCTAACACTGGCCAATATAATGGAAATGTACTTTACTCTACAAACTATACATTACTTATCATATATTTTAAGTGAATTGTTCCATCAAATATTTCATTTAAAAGCTTATTGTTATTCAGAGGACACACAGCTTTCCCTACCTCCAGTTTATGAATATCAGCCAGAAAACGATTCTCATTCAGGTCAGTTAATTATTATTATTATTGTTCCCTTGGGTTCCTAGTGGAACATACGGCTTCAACTGCACATCTCCACTTGCTTCTGTCTTCCTTCTGCTGTACTTTTCACCTCCATCCATGTTAATCCATACTGTTTCAACTCCTCTCTCTTCACACATCTCCTCCATGTCACCCTTGCACTGACGTCCCACTCGCCGCTTTCCTTTCGGCCTAGTTCCACTAGAGAGCTTGACGCGCGATGTCACCCAGCGGTCTCATCAGCGAGTGTTTAATCCTTCTCCACTTTCTCCTGCACATTTTTGGTTGGCGATCGGTTCTTGTTTTGTTTGTTTGTTCCCAGCCAGAGTTTCTTGTTGGTGATTCTTTCCGGCCTGGCCATCTGATCTTCAGTATAGAGCCAGCGAAGACAGTTGTTGATAAAGGTAACGTCTGCAACAGGCTGTTGGAAGTATTCTTTGTGACCCCCCCCCCGCCTGCCAAGTTTCTGATCCGTATAGAAGAACTGACTGACTTGACGTTAATGATTATAATTCAATTCAACCTTTTTATGCAATTTCTGTATATTTCAGATTGCAACAAGTATTGTATTTTTCAAATTTCGGTTTATATCTCTGTAGATTTTGTCATGGATCGATATATTAACAGTGCGCTCCCATGGTATTCTATCAGTTATCAAGCTCAGAATCTCATGTTTACAAGATTATTATTTCACTAGTGTTAAGCTAATAAAATGGTATCTGTTTCTCTTTAGACTAAATTGAAATATTATAGCGAAAATATTCATTTAGACATTTATAAAACACTAAAAATAATTGAGCAAAGAACATCTTTTTCGATGATTTCCTCCTCTGGCCCTACAATTAAATATATATACATATATATGTATATAATATCACTGCATGTCAAGTAATCCACAACGGGAAACTCACGGAAACCTTCGAAGTGAAGACGGGAGTAAGACAAGCTGGCTGTCTTCTATCGCCAATGATTTTGCTGATTCCAGTAGATCGGATAATGCGACACACCGCGAGCAATAAGGAAATAGGCATAAAATGGACCCTAACGAAAAACTTGGAGGATCTGGACTTCGCCGATGATGTATGTCTGATTTCCCACAAACTGAAAGATATGCAAGTGAAAAGCAACAAGTTGTCAGAAGAAGCATCAAAGATAGGACTTCAGGTGAACATAGAGAAAACAGAGGTGATGAAGATTTCTGGCCAACAACAACAGACAACAATCAGCCAGTATAAATGGCAGGAACCTGAAATAAACAGCCTCCTTTACATACCTACCTGGGAAGCATCATTTCAACTACAGGCGAACGAAACTGACGAGGATATCAAAGCAGGGATCGGGAAAGCAAGACAAGCTTTCACTATCCTTAAGTCTGTGTGGAAATCAACAGGACTGGCTCAGCATGAAAATGAAAATAAGATCCTGATTTTCAACTCCAATGTGAAGTCTGCTACTATACGAATGAGAGACTTGGTGCGTCATGAAGAGCACCTCAAACAAACTACAGGCCTTCATTAACAGTTGTCTTCGCTCAATACCCCTCAAGATCAGATGGTCAGAAAAGATCAGCAACAGGGACCTCTGGGAGCGAATCAACTCAGCAGGAACCGATTGTACAACAAATATGAAGGATGGATTGGCCATACTCTGAGAAAACCATCAGGTGGCAAGTACTCGAGTGGAACCCGAATGGGAAGCGGCGAGTTGGTCGTCAGTGTAAGGGTGACTTGGAGGAGGTCATGTGAAGAAGAGATGAAAGCATGTGGGCAGACTTGGAGCGGGGTGAAAAAGTCGGCAGAGAACGGAACGCAATGGGGACTTGCGGCTGAAGCCCTATTTTCCTCTAGGAATTAAAGGAAATAATAATATTAATGTGGATCCCAACTGCCTCAGAAATATTTAGTAAACGAACTCTTAAGGTGAAGCTAAGATTTGTTGGTATGTGGTAAATGACCCTGAAAGCCTGGTTAACATCGATCTTGTGTTCCGTTTGTATCCACAAGTTGAGATAGAATAGCGCTGTGAATAGATTTTGTTTGTCCTTTACTTAACCACTGTGCAGGGTGATGTTCGGAAATCCGACAAGAAACATACCTAATTGTACGGCCTATGCAATTAACTGGCTCCACAAGGGCAGTTAAATTGGCAGATAATCATTGAAACTCGTTAGCGTTGTAACCCGGAGAGTGAAGCAATGAGTTGGGCGTCAGAGAGTGACATGAAAAAGATAATGTGACGACAACTTGGAAAGCTAGTTGCAGGAGTGATTGCAGAGTACCGAGTTCCACAAAGATGTACTGCCAAAGCCGTGCACTCCACACATTGGAACACAGTGCAGATGTGACTGAGTGACCTAGGCATTATTGGGTGGGTCATGGGTTTCAGCAATGCTCCACCTACTGATGTTCGTGCAGCCAGTTCGTATCATTATTTTTTGCACAATAAGTGTGTGTCTCGTGGCCAGCTGCGTAGGAAGGCAGTCTAGTGGTTATGGAGTTGAATATATATTCTGAACACAAGAAATAAATAGTATTAGTAGATAATCCTTAAAGAATACCCCTGTAATAGAATGAAATACAATTATAGGGTGAATCCTCTGCCTTTAATGTAGTGGAATATACGACCCATCCTTCTTGTATGATTACTAATGATATTTGATTATATAGTATTGTTTAAAGTCAATTAGAGGTAGATGCTGTGTGTGATAAGTGAACTTGCGATTTATTGGTTTAAAAATCCCAGTATTTTGACCGATAAGCTATTTATATCTCTTATATCATACCTATAAATGAAAAAAAACAGAATTACATAATATGAGCAGTTAACTTGTGTGCCTTTCACTCTATGCTAAAAATCATGAGGGCAAAAAAGATAAGCAACAAGGAAATTCGATAATGAACTAATTGAAAACCTATCACCCAATAAATATGCAGAGGAAAATAAAGATATACCTGAGATACACATCCAGATGACAAGTCCCAAACAGGCCAAAATGTGCATCCTGGATTCCACTGCTCTAGTCACCATCCACCACCAATTATCTTGAAAATAAAGATGGTTACAGGATTTCATCGTGAGAACCATTGGAAAACTTGCGTGGAGTTCTGGACAACTGTTTCGTCAGCCTTTGTTTGGGACTCTTCAGCAGTACGCAACACATCCACCGACAGAGTTTGAACCCAGGAGCTTCTGGCTGCAAGGTGTCATTTCATGATGGAATTCTGTAACCAATCAATCAAAGTCCTACAAACCAATACTTGAATATAAAGATGGTTGGGACATACGCTGTGTTGAAGACGGTTGAATGACACTACGCCACTGTGAACTGATTACTACTTTTCAAACCTTTTTGTTGTTTAATGTTCATGTCATTTTTCTTTATAAAATGCAATATATCTCCCCCCCAGGCACCCAATCGCCAAATTAGTTGAAATTTTTGTTTTCATTTTGTTTTTCCTTTTAAATATAGCTGTTAAAACCTCTTGGATATGGTGTACAAAAATTCATGGAATTTCTAGATTTCGTTTATGTCTTACAAAATTTGTGTCTATTTTACAAATTAGTCTAGAAACCAATTTATTGATGTACTTGAATTGTTTAAATGAAAAGAGGAAGATGAGTATATGTCCAATTCTGGAAAGAAGCGGTGGTGACAAGTCAACTGAGCATAAGACGTCAATGAAACCCTTGTTTTGCTTAGCTGTTCAAATCCCATATTCACATGATTTATCGTCTACTGGTAAATAGAAATAAAAATAACTTGTTTCCTGATTGTCGTTTATACTGTAATGTATTTGATGTGAATTTTTGGTTTCTTTTTATATAGTTGATTAGTTAGTTAGCATAGGTGGCAGATTCTCAACCATGACTAGGTCATGGCTTCGAAGCTGACCGCAGCCTCACATACTGAGATGTGAGAGAGTATTATGCACGAGAAAAATACTGCTCTGTTTAGGTTCGATAATGTCGCCAAGTGCGTCGGTGGCATAGCGGTTTAGGACGCTCGCTGACCATGCACATGGTCGGCGTTTGACCCCGGCCGACATACTCCTTTACCTCGTTAAACCTGAAATAATGCTGGTAAAGAGAAAAGGTTGGACATGAGGCTGGCTGGCAACCCCATCCTGTAAAATTAAACACTGCTTCAGAAACTTCAAGTCACTAGCTTGAACCCCTATGTTCCACTGGGGAACGTGAAGGAAAAAAAATGTCGCCAAGATGTGATAGAGGTTGATATGACTATCAGTAATAACAATACAGCGACTAGGCTTTGATACAGCGGGACAATAATTAAACCCGTCTGAAGAAGAACGACTTCCAATCACTTGCGATTACCACAATTTCCTTAGAGTTCGTTCACTGAAGTAAGGATAGAAGACTAACTGCTCGAAGCCGGTGAGAACAATCGATTTGTATTGTATTAAAATATATTCTTTTTTATTTTTATTATTTTATTCCTTTACGCCTCTAGTAGAACATAGAGCTTCAAGCTAGAGGCTTCCCTCTTCAGCAGTCTTATCACTGGCTTAGCCAGGTAAAGTAGTAGTGCGTCAGCCGGGGATCGAAGCCTGCCTGCGTGGTTGATGAGCATTCTACAGCTGTGCCACCAATGCCCAGCGGTAGACACAAATATATTATCCCTCTAGAGAACTTAAGCCAATAAATAACTGATTTAATTGGTCACGTAAATCTTAGTCTTGAAGGTTGTGCACTCTCATTATTATAATCTTCTGCCTTAATACAATTGTGTTAACTTGTCCAAACTGGCTTCAGGCGTGAGTTAAGCCTGATTTAGCTCTGTGAAAATGCAGCTGGCTGTTGCACACAAATAATAATAATAATAGTAGTAATAATACTAAACTACATAATTACCATTTTCACGCAAGGGATTTTTATACAGTTTTAAACATTTCTCAACAGTCAGTTGAAGGCTTAGTAAAGTTACTTGTCCGCGTTATTAAATCTTTTGTAGTATATTGTAAAATCGTCAATGATCAGTACTCATATATTGGTGTAGATTTGGTTGACTACCAGATTGAAGGTCATTATCGTGTGAATGCACTGTTAGGTTCCTCTTCTTCTTCTTCTGTTCCCTAAGTTAACGCTTGAAATAAGCATTTCCTTTAACCTATCAAATGTGTGTTAATCCGTCTGAATCCATTTTTTCCACCGAAGTGAAGTGAAGTGCATCTACACTCACTGTCGTTAACAGTCTAGCAGTAGGGGCCAACCAGCAGCAATCCACCTAGCTAATCTGCCTGTAGTCGTTTTCCTTATTCAAATTAATTGAGGTGGTTTGAAGTGACTTATCTATCTGAGCTAAATCCCTTCGTGCATACCGCTGATGAGCTTGGGGCTGGACGAGCGAAATGACCACCCAGTGTTTATATCACTTCAATCTGCCTAGTTGCTATTACTGGTTGACGTGAAAAGTTCGTTTTAAACATAGTACATAATTTTCTGCTTCTTTTATCGCAAAATATATACACCTTTTTCAAGATCTTCAATTAACGTAGTACTCGATAATTCATCAATTGAAACAATATTTTTTCATCCAAAACATCCTCCATCACTCAGCGAAGTTTTACTTCCGTTTCCTTAAACGTATTCATTGCACTAGGTTGAAACCTTTCTTGAAATGTCTGTGTGCGTGAGAGAGAGAGAAAGAAAGAGAGATTAGGTTACGATTCATGAACGCAGTTGCAGGGTTAAAACTATATAGAATGCAGTAAACGTGATGCATATTGAGTGATAGGTAGAAAATTTGGTAACCCAGTGATTTAAACAAACTTCCAGTTAATAATTCAACTACTTAAATCAATCATTTAGTAGTATGTGTCATCATGCCATGGATTAGAAGCTGCTCGGGAATTATTATCATTATTAGTTATTATTTTAAGATTTGATATTCATATTCATTTGACCATCTATTCTGAAATTGTGGTAACTTTATTATAAGATATCTACTCTTTCGAAAAATTTTGCTTAATTTTCAAGCATACTTTCAAGTCGCTTGTATTTTTCTTTTCCTTTTTTTAAAATTTTCATACATAGCGCCTATCATTTGTCATGCATATTTAAACAAAATTGATTGTTTAATTACACGAGAATTATTTGAATGGTTTTCGTATTTAACTCCACCAAATACGAACTGTGAAATGCATTCGTATCATGAGTGTAATCAATATGTGAATAATTCAGTTGGCGAATCATTCATCGGGATGAAAACATCAGATTTTACAAAAAGTAGGCCCATTTCTTAAAAATAAATTTTAATGCTTAAATTTTGCAAATCTCCGTAGTTTATCATAGCGTCAGCGGATGAATCGCATGTCAAACATTCGAAGATTGCTTCCTGTGAAGGTTTTCAGAAAACTCTGCATTTTGTCAGCGTCCTCACCTAGAAGGACTATATCGTCTGCATATTCTAAGTCAACAAGTCAAAAAGCTTACAGAAAATGTTTTCTGAAAGCCTAATTTTTAACAACTAACTAACTAACTGTATCCAATGCACGAACAGTTCGGTGAAGTTAACTTATTAGAATTTTAATGGTTTAGTTCATTCACTATAGATAGGTATTCACGAACTGTGTTAAACTGTCATCAGGCTCTCAGCTGAATGTCTCACAGGTCGTTGAAAAGATCTTCAAAACATTATATTTCATTTATGTTAAGTTCTCATCGCTTCACTGTATGCGCAACACTCGTCATAGCTATCTCAGTGGATATACCTTCATAACCTTTCCTCTTTTTTTACCTTAAGCTACAACTTGACTCAATATTACTGCGAATATTTTTCCACTTTACATGGGAGGTAGAACGTAAACATCTATGAGCAAAGACAGCCAGCCTTTCATACCTCCCACTTTCAACGGTTACTACTACTACTACTACTACTAATAATAATAATGATTTACTTTACTCCAAAAACAGTACTTGTGATACAGAATGGAATTTTCAGCATTGATCACAATATTGCATCTAATTTCCTCAAATTATAAATAAAAATTAATCACACAGAAAATTTTCCACATTTGCAATAGGAGTAATGTCAAAAACATGCAGCATATAAAATAGAAATAATTATAATAATGATAACAGCTAAGGTAATAATAATACAAGTGAAAATTGCCGTGGGCTTGTTTCACACAGTATTGGCAATGTGGTATAGAAATCCTAGCATGTTTAAAAATATTGAATATAGGATTCTCTTTACATGATATGGTGAGGGGAAAAACAAAGATTACAGCAGTCATAGACATAAGTTAGTGTTTGCAATTATGAAAGTAAAACAAACAAAGAAGCAACAGGACCATAAATATCATAGAAATAATAAAAGTAAAACTTGAAGGTATATAAGGATGGATGGAGGAAATTGTTTATTTACTAGATGAAAAAGGGTTAGTTAGTTCTTGCCTGACACTATTTTCATCACATAAAATACGCGCCAAGTATGGTATCATAGAATTTCTATACTTAGACGTGCGAGAACACAGTTTTCTGAAGTTACTTCTTGTTCTACCTGAGGAGATGCAAGGTGAAAGCTGGGGGTAAAGTGGATGCTCCAAGTCAGACAAAATCCCTTTAGCAAATTTATTGCACGAAGTCAAGTGCCTATCGACAACGACGTTAACTATGTGGTCCACTGGGACACCACTCACCCTACTGACAGTCTTCAGTATTCTACGAATTGTGACATAGTCCTTTTTAAGCAAACCAGGAAAGAATAAGGGTGAGCAATAAAGAAGAATAGGTAGGATGCAAGAGTTTATGAACTGTAAGAGGAGGGGTTGAGTTATACCGGAGTGTCTTAACTTCTTAATGTAAAATGTCAGGCGGAATATTTTACTGGAGATTGCTAAGACATGGGAAGACCAGGAGAGATCAGAAGAGAGAATGAGTCCAAGATACTTAATTTCTGATTTGATTCCTATATCATTGTCGTCAATCTTTCAATTGTCATTAGAATCGATGACTTCTTTTAACTGTCGTTTACATCTTAAGCTGAAATCAACAGTTTGACACTTAGAAGGATTCAGTTTAAGACCATTAGACTCAGACCATTTACTGACTCCCGACAGAAATAAAACGAGCTCGTATATCCTGCAAACATGTTCGTTCTTTCTCTCTTCAAAGAAAGCTATTTGTTTTGGTACAGTCTAGCTGGTTATGTCTCACCGTCACAAAAAAGACAAGGTGAACAGCTGCCCAGTACGCACGCCCTTTTGATCGACAGCCGGATATCACTTTTACTCGAGGGATGACAAAAACTAAGCAATTGCATACGAGCTATTCGTATCCTGGCTGAGATTTTGTCAACAATCACTTGATCAGAGCTAATGTTACTTTGCAAATAAGTGAAGACGTCAGTACTTGTATAGTCACTTCACTTTATACCATTAAACTTGGATTCGTTGCAAACAAGTCATGCGATGTCATGTCACATTTGATAAAACCTCGAAGATTTAGTGTTAGCGTTCTTACCTAGGAGGCAAATATCCGCATACTCTAAGTCGATATGCCTGTTCCGTGAACAGTACTCACTAAAAAATTGAAAACGCAATCTTTACATTGTGTATGTGTGTAGAAACTTGTCGACCAATTAGCCACCTAGGCTGATATTCAATAATGACCCATGAATTTTAACTTTGTCATTATGTATTTCGATTTATTTCTGTATGTAAACTGTCTTTGAAGAATTGATTTTCCTCTTTTAATTACAAATAAAGCACTTGAAATATTTTGTTTTGTGCACTGTTTTTCGATTGGTGTTTTCAGAAAAGCATCAGTTTAACAGTCGTTCACAAAGTGGTTCTGATATCAGCTCTAAAGAGTTAATCAAAGCCAATATTATCGCTTCTTCGTTTTCTGCATATTCTGTCATTTCACCAGCCTATTCATTTGCTATCGGAAATATGGCTCAATGGAAAGAAGTTTGGAAACGTTTAGTTTATTGTGAAAAGATTTTACAGAATGCTAAAATTCAGGTTAGACTGTTTGTATGCTTCTCTCTATTCTTTGCGTTATAGGTACTTTTTTAAAATAAATTTGTTTGTTAACGCCTCATTTCATAGAATATTTCATACCAAGTATGTCTTTGTAGCGGTAGTAAATTTAGTCGTGGTATAGTTCTAAAAAACGCAGAAGTTGTTCGATTACAATTACGACTGATGACGGCTTGGAGTTCTAGCGAGAAGTCGCTACGTTTGCTATCCGCCATGTGGGCTGTCAGCATTGAAACCCATCGATGTCATTGCCTGGGAGTGGGTTTGTACGTGGCGTGAATATTGGCACACGTGAATATTTTGGGCTATTGCATTCTGTTTCCAGTAGCTGAATGGTCAATGAAGGCCCTAGATTCAATCCTCTATGGGATTATCGTTACGAGTTACTGAACAGTTGCAAACTAGGACAACACAAATGTACAGTATTTCCTAGGTTTCAGTGATTACCTAGATGATTTGAGTTTATGATCTAACCAGTGAATTGTAATTTCTTTTGTCTCTGGAAAGACTATGAATGCTTCTCACAGAAACAATTCACGTCAGAGAACACAACTACACTGATAAAATTGGAAGTATGCAAGTGTTGGGCTTGCAGGAATTTTAAGGGACGTTTCATCAGATTCATATTCTTCTTATTATTATTACATATTATTACATATTACGTACAACATGGGTACCAAGAGATTCGCCGTACCCTAAAGACGGGCTTAAGGTTTGGAAAAGAAACTGAATGATTGAGGAACAGAATCACAAAAAACAAGTGTATTTAAGGAGCGTTCATCATTTCGCGCCACTTTTGCACAAAGCAGAAAGCAAGAAATTGCTGTATGTTCGCCTCCGATTACGATTCTCCGTCATATCTGATAGCACCTCAAACTAAGTGATTCGGGTTATCTTTCGAACACAACCAAGGGAGTCATAGTGCACCAACAGATAGATCGTATTCGAGTGTTGGTTTGTGGGGATTTGATTGGTTACAGGATTTCATCATGAGCTAATATCGGTTAGAGAACCATTGGAAAACCTTGGAGTACTGGGCAGCTGTTTCATCCTAGTTTGGGACTCTTCATCAGTACTCGACCACCGGGGCTTGAACCTAGTACCTTCTGGTTACAAGGCGAGTTAGCTCGTAGACCATTAAGCCACTGGGACCCGATCCAATGGTCCTTGAATTCTAACTTCTGCAAATTCACGACATAGCGCCACCGCTAGCCAATGTCTTTGGCGAATGTTTGTCCTCACACTCGATCTGCTGCACCTTAATGAGAAATTCTAGTGGGAAGTCGTGACCAAGAGGTCCTGGGTTCGAAAACCGGTGGTTGCATACTGGTGAAGAGTCCCAAACTAGTACGAAACAGTTTTCCAGTGCTCCCAGATAGATGGTAACCTAACATAACTATCTTTCATCTATATCTTCACACCATGGGCCGACCACTCCACGGATATTTTTAACTCACTGCAAAGAGTGAACAATATGAGAGAAGTTGAGATGATGACATTTGTAGTACGTACTCAAACCACCGAGGTAACAGCACATTATTCAAAGATTGTGTGATAAGTTTGTGGTGAGAACTGTTTATAAGTCAACGTTGTCGACAACAATTCACGTCAATGTTCACGTTCCGAATCAGAGTCATGAGGAAAAAACAATAACATAGCTTAACCTTGAGGAAATCAGCAGCAAATCACAGTGAAATTAAAGTGTGGAAATATGATTCACAGATATATGGCTTAAGTTTCTGAGAAACGGTCACAAGCAGTACAGAATAACCTTCAGCAATTAAAGAATCAATCAGAAGACATTGCTTCTCCGCTGATAATAATCTACATAAACGATCTGTTGACTGGCTCTCGTCTTCTGTCACTACAAGTTGAATAACAGTTAGAGTACCGTTCAGAACCAGAAGTGGAAATGTTTATTTGATCAACTTATTGTTTTGCATACCATGCATGTGATTGCGAACTTGGAGCTTTAATCTGTGGATTTTGATTTTTCCATCTGTTTTTTTATATCAATATTTTAGATTCTTACCAAACCCCTAAAGATATATACATTAGTGTGTCAATGTCCAACAACATTTTCCGCCTTTGCTGACAGCATAAATCATCAATATCTTGAAGAATTATTAAAACAATTTGAAGATAATTCTATGCTTTTCAATTTTCCTCAATTGTATGCATCAAATTATAATTGGAATACAGAAGATCAGACGAACAAAGAACAGGATCCTGATGATGCTGTTCTGAGTAATTGTTTATGGTCATTGGGTTGTTTGAATTGCCTACGCTGAAACAGGAGAGCATATTACAACACCACCACCACCACAATCGACTACTATTCACTGGAGTATATCAGCTAGTCAGGCATATTTACTAGTGGAAAATAGTTTAATATTTGCTGGTCAAGCGTCAATCAGCTTAGATTTGAATCGTAAAAAAGTAGACGATATGTGTCTGGTGAATAATGATGATGACACGCTGGCTACTTCTAATCAAATGATGCTGATGATAAGACTAATTCAGTGGCTATAAATGTACAAGTTAATATTGAATTGGATAATAGTCGTCAGTCGAGTTATTTATCCAATGAAAATTATAGACGTGGTGTGGATTTTAAAGTTTTAAATCATATGGTCAATGTGGTCAGATTTTGTTATGACAATTTATCCAGTATTGTTATTCCCAAGGTAATATTTTATATATGTATATATTATATTATTCTCTTGGGTTCCGATTGGAACCCTGTTCCGTGCAGCCATTTTTAGCTGGCTCCACAATTGTCCATAAGAGCTTTCATTCCCTCCACACACATACACGTACACACAATCTCCTTCATGTTCACCCTCGGACCCATGGACAACTCTTGGTTTACCATTCAGGACCAACTCGAGTGCAGGCCTGGCGTGTCATTTTATTCAACCGTCCTCTCTTGAAAGTATGTCCAATCCATTCATTCCTTGCCGGAGTTTCATTTTGTTTATCTTCTCTGACTCGCCGGCCGAAAATTCGGTCTTCGATAGCGTTGGTAGCACAGCGCTAGAATGCTCACCAACGATGCAGGTGGTCCGGGGTTCGATTCCTGGCGGATTCACTCCTTTTCCTCACTAAGCCAGTAATAAGACTGGTAAAGGGGAAAGGTTGGGCATGAAGCTGGCTCGCAACCCCATCCGGTAAAAAGATAAACACCACTGCTAGTGAAAGTTCTAGCATGTAACTTGAAGCCGCCCTATGTTCCACTGGGAACGTAAAGGAGTAAATAAAAAACAGTGTGTCCATTGATAATGACAGATTCGTCTGTCTGTCTGTCTGTTTTCGAAATAGAACTTTCTACAGATGTGCGGAAGTTCAAGTCGCCACACTCCCTCCTTGTAGCACACAAAGCAAGATAAGAAAGTCAAAAGAAATTCAAAATAGAGACAGTAAACAGAGGTGTGAGACAAAGGAATAGTAATATAGAAGAACAAAACAGTTTCATTGGAAATCATATGTCACAAGGAGTGGATGCATGTGCGCTACCCATTGAGAACGATTTTGAGCCAAATCACCAATTGTTTCTAGCCATTGGTGTTTACCATCCCGAGGACCCCAACCAGGAAGTCTACACATTCGTACTTGGCTTAGACTAACTGTTGTAAATTTCATTGACTGGTGCCATGTTTTTGTTTGACCACCGCTAGCTTTTTTCCAGCCTGACCGTATATCCGCTAACATTGCTCGTCGATGGAGGCGATGGCTTGGCATACGTAACACATGTCCTAACCATCTCTGTCTATGTAACTTCACAACTTCGTCGATTGATTTCCCCTGTTTACCTAGAACTCGACGCCTAACCTCAATGTTGCTCACCTTTTTATACCACTTCACATGGGAAATAGAGCGCAGGCACCTATGATCAAAGACAGCTAATGTTTTCTTGTCTTCCACTCTCAGTGGCCAGGTCTCACAACCATAAAGGAGGATGGAGCGGACTGATGAGCAGTACACCCGTCCTTTGGTCGATAGCCAGTCGGATATCACGTCTACACCAGAGACGGCGTAAACTGGCAAATGTGAAACGAGCCCTCTGTATCCGTACTCAGCTGAGATTTCGTCAGAGATCAACCCGTTGGCACTGGCTGATGGTACTTCCCAAATAAGTGAAGCGGTCAACGTGCTCTACCACTTCACTCCCTATTTCTAATCGAGGAGTCGGTGTAGTCCAGTCCTGTAACACCATCTTGCATTTGGCGGGAGCGAATCGCATGCCAAACATTCGTAGATTGCGGCTCAAGGTGTTTAGAAAACCCTGTCTCATTTCGTCAGCGTCCTCGCCTAGAAGGACTATATCGTCTGCATATTCCAAGTCAACGAGATTATTCCCTGATGGTAGCAAGTCAATCCCTGAGTTGCTGAAGTGAATTAGGGTTAATTCCATTAGTACATCTATGATGAAGTTGAATAGGAAAGGGATAATGGGCATCCTTGACTGACATCACTAGTCGTCACCAGTTCAGATGGCAACTCGCCGTAAGTCCTCACCTGGCTGTATGAGTACGAGTAGAGTGATGGCCTTAATCAGTGCAGTGTATTTTCTCGGCATTGCAGTGTATTCGTCTGAGTAGCAGTAGGCTTCTATGACTTGTCTGTCAATTTTGGTTTTTCAGGCGTTTAGTAGTTCTACATTTTCCCGGTCAAGTCAGTCAAGTCCATAATTGTCTACATGCATCGATCGGTACATGGAAGATTACATGTCGTGTCTTCTAACTGCTAGTTTTTTGTTCTTCTACTCAGAGTCAAAGTGGGGGGGGCGGAAGGCCTACTTAGGTCTACATAATAAGTGCTTATCACAGTTTATGCTGTTAGGTGGGTCTTTTCGTCTGTATAGTATTGAATGGAGTGTTTGGGTTGGTTATTGTCTGCTACATATCTATTGCAAATAGTTTAAGTATTCTAGCTATTATTATTTCAAAAGTATTCTTTACATACGGTATAATTTACCTTCCTTCAATGTATATTCGGCTTTTTTCTTTCCTTGTAGCTTTTGGATTTCTCAACGACAGTGTATAAGAACACTACCTCTACTAGACTCTTATCAAGAACATCTTACAGTAGGAATTCAAATCCAAGTTCTAATATCAAGCTGTTGCCTATTACTGCTCATTCACCTCCGTATACTTCTTCATTGAACAGTATTTCTATTCTCGAAGAGTCATCTACTGATGTACCAACTATTGTGTATAAATCACTACTAACCAGCCCACATGGAAAATTGAAAACCACTCGAACCACAATGGTTGAATCACCTCAAATGACTAGTTGTTATTCAACTAAGCTAAATTATTCACAGAATGAAGAATTGTCAACATCATCACTCCCACCGTTTAGTATTACTCTACATGTCGAGTGTAGTTTGTCTAGTGTTAGTGGTGAAATCCACTTGTCACATTCTTCTCTGATGAATTCCGATGAACAACCTGTTTCACTGCATTGGTCTGTTGACAATGTACAATTAATACTTGAAATACAAAAAGAATGTTGTTCAATTGATTTTCATGTTGGTTCATGCTCAGCTTTTATACAAAAATCAACAGAGTAAGTTGACTCAATTTTCATTTATTTATTTGTTTATTTGTTTGTTTGTGTGTTCATTGAATTGCTCTCAAACAATGAGTCGTTTTATTATTTATTTAGATTAACCAACCCTTAGTGCAGATGTTTCGATTATATCGAAAAATTGACTTGAAGTTATTGTAGCAGATTGGTGACCAGCAGTGAAATCCAGGATGAGTTGCAACCACACGTAGTTGTTAATGTTATAGTCGATGCATAAAAGAAGTTAAGTGTACTTTGATTGGACACTAGTCAATACCAGTGTGATGTGTCTAGTCCTTTTGCTTGGTGCTCACTGAATTCTGTCAGTCAGATTTGCAATGTGGCCATCAATCTAAGTAGGTCGACGTCACGGTGCACATTGATTTGATGATATTAGATAGTTACCCAGCCGACAACTGCTACCTTGCCGTGGTGGTCGGGTTTGAATACCACAGTGACTTAACAAGCTAAACTGTCTGGGACTCATGTCCTGCAGGTCCTACCATGTCAGGAACGTTGTTCGGATAGCGGTCAGACTAAAAGCAGTTATCATGGGTTACATGGGCTCCAGAATTCAATCAGATCAAATGGCGTATTGGTCACCGGCAACCATGGGACGCTGCTCCTCTGCCTTGAGGATTAGACTCCAAATCAAAGGCTGGGGGGTGGTCCATTAAGAAAACCACCTGCTTCGGTCTGGGCCCCGGGAAGTATCTCAGCCATCACACAGTAAATGAAATAAAGCAACAAACTATCACTGAAACTCATCGCGCGCTGTAACAGTGATTTCAAGTAATAGTGATGCCTCAAGTAACCTATGTCCTTTCAACCTTACTTTCATTTTTATGCATAGATTCCTGTATTTTACCTTTACTAACCTTGACTTCTTCATCTTCGACAGCCTTTCGCCTTTGTCTGAATTCCCAGCCTATCTGTGTCGTTTCGACATGTTAGTGAGTAGCCCTCAAAATGGTTGTCCCCAATGTGACATCTAACACAGATATCCTGAAGCCGCGTGCCGCGTTCAAGCTGGCCACCTACAATGTTCTATGCAAATCGGAAAACAGGCAGGGTTGGTAAGAACATTTGAAAGCCTCGCTATCGATGTCTGCTGCATTTCGGAGACCCGCATTCAAGATCCCAGTGAAGTGCTTCGATTATCCTCTCCATCTGGAAGTTCTAGCAGTATGTACCACCTGCACTTGCCCGGGGATCCTGTGGTGTTGGCATCCGACGTAGCTGGTGTCGGTGTCGCCCTGAGCGCCAGAGTCGAGGCTGCATTGCTCGACTGGAATCCCAATAACAGTCATTTAACTGCTATGAGGCTGGAAGGTTATACGAAAGTTAGGAGTAGTAGGCCAGGCAGGCAGTGTCTGCTTGTTGTCTCTGCTACGCACCGATGGATTGCAGCCCGGATGCAATGAAGGATGAGTTCTACTGCCAACTTGGCGATCTCATGAAACAGGCGGGTCTGAGGAATATCATAGTGCTGGCTGGGGGCTTGAATGCAAAGGTCGGGCGTCTAAGCTCAGAGGAGAATCGTCTAGGTGGTCAATGTGGACTACATGGTCGCAGGTCAGATAATGGGGACCGTCTTCTGCAGCTTTGCGTGGATCACAACCTATTTCTAGCCAGCACCAACTTCCGGCACAGCCATTGCCGTAGCGCTATCTGGCGTCCTTCCTCTGCAAATCAAGCTTGGACTCAGATTGATCATATTGCTGTCAGTTTCCGGTGGCGAGGCTCAATGTTAACGTCTCTGACTACAGCACTGGGTGACGCGAGTCCGAATCTCAGAAGGGACATGAGTTCCTTCAAGGTTTCAGATAAGCCTTGCTGACTGGTGAGTGCCAACTAGCACGAAACCTAGATCGAGGGCTTCCTGCCGATTGCCTCCAACTATCTAATATCATCGAAGCTGAGTGTATTGTAGTTACGTAACAAGGTGAATAACCTATTGAGTGAGTTGTGATCAGGATGCATATAGAAACGAAGGAGAATATAGCATTATGTAAGAGGTAATAAGAAATACACCAGTCATATGAAGTTAGAAAAACAGATAAAAATCAAGCTAGTAGAAATCAATAGTGTTTTTACTTACCATGATAGTGGAAGTGGTTGAATAATTTTCTTTTTGCAAGCGTAGCTCCAGTTTTTCTACCTGAATATGATTAGTGCTTCAGGACTGCAAAGGTGATGTAAACGTATTGCATTTGGCAAGGAGTGTGATAGTCGAACATTTGTCAACACTGGTCATTCTGTCTTACCGAATGCCTCCTTCAAATTGATCGACACAATGTTTTGATTGACTGACTGATTTAACATAGAACTTTGTACCGATGTGCAGCAGTTCAAGATACCACATTCCACGTAACACACAAAGCAAGAGAAGAAAGTAAAAAGAAACGCAAAATAGAGACAGTAAACAGAGATATGAGTAAAAAATAACAGTAATAACGAAGAACCATATAGTTTTATTGGAAATTACAAATCACAAGGAGTGGATGCATGCGCGATAGCCATTGAGAACGATTTTGAGCCATATCACCAATTGTTTCCAGCCTTCATTGATTTTTACCATCCCGACGACCCCAACCAGTCAGCGGTCTACATCTTGCTGTGTGGTTGGTTGGCTTAAGCTAACTGTTGTGGATTTTATTGACTGATGATGCCATATATTGATTTGAACACCACTGGCTCTTTTACAACCTGACTCATTTTATGTCAGCTAACATTGCCCATTGTCGAGGAAAGCGATGGCTAGGCATGCGTGTGTAACACATGTCCTAAGCATCTCAGTCGACGTGGTGTCACAGCCTCGTCTATTGATTTCCCCTCCTTACCTAGCACTCAACCGATGCCTAACCCCAATATTGCTCACCCTTATATACCACTTAACACGAGAGATAGAATGCAGGCATTTCTGATCAAAGACAGCTAATCTATCTATGTCTTGCCCTCTCAACGGCCAGGTGTCACAGCCATCCACAAAGGAGGACGGGGAGAACTGCTGAGCTGTACACCCGCCCTTTGGTCGGTAGTCGTCTACGCCAGAGACGGCGTAAACTGCAATATGCGAAACTAGCCCTCTGTATCCGTGCTGAGGTTTCGTCAGCGATCAACCTGTTGGCATTGGCTGATGCAACTTCCCACCCAAATAACTGAATTGGTCAACACGCTCAACTAACCACTTCACTCCCTATTTCTAAGCTAGGAGTCAATGTAGTCCAGTCCTATAGCATCATCTTGGCGTCAGCGGAGGAATCGCATGTCAAACATTAGAAGATTGCTTCCTCTCAAGGTGTTCAGAAGACTGCTTTATTTTGTCAGCGTCTTCACCTAGAAGGACTATGTCATCTTCATATTCTAAGTCAACGAGATTATTCCCTGGCAGCAAATCAATCCCTAAGTCGTTGAAGTGAGTTAGGGTTAATTCCATTAGTACATTTATGATGCTGATGCTACTTTCCTATTTCACAGACTGAAGTATGTAGACCAGGAGTCGAATCTGGGAAGACTTAAGCCAATGAATCACGTGTCTACTACATTTCATTGAGTAAATATTATGGCCGTTTAACTTTAAAAAACATACAACTGCTAACTAATTTGACTGTTATACATTTTACGAGTGGCGATGAACGAGGATAAACGATTCACGTGAGAAGGAGAGAGAAAGACTTATTTCATTTTTGCATATAAAACTGATTACATGAAACGTTTACCTTAATCATTAATTATTTTACAGAATGAAGATCCCGCTATTTACTCTATTGGAAAAAGACATCCAACCTCTTCACCTTCTTCAACCTTACATCAATTTGACGTGTAATTCAAACAATGAAGACTCTGGTATTCATTCTAAAGTCCAGTCTAATGACTATGCTAAATCTTCATGGTTTGAAGAAAACTATATCCCACTGATCCCTTTAAATGCTCGTAAACGTCACTGGTTGAATTCAACTCGCAACCGACATGAAGACAAATCAAATATTGGACACTACTTTCTACGTATAGTAATGACACGATCCTGTTCAAAGTTTAATAGTACATCGGATTACTATTCTGCATCCCAGTCAGATTTATCTGTAATCCTTGATAACACCTCGTGTAGAGTGAACACTATGCTGCATCCGGAGAATCATGTGAATATTAGTGTTCAACCTCTGGATATTGTAATTATTCCAGAAGTACTTGATGAAATCAGCGAATTCATTAACAATTGTTTAGATTATAAAGGATCGCTTGTTGATGTTGTTGGAGGAGATTCTTCTTCACCTGAAGCCTATTCGGTTAAGAAAGATGATATATGCATGGAGTCTGTTCTCAGTGTTAATTCATTACCGGTTATCAATGCTACAATTGATTCATTTCGAATGTTCTATGTATTATCTGGAGTAAGTTGTCATTTAAACTTTGCTCTTATTTTGAGTTGTTTTTTATTCCTCAGTTAATTTTACTTTCTTCAGCTCTTCAGTAGTATTTATGCACATGTTTTCACCATACCTAACCTTTTTTCCAACCTACTCCTATATCAGATAATTTTATTATTATTTATTTTGTTCCGGCTTCGTACATTGTACGAAAATTCTGTGTCCCCATCCTAATTTTTGCTTTCATCGGAAGAAGGCACATCGACTGACTGGCTTCCTGAAGGCTTTCATCAGCCTGCGTCATTTCACAAGCCCGATTCCAGCGAAAAATAAGGTTATTGTTTATATTTTTAGTATTTTTTAATATATTTATGCGTTGAAATTTCTGTAGCGATTTGGTTAAGTTTTGTGGGTGGAGTTGCTAGCACCACGTCCTAACCCTCCTTCTTTATCCGGGCTTAGGACCGGCTGGAAAACTGGCGAGCTAGTAATCTAGGCGAGGTTGATATTCCTAGTTGTGGTGGACTGGATTATGCGTCAGACAGTGGGAAACGAGAAGACAGGGATATCTTGGATCGACGTGAAGAACGTAGACCTGGATTTCGCGCGTGGATGATTTATGTTTGATATCACACAAAATCTAAGGCTTACAAGCTAAAACCAATAAACTGGTCGAAGAAGCAGCTGGTGAAGACAAGAATCCAGGTGAAAATAGACAAGACGGAGGTTATGAAAATAACCAACTAACAATAACAACAACGACAGCAACATCCAGCGCCAATCACCATCAACGGGAGGGATGTAAAAGAGGTCACTTCATTCACTTATCTAGGGAGCATTGTCTCAACTACAGGCAGTGGGAACAGACAAGGATGTCAAATCGAGCGAGAATTGGGAAGGCGAGAAACACACACATTCATCAACCTGAAACTAATCTGGAAATCTTCCGCTGTCACACAGCATCAACAACAAAATTCGGTAGGATTTTCAATACAAACACGTCAAGTCAGTTAGTTCTTCTATACGGATCAGAAACTTGGCGGGCGGGGGGGGGTCACAAAGAATACTTCCAACAGCCTGTTGCAGACCTTTATCAACCAGTAACTGTCTTTGCTGGCTCTATACTGAAGATCAGATGTTCGGGCCGGAAAGAATCACCAACAAGAAACTCTGACTGGGAACAAACAAACGAAACAAGAACCAATCACCGATGAACAAATATGCAGGAGAAAGTGGATGGCGATGGATTGGACACACACTGGGTGAGGAGGCCGCTAGGTGAAATCGTGCACACGTCGGGCCATTTCTCGAGTGGAACCTGGCCGAAAGGAAAGCGGCGAGTGGGACGTCAGTGCAAGGGTGACATGGAGGAGATGGTGTGAAGAGAGAGGAGTTGAAACAGTATAGATTAACATGGATGGAGGTGAAAAGTACAGCAGAAGGAAGACAGAAGCAAGTTGAGACGTGCAGCTGAAACCCTATGTTCCACTGTTAACTCAAGGGAACAATAATAAATATAATAATTTATTTTATTCATATACGTTCTCAGTTTCCGTTTTTTTTACGGGACGGAGTTACTAGCCTCATGGTTAAACTTACCTTTCCCCCAGTCTTATTAATGACTTAGTGAGGTAAAGAAGTGCATCAACCGAGGACCGAACCTGAATCTAACCACCTGTGTGGTTGATGAGCATTCTACAGCTGTGCCACAGACGCGTCATATCAGGTACTGAGTAATCTTAATTGATGCAGCTTTACTACTCATCGGATTGTCCTTCTCTCCCTGTTCGACCTCAATATTACTGATAATAATATTATATCACTTAACATAAAAGACAGAAGACAATTATCTGTGACCCAAGACAACAAAAATTTTCGCATCCGTTTCTTTCAGTTATTCTATGTCGAAGCCATAAAGACGAGGACAAAGCAAACTGCTGCGTAGCACACACACATCCTTTGGTCGATAGCCGGATTTCATATCTACTCCATGGATGATATAAGTTGACAGGTAGGATACACTAGTCTTCTCTATCCTTGCTGAGACCTCGTCAGCAGTCAGCTCATTAGGGCTGATGCAACTTCCGAAATGACTGAAGTGGTAACAGATTCTCTCATTACACTCGGTGTCTTTTAGCCAAGAGTCAATGGCGATTGGTTTTTGAAGCAGCAACATGTCACACTTGACAGGGGCGAATCCTATGTCAAATATATTCGAAGATTTCTGCGCAAGTTCTTCAGAAGACTGTATTTTATCAGCCTCATCACCTAGGACAGTAATGTCATCCTCAAATATTGTAAACCAGTGAAACTATAATCTGGTAAGAAGTCAGTCCTTATGTCAAACCAAAACATGGCGCCAGTCAATGAAATCCACAACAGATAGTTTAAGCCACTTAGGAAGGTGTAGATTTCTTGGCTGGTTGGGGTCCTCGGGACGGTAAAAATCAATGGCTGGAAACTATTGGTGATAGGGCTTAAAATCGTTCTCAATGGCTATCGCAGATGCATCCACTCCCTGTGACTTATAATTTCAAATGAAACTATATTGTTCTTCGTTATCACTATTCCTTTGTCTCACATCTCTGTTTACTGTCTCTATTATGCATTTTTTCTATTTTCTTCTATTGCTTTGTGTTCTAGATGGAGTGTGGTAACTCGAACTGCCGCATATTGGTGCAAAGTTCTATGTCGAAAACAGACAGACAGACAGTCCTTGTGTATTCAAAGCAGGTTAGGGTCAATTCCATTAGTACATCTAATATGAAATTCAACAAAAAACTGGGGTCAGTCGGCATCCCTGATTTACACCATTGGTTGTCAGTTTTTTTAAACTTCTGTGTGAGCTAGAGTAGAGTTCCTTAACTAGTGCGATATATTTCTTCTGCACCCTTTTTTTACGGCCAACAAAATTTTCAGGTTGCATATTTCGTTATAAAGTACCATTTAACTGCCTATTGGTCATGCACCAATGCATAGTTACAAAGGTATGGTCCATTGATGATTGACATATCATCTAAAGTCTTCACAATCTCTGTACCAGGTAACTGAGTTGTTCGATAGGCTAAGTTAGCAGTTCTGGTGCCTTTTGTGTCTTTTTATAATGAACTACCTAGACTAGCTAGCCACTTCAAATTGTATCTACCAATTCAACTGCGCTTGTGATGGAGCAAGTTGTATTGGGCGTTGCTCTAGGAACTTGAATTCTCGTGCTCGCTCGAGAACATCTCCCACTATAGCTAAGTAAAGATGTAGTTAAAACCATCAACAGTTCGATATTGGACCATCTGGTGCAAGTCGTCCACAAAGCCAGCCAGCATTGAAGAATCCTTCTCTATAATCTACCGGGTGCCTAATAAACTGCCAAAATCATCGAAGCACCGCATGCTTCAAACAGCAGAGGCTATTGCAATTCGCCTGAAACAACCAATGCTTTGTATGCAAAAGAAGTAAGTCCAGCCCCTACTACTACTCTGGCTGGCCTTCAGCCTTCAGCTTATTTTATGTTGATGCTATTCAGCTGTAATCTATCAATATTATTGATTCGATGTTATTTAAACAGCAACATTAATGTTGTTCATAACACTAATTCATTCATTCACTATAATGTATCTGTATAACTGTAGAGCCTGATGAAGAAGGAGATGTCGAAAAGAGTACTCTTTGTTCATTCAATGATGTGCACATCATGATCAATGTGTTTTTCTATTTTTTTTTCCTCTTAGCTCTCTGAAAACAACCACAGCGTCAAATATCCTAACGCTTTAATGTTGTCGTGTGATTTTATTCAAGTTAAACCGTTAGTAGAAAATTTTATCGAAAGACCAGTCTGGTGTATCAGTGATGATACTCACCTGTCGGTGAAACAACAACACCAACAATCATTTGCTGCATCTAAGCCTATTGTTGTAATTCCTTGTGATAAACAAATCAGTATACTGGCTAATTGTATAAATATTTTAGCAGTACCTTTCAAGTTTATGTGTAATGTAAAGCCTGAAAATGATTATAATTCATCTGTATCGAATGCTATTGCTCAGAATCCAGCGAAAGATTGGAATCGTGTAGCTTCTTATAGTGATATGTAAGTTGTATTTGAATTTTATACTTAACGATATTAATTTTGTTTTTTACGAGTTGATCACGGTTTGAGAGATATCAGTTAGAGAACCATTGAAAACCACCACTGGAGAGCTGTTTCATCCTAGTTTGGGAATCATCGGAAGTACACACCCACCAGCCAGGGTTCGAACACAGGACCTTCCGGTTACAAGGCGAGCTAGCTCGTCTACCATTCAGCCTTATGGGACCCGATTCCTCAATGGCCAGCCCATGAATTCTAGCTTCTACCAATTCGTGTTTTAGCGCGACTGGTACCAACCAATGTCGTCGGTTTAATCGTACTACTCAAAGGTTAAATCACACTACTGAGTATTAGACTACTATGTAGTTGGTTCTTAGCATCTGGAGGATATCAACCACAGGCAGTCTGCGGTAGTTTAGTACTTCATGGATTGATGCAGTATTTTATTTTTTTAATGACCACCCTTAATTCTTTTTCAGCCTCTAAATCTATATCAGCTAATATTAATTGACGAAGAAGGTTATGACTTGGCAAGCGCAAGACACATCTAATACATTTCACTCGATGTGACTTTAAAACCTTATCGATTTACTCGCCCTTCTTATTTAACACTGTATAGCGTATCTCAATAGTACTCACCATGTTGTAACACTTAACACGAAGCAAACACACGTGGTTGAAGACAACTAGCCTTTCTTATTTCTTCGACTTTCAATGGCCTTCAAAAAAGGATAGAGAGAAGAGCTGAGTTATGCTCGAAAAACGGCTAGTCGATGGACGAAATATTCAGAATAGTGCTCATAGGTATAGCTAATAAGTGTTGGTCAGAATGATTTTATGAAAAAAAAGAATGGCGGAAGCATTCAGCGAATTTCTACTTCTTCACATTAGTAGCATGACTGAGGATTTTTCTTAAAAGAGTTGACCTCTTGTCCTTAATTTTTAAATTTCTATCGAAATATATCTAATGTCTTCTGAAAGGTTAGTAGACTATTTCTAAGGTTTCATTGTTGTTATCTACTGCTGCTGAGTGGTTAATAGAGTTTTCTCCGTCGCCAATTATGTTATGTACTCGTCGAGTAGTTAATAGTCCTGACGCAGAAATAGGGAAGTCAGAAGACCACCAGGTTTACGATGATACTTGTATTTTACGGACAAGGAAAATAAATGTCACACAAGTGTGTGAGTGGAAGGGTACGTAAGTACGAAACGTGGGAACACAAGAATAATAAAGTGTACAATGCAAAGTATATATGAAAATGGCTAATACACATGAACCAATAAGACAACGTCTTACCATGATTGGTGGTAATGTCATGTGACAACAAGGTCATACATATTTATTTAGTTAGTGGAAAGAAAAAAGCATACTGTCAGTTATAATGAAATATCGATCCATTTACACATAGCAAAGTATGATAGACTGTCAAAAACAAAACACACATCATGTGGGTACATATCAATTGTCTCTATCTATCCAAAGAAAATCACGATATTCTATGACATTCATTTTAACGTCTCTTCAATTTATTGAAGTTTGATTGCATGGAGGATTTAATCATGAGCTGACATCAGTTAGAGAACCACTGGAAAACCTGGGAGTACTGGACAGCTGTTTCGCCCAAACTAGGACGAAACAGCTGTCCAGTACTCCCAGGTTTTCCAGTGGTTCTCTAACTGATGTCAGCTCATGATTAAATCCTCCATGCAATCAAACAAAATCCCTACAAAACCAATACTTGAAAATTATTGAAGTTTGGCGACTTCAATAAATTGAGACGTAGATGAATGGCTTACATGTACTCGATTTATAGCTTGTCGGTCCTAAGTTCGAATCCCTGATAGTTGTCTTCAGCCTGGGTAACTGAGTAGTATCACCAGCCCTTATAGCCTTAAAGATGAAGAACCTGTTTCAGGAGTTGAGTTCAAACAAATAAGTATATAGCAAAAATATTCATTCAGACATCTATAAAACACAAAATAATCGAACAACAAATATCCTTTTCGATAAATTCCTCTTCCGGCTCTACAATTATATATGCATGTTTATATAAACAGAATATTCTAGATTAGTAGTCAATAACAATATTAGTGTTTTTTAAATAATATCGATTTGTAAAGTAAGATCATTGGAATTACAGTTCATTAAAGATGCTTAAATAATAATAATAACAATAATAATGAAGATACACTAGCGAATAGAATATCAACTAAAATCAGGAAAATTCTACAAAAATTCAGGATCATTCAGACCTAGGTGGTCAAGGTAAGGATAATGTCTGAATTAGCTTCTTTTGGACGCACAAATCAGGCTTCTTAATATGGATCCCAACGGCCAGCCTCAGCAATATTTAGTAGTAGAACTCTTAAGGCGAAACTGAGATTCGTAGGTATGCGGTAAATAACCCTGAAGGCTTGGTTAAAATCAATCTTGTGTTCTGTATCCACAAGATGAGATAGAATAGCGCTGTGAATAGATTTTGTTTGTCTTTCACTTAACGAGCCACACAGGGTGATGTTCGGAAATTAGACGAGAAACACGCCTAATTGCACCACCTATGTAACTGGCTCACTCTACAGGTGCAGTTAAATTGGTAGATGCACTCCCGAACGCAAAAGAGGAGTGGTTTTAAAGATACAGCGTAATTCGGTAACAGGGAATACTCTTTTTACCGCATTTCTAAGCCGCTGTGTTAGTATCTCGCTGGTGTTGTTCCCAAGGAACTGCATTTGTAAGAATAAGGCCTTTATAGGAACTGTTGGTACCTTGGACTGCTTTGATTTTAGATTCATATTCTTATCAATAAACTTTTCTGGATAACCACTTTCACTCAGCAACCGTTTGATACTATTAAGTTCCTCATCAAGATATTCATCCGAGCAGATTGCTCTTGCTCCGTGAACCAATCACTTTATCAGATTGCGTTTGTATTTCAACGGCACGAAGCTGAAAAAACGAGTATACTGACGAGTTAGTTGATGTAGGTTTTCTATAAACACTTCTTATTGTGCCATCCTCTTTTTTGGTCAGAAGGTTGTCTAGAAATGAAATACGAGAGTCTTCTTCTTTCTCAATAGTAAACTTTATTGCAGGATGAACCTCGTTAAATTTATCTAGGATGTTCTTTACTTCCTTCTCATTTTCATAATCAAAAATGTATCATCCATGTACCGACAATAGAATTCGAGTTCATTAATAACATCCTTCAAAGGCCCATTTTCTAGTTTCGTAAAGAAAATGTCGGCTAGAATGGGTCCCTAGTGGTGACCCCATTGCCATACCATCGATTTGTCTATATAATTCCTTATTGAATAAAAAGTGGACATTCATTGTGCATTTCAAGAGAAGCTCTTTCATAAAAGATATAGAATCGATGTTTCGTCGTTTGAGTTCTTCACATACAAAGTTTACTGTTTCCATAAGTGGTACATTGTTGAATAAGGAAGATACATAAAATGATATCATGAATTTATTGTCAAAATTTAAATCTTTTAGCCTTTCAACAAATCCAAATGTATCCTTTACAGCACTGTGTTTCACCAACTCGGTATGATGAGGCTGTAAGAGTTCGACTAACCATTTGGCTACTGAATGGTGTGGTGAATTTAGCATATCTAATACTGGTCGAAGCGGTGCACAATATGTATAAGTATATACTGGATGTTTTATCTAGCAAAGCACTTCGTAGTTCACGCGATTTCCTGTCCATCTGTTGTTATATAATCGAATTAACTTGAGTAACTGAGTGGTAAACATTCAATAATATTATGAGGCTTTGTAAATGACATTCTATAAGGTAACTTGTACACATCGTTGTATCGTGTTTTTCCCCACAGAGATGATCCGCTCTATGGTTGGTCAATTGTACATTCATTTGATATTTCTGTTATCTTTGCACCTGCCTATGGAAAATATGAAAATTCTGAATCAGTAAGTAAATATATAAATAAATCTCTTTTTTTCTTGGTATTATTTTTATTGATTAGATTATTTAATGTCATATTATGGAACTCAGTTAGTTGATTGAAAACCCGTGGGAGAAGAGGTACAATGCACTAGCTTTGAGTCCTGTTTGAGTGTATTACAAAATGGGGGTAATATCAGTTGTAATCTTTATATGTGAAGCTGTGTCAAAACATTGAATCTAATGCTCAGCAAGCTTAGAAGATCACTGTTCAGTTTGTTTTCATACAATTGTAGGCTCTTTTCTTCTCCTTATTGTCCCTAGTGGAACATAGGGCTCCAGGCTTGAAACCTTGAAGTTCATGTGGCCTTTGGTGCGTCGGTGGCACAGTGGTTAGGACTCTCGCCGACCATGCACATGGTCCGGGGTTCGAGCCCTCGCCGACGCACACCTGATATCTATGGTCGGCCTGCGAATTTTGGGCTACCGATATCCACGCTGAAAATTCCATACTTGTACCAAAAATACGGTGTGGAATCAAGCTGTGATCAAAAATAAAAAAAATAAAAAAAATTTGTCCAACTTTGTCATTTTCCCAGAATTTCTGCCGGTTAGTAGACTAAGCAAAGTTTAGGAGTACGTCGGCCAGAGGTCGAATCCTCGACCACGATCATTCTATCACTAAGCCACCGACACATAGGCTTTCCTGATTACTCTGTCTCTAAAACTAATGTTCTAACTAGTTGTGGTTACCAGTAGAATTCAGAGTGTGCGTCCACTTGTTATTGAGACCCGTAAACTGGATGTGTGTACTCTTCAGTGGGTTATGTTTTTCCCTACCGGCACCCATCACTACAATTACTAATGTGTTATCCATTAGGCTAGTGAGTCATGAAAGTCATCCTTTATGAAATGCTTATGATGTTTTATTCATACTTGTGATTTCCAGTTAGTATTATAACGACGGAAGACAAGAGCTAGTCTACAGGTCGTTTATTGAGAAAGTCAATAGGCATTTATAGATTTCTATGTACATTATTCTTAGTGGAGAATCGACGTCTTCTGAATGGTCGTCTACTTGCTAAAGGCTATTCTGCTATCTCTTCGTGACCGTTTCTCAGAAAGTTAAGCCACATATATCTGCGGATAATATTTGCACACGTTAAGTCTGCTGTGATTGGCTGGTGTTTTTTTCAAGGTGAGGCTTCGTTATTGCTTTTTTACCTTATGACTCTGATTCGGAATGTGAACATAGACGTCGATTGCTGTCTACAATTTTGGCTAGCAGACAGCTCTCACCACAATATTTTAGGACTGAATAATTTAGCCTCAGGCATAAAATGGATCCTCACGAAAAACCTCGACAATTTGGACTTCGCCGATGATGATATATGTCTGATTTCCCACAAACTGAAAGATATACGAGTGAAAAGCAACAAGTTGGCAGAAGAAGCATCCACAGAAGACAGCAAGGACTTCAGGTGAACATAGAGAAAACATAGGTGATGAAGATTCCTAGACAACACCAACAGCCACAGCAGCAACAACATCAGATAACAATCAGCATAAATGGGAAGAACCTGAAAGAAACAACCTCCTTTACCTACCTACACGGGAAGAATCGTTTCAACTACAGGCCTAACTGACGAGGATATCAAAGCCAGAATCGGGAAAGCAAGACAAGCTACCATTACTCTCAAGTCTGTGTGGAGGTCAACAGCACTCAGCATGAAAAATAAGTTCTGGATTTTCAACTGTAATGTGAAGTCAGTGCTACTAAACGGATCGGAGACTTGGCGCGTCATGAAGGGCACCTCAAACAAACTACAGACCTTCATCAACAGCTGTCTTCGCTCAATACTACTCAAGATCAGATTGATACAAAACATCAGCAACAGGGATCTCTGACAAAGAACCAACCAACCAGGAACCATACACGAAGGAAAGCAGGTGGGTTGGTCATACTCTGAGAAAGCCATCAAGTGACATCACACTCCAGGCCATCATTCGAGTGGAACCCGAACGGGAAGTGATGAGTCGGTCTTCAGTGTGAGGGTGACATGGAAGAGGTGATGTGAAGGCCATATGATGAAAGCATGTGGCAGTCGGGTGAAAACTTTAGCAGAGAACCTAACACAATGGGGAGGTGTGGCTGAAGCCCTGTGTTCCTCTAGGAATTAAATGAAATAATAATAATAATTTAGCCTCAAATTTTATTATTGACCAAATCAATGGGTTCAAGCTGGATCACGGACTGTTATCATTCTTCAAGGCACAAATGAGGACTAAGGTGAGTATTTGTCACGTGTGTCGTGCTCACCTGTAACTGTAACAGGGGATAAAACCGAAGACTGTTCAAGTTACGAGGTGAGATGTCCAATATTTCCTGGTTTTCAGGGGTTGTCTTACTAATGTCACTTCATGATCTACCTTGTGAGGCTAATAAAATCTTATAGAAACCAACACTTGTAAATTATTTAAATTGTCTAAACTTACATACTCTCATGTATTCATTTCTTTTCACATCTCATTCAGTTTGTTTTATGTTTCTCTTCTCTGAACTCCCTCCCTTATATAATTGTAGTACATTTACGGTGGATATTCTATGGAGTTTTCAATAATGAATGATTTATTAATATTGGCTGACTGTGATCTTATCTCGTATCTTGTACAACTTATCCCTTGGATCACTTCCAATTGTCATACACAAAAATCATCGTCGTCATCTTCACCACCAATAACACGAAAAACACTGCAACAATCTTTATTGCCAAGTCTTTTTGAAAAATTACTTTTCTCTAATAACAATGATTGTTTACTGTCAACTCCTAGTCGTTTGTTTATAACTACACGTCAAATTAACTTTCTTATGTGGAAATCAACCAGTCAAGGAGATGTCAGTGGAAAAGATGCGCTAGCTGTATTTACTAGCCAAATTAGTCAACCGCATATAATTTTAAATTTTGCTGGTACTGGGAATTACAATGCTTCGGATCATTTTGAATTTTCAATAAATGGTTTACAAGTAAGCGTTGAATGTTTGTTCCGTTTTCCATTTTCTCAGTGCATGTATATAAATATGTCTGTGTGTGTGTGTGGTTTATGTTGAATGGCTGAAAGTTGCGCCTCATAAAATCTCGGTCACTTGGGAGTAACTAATGTCATGTGTTTAGTTCCTAGCGTTGGTGATAAGTACATTTTCTGTTGGTCACCCAGCTAGGTGACTTGTTATCGCCGGTGTTCTTCGAATTTGACGTTTACTTGTCGAAGGCAGGAGGCACTGAGTCCAGGTTTCGTAATTGTTTGCGCCGAAAGAAGTAATGATTCCTAAGAGATTTGAATCCACGCTAGAGAGTGCTGCAGTCAGGGAGGGACGTTGGAGATGATACCTCTTGCTAACAAGCGTCAGCAAATGAGAACAGTAAGTGCACGGCTTCCTATCAATTTTTTCCAACCAAAGTGATAAGTTTATTATTATCATTATCCTTATGGGTTCCAAGGGGAACATAGGGTTTCAGCAGAACTGCCCTGTTTCAGTCGGTCCTCTGTTATCATTTTTAGCCTGCATCATGATTGCCCCTAGGTTTTCATTTCCTCCATCCCCCCGCCATAATCGCCTTCACTTCATTATTAAAGCGCTGGCCTGGAGCGTTATGTCGCTGAACGGTCTACTCAGCGTCGTCTGTCTAATCCCTCTCCATTTTCTGCATATTTGATGGGTAATAGGTTCTTGGTTGGCTCGTTGCCAGAGTTCCCTGTTAATTATGCTTTCTGAACATTGGCTCTTGATAAGTTCTTAATGCAAAAACTAAGAGAGGTCATCTATGTTTGCTAATTTTATCTCCTATGATTGCGCGTATTATCTTAAATAATCACTTAAGTCATGGTTATCCGCAGAATTGAGCCCCCTGTCTCTGTGGTTACACTTATCTTATCCTATTGTTATTATTACTATTTATTGTTTATTATTGCTTCCTTTAGTTCCTAGAGGAACATAGGGCTTCAGCCGCACATCTCCATTGCGATTGGTTCTCTGCTAGAGTTTTAACCTGACTCCGAGTGTGCCCATATGCTTTCATCTCTTCTTTACATGACCTCCCTTATGCCATCCTCAAAGACCAACTCGCCGCTTTCCTTTCAGGTTCCACTTGAGGGCTTGTCTAGTGATGTCACTTGATGGTTTCCTCAGAGTATGGCCAATCCATTTCCATTGCTTCCTGATTATTTGTTGCACAATCGGTTCCTGGTTGGTTGGTTCGTTCATCGCCAGAGATCCCTGTTGTTGATGTTTTGTAGCAATCTGATCTTGAGTAGTATTGAGCGAAGACGCCTGTTGATGAATGATGCAGTTTGTTTGAGGTGCTCTTCATGACGCGCCAAGTCTCTGATCCGTTTAGTAGCACTGACTTCACATTACAGTTGAAAATCCAGAACTTATTTTTCATGCTGAGTGCTGTTGACCTCCACACAGACTTGAGAGTAATGGTAGCTTGTCTTGCTTTCCCGATTCTGGCTTTGATATCCTCGTCAGTTCGGCCTGTAGTTGAAACGATTCTTCCCGTGTAGGTAGGTAAAGGAGGTTGTTTCTTTCAGGTTCTTCCCATTTATGCTGATTGTTATCTGATGTTGTTGCTGCTGTGGCTGTTGGTGTTGTCTAGGAATCTTCATCACCTCTGTTTTCTCTATGTTCACCTGAAGTCCTTGCTGTCTTCTGTGGATGCTTCTTCTGCCAACTTGTTGCTTTTCACTCGTATATCTTTCAGTTTGTGGGAAATCAGACATATATCATCATCGGCGAAGTCCAAATTGTCGAGGTTTTTCGTGAGGATCCATTTTATGCCTGTTTCCTCTCTGCCCGCCAGTATTTGTCGCATTATCCAATCTACTGCAATCAGGAAAATCATTGACGATAATGTGTAGCCTTGTCTCACTCCCGTCTTCACTTTGAATTACTGTAATTTTATTCATATTCTTTCGTCATCTTCCAATTTGTACACGATTGAATCATTCACGCCTTCGAGTTGCCCGCCACTGAACCAACGTTCAATGTTCACATTCTTTTACAAGTGCATTGGCAGCAGATTGAGCCTTGCACCCACGTTTGTGGTGAGCGAGTTGTCTGCCACTGAATCACCTATGCACTATAAAAACATAGCTCAATCACTTTTATATTAATAATTATTATTCCACATGGATGAAGTTACGTAATTATCTTCCCTCCATGTATATTTATCTCTTCATTTATTTTATAGGTAGACTGTCGACTGGGTCAATTGAAATCTCCATGTTCTCAATGTAAACCGATTGTAATCAATAAATTTAGTGAAAAAAAATCCCAAAAAGAACCATATGTTATTTTTATTCCATGTGAAATTGATACCAAAGTGTTAACATCGTCAATGGATAGAGTGATGAACCCGTTACAGTTGTGCAGTTCACTGATATTTTGGCATTCTGATAAGCGTATAGTCAATTCAAGAACTGGTATCAGCCAACCGTGTCTATCTATCACATTTCAACGACCTTCTCGATCTGACCACTTGTCTGCAGTTGTTAATGTATGTTTACAGTATAAATATGCGTTATGGCGATATCATTATATTGTTTATCATGTAGATATACATATTGTTTGTTTGATGTGATACACGGTGATTTTTTCCTTCACGTTCCCAGTGGAACATAGGGCCTCAAGCTAGTAGCTTGAAGTTTCTGTAGCAGTGTTTATTTTTACAGGATGGGGTTGCTAGCGTCATGCCCAACCTTTCCTCCTTACCGGTGTCACTACTGGTTTAGTGAGGTAAAGGAGTGCGTCTGTGGCCGGGAATCGAACCCCGGACCATGTGCATGGTCGGCGAGCGTCTTAAATGCTGTGCCACCGACGCACCACACAGTGATACACAGTATCAGTAACTGGATGACGTTGTGAGCCACAACTGTATTCTCTCTGTCTGTCTGTTCTCGACATGGAAATTTGCACAGTTGTGCGGCAGTTCAAGTCGCCACACTCCCTCCTTGTAGCACACAAAGCAACAGTAGAAACTAGAAGAAATGCGTAATAGAGACAGTAAACAGGGATATGAGACAAAAGGAATAGTAATAACAAAGAACGATATAGTTTCATTGGAAATTGTAAGTCACAAGGAGTAGATGCATCTGTGATAGCCGTTGAGAACGATTTTGAGCCATGTTACCAATTGTTTCCAGCCATTGGGTTTACCGTCCCGAGGACCCCAACCAGTCAGGAGGCCTACACCTTCCTACGTGGCTTAAACTAACCGTTGTGGATTTCATTGACTGGTGCCATGTTTTAGTTTGACCGCCGCTAGCTCTTTTCCAACCTGACCCTATGTACAACTGTATTGGTCATAATCACATCAATGTATTCAAACAACTAGAGAACTTCCTTTACACACACATAGTTCCACTCCCTGAGGGTGACTTTATTGCAAATTGCATATATATATATATATATATATATATATATATATATATATATTCATTGTGCGTTTACATGCAAGTGAATGCATTACAGTGACGGAAGGCTCTTTTTTCCCCTTTCAGATCATTTAATTTAGTAGGGTTAATCGTTCCAGGGCTTAGCTAAATTTCTATATTCAGATAACCTTATTTGATCTCGATCTGATAGTTGTTGGCCTTAGGTAACTGACCTTATAGTCATTACATTGTTTAGGAGCTAGTGATACTGCTCCATCTGGCTGACTGAATTTCGTCTGGGTAGGGCGGGATCGGAACCCTAAACGTATTGATCGGCAGTTGATTACCTAGACCAATAAGTAGTTTTGGTCTTTTTCTTAAGTAAATATATACATGTATTACAAATGTCGTTTCATGAATTTGCTGTCAATATTAAAAAAGAGTCATTTTTTTAATTTCTCAAACTATTCGAATCATTTAGCCTATGTCAAGCAAGCGCAGTCGTAATCGCTTCAATGTGCGTTTAAAAGTTGGACAAGATCAAACATTATGCATCCGACCGGATACACTGTCAGCTGTTCTATATTTCTGTAAATTCTTTCATGAATTATTTGAAGTTAACAGTTTTCTGCCAAATGATGAAATCAACAGGCGTCGTAATAATACAGATTTACTGACTTCATCAATTGGATCGCCATCATCATCATCGCCGTTGTCATCGTCATCATACACTGCAAGATTTATTCATCTTCTACACCTTTATCTTGAAAAGATTAACATAGAAACTAATAGTATTCGAGTGAGTTGTTCTTGTGTATTTTTTCTGCTTTGCTTTTATCATTATTATTATTAATTATTATTCTCAACCAACAAGCATAACAGCAGCAATATTAAGCGCCAATCACCATCAACGGAAGCGATTTGAAAGAGGTTACTTCATTCACTCACTGATCTAGGGAGCATTGTCTCAACTACAGGAAGCCGGAACGGACGAGGATGTCAAATCGAGCGAGAATCGGGAAGGCAGGCGAGAAACACATTCATTAACCTGAAACCAATCTGGAAATCTCCGTCACTCATCATCAACAACAAAATTCGGTCGGATTTTCAATACAAACACGTCAAGTCAGTTAGTTCTTCTATACGGATGAGAAACTTGGCGGGTGTGTCACAAAGAATCTTTCCACCAACAGCCTGTTGCAGACGTTACCTTTATCAACCAACAACTGTCTTCGCTAGCTCTGTACTGAAGATCAGAAGGCCGGGCCGGAAAGAATCACCAACAAGAAACTATGGGGACAAACAAACAAAACAAGAACCAATCGCCGATGAACAAATATGCAGGAGAGAGTGGATGGCGATGGATTGGACACTCGCTCGCTGAGGAGGCCGGTTGGTGACATCGCGCGTGCGTCAGGCCATTTCTCGAGTGGAACCAGGCCGAAAGGAAAGCGGCGAGTGGGACGTCAGTGCAAGGGTGACATGGAGGAGATGGTGTGAAGAGGGGAGTTGAAACAGTATGGACTAACATGGATGGAGGTGAAAAGTACAGCAGAAGGAAGACAGAAGCAAGTGGAGACGTGCAGTTGAAGCTCTATGTTCCACTAGGAACCCAAAGGAACAATAATAATAATAATTCCCTCAGGCTCCTAATGGCACAATGAGTTTTAGCAGCACATCGGCATTTCCCTCAGTTTTTTGCAATCTGTTTTAGCTGGCTGCGCAGTTGCCCATATACTTTCATTTTAACCTCACGCGTTCTACTTCATGTTACCCTTGGACGATGCACTGGTTGTTTCCTGGCCTATTTTCACTCGACGGCTTGGTGTATCATATCCACCCCGTTTCCATCGCCTTCTGCATATTCTCTCGGTTGATAGGTTCTTGACTCTTCCGTTGACAGAGCTTCTTGTTGCTTATCCTTTCAGATTGATCATCTGATCTCTTTCTTATACGAAGCAAAGGTAGATGTTGATTAAAGTCCACAGTCGCCTGTTGAAAATAGTTTTTTTTTAACGCGTTTTCCAAGCCTTTGAGGCATTAATAGAATCACTGACATGATATTTTAATGTTAAAACTTCAAATGCTTCTTCGTTCCCCTGGTGGCTGTTTTTTTATTGTCAATCGTTCAGCTTATGTGTATTTGAAACAATGCAGACCAGGTAGGTAAATAGTTGGAAGAAGAGACTCCCTTTGAAATCACCTCATATTCGTTCTTTCGTGTTTGTTTTTGTCAGCTAGGTACTTTCATCATTTTTGTTTCCTGTATGTTTCAATTGAGGTCCTGCCTTTTCTGGTTCTTCAGTCAGTTTGTGATTTTTCGCCTATAGATCATCGAGGGTTTACTTTATTAGACAAAAATCGTCCGGGATTTACAGATCTTCTAGAGTCTTCTTGTCTGTCCATTGACGTAGTTTAAAACAGAAAAGGTTCATCCGGTACTCAGCATTTTGCATCATGCCGATTTATGATGTCCTTTTAGTATCAGCGAACTTTTCCATTTCAGTAGCAACTCTTCTCCGTGATGTTAGTAGATCTATTTAAAAGTCTTATTCATTCACTAGTAGACTAAGTAAGTGCCCAGTAAATTATCAGTCCCTAAATGACGCATTGTACGAGAGGTGGCCAGCTCTCATGGCCCAAGTGGTCTAGTGGATAACGCTTTCGCTGGCGTTTGAAACTATGGGCAGTGCGTTCGAGCCTCAGTGTTGGGAAAATCATCATCACTCACTGAGAAATGCAGGTACATCCAGCTAGCTGACGAGTCCCAAATAGGACGAAACACGCGTTATCCTGGATTCCACTGCTAGTCACCATCCAACAATTAAATTCTAATTGAACGCCCAGACATCGTCGAAGCATCTTCACAAGAAGCCGACAGGCGTGTCAACCTGAAACCGAGCACTCCGCTCCAATCAATAGATGGGAAAATCTAAAATTCAATTAGACCCTAAATGAATTTAATAGTGTGAAATATTCCCATATTATGAATTAAAAGTCAATCTAAACGAAGAATATTCTTTTCAATAATTTCTCTTCAAGCTCTTACAATTATAAAATATAATATTTGTTGTCGTTACAATAAAGGGCAGTTATCCGGCGAATACATTTTTAACGTAGAATAACAGTTTAGTTATGGGGTGTCAAAATAAATAGTCGTATTTGAGTGTGACAAACGTGCTAGGCTGAAATCGACAACAAAATATTGTAAAACGGGAGACAATGGGGATGATTAGTCATAATAGATTTGTAGAGTATGGGGTAGGAAAATTGACAAGTCAGTTCAAGGTTATAAAAGGTGTCAGGTGAGTGGCTAGTACAAAGTGGTCTGACTTAAACAGGAGATAGTAGGACTGGAACGAGAGGATCATAGTGAGATAACGAATATGTGAAATGAAACAGGTGGAGGCATATATTGAGAAAACAGAATATCACTAATAATAAGTGCGTATAGTATAAATGAAAATTCGATAGTATTGAGGGAATGTTTGCATGAAGGGCATAAATTATGACGAAAATTAATAATTGTAATAATAAGCGAAGGAAAAAAATCAAGAGGGCTAAGGGGAAAGAGCAATCTTGGTGAGAAGAAGAATCATCAATCCAAGTTTGGCCACGGTAGGAACAGCGTCTTGACGTGTTATTTTTGAATAGAAAGTTCCGGTTTAGTCTATCTTGTTGCAACAGCTTCAGCTATGTGTAGGAGATGTAAGCGGACTGTACGTGATAACGACTTCGGAATTCGGTATATAACTCTGAAAGCTGTGTTGACGTCGGTATGATGTCCAGTATCGACTAAGTGTGACAGGATCGAGCTTTTTATGCACTTAATTTCTCCCCTGCTGAACCAAGCTGGTAAGTGTTCTCGAACCCGTAGACGAACCTGCCTAATCGTGCGCTCTATATATACAAGTAGTCACAATTTATGCTCTTCACGCAAATATTCCCTCCATACTATCGAATTTTCATTTATACTATCCGGACTTATTATCAATGATATTATCTGTTTTCTCAATATATGCCTCCACCTGTTTCATTTCACATATTCGTTATTTCATTATGAACCTCTCATCCCAGTCTTACTATCTCCTGTTTAACTCAGACCACTTTGCGCTAGCCACTCCACTCACCAGCTGACACCTTTTATAACCTTGAACTGACGTCGATTTTCCTACCCCACACTCTACAAACCTAAATGAATTGCTCTGAATTCTGTTACATGTCGAATTATGAGTTCGCCATTCGAATTGATACAATACGATACTAGCATGAATTTCGATAGCATAAATCTCAGTGTGGAACTTAATTACCCCTACACATATAGTGTGTGGGTGTGCTGATAATCCTACTTACAGTTTATCCGGCTGGGATGCGAATAAACCTAATGATATAGAGTCGAGTCCTTAAGCGCTATCTAACTGTGATGTTTCATTTTCAACCATGATATTTAATCATCGTTTTGTTTATTTTGTTTTCGTTTTCATTTTCAGATTAATCTACAGTTTGATGAGAGAAATAACAAAGGCATTGATTTCCGTGTATTAGAATTCAAACTCAAGCATCTTTCAACTGTAATACAACTAATTAACTCGACCAACAGCGGCGACACATTAACCACTTCAATTGAATATCTTTCAAATTTATCTGGTTTATCATTAAGCTGTCGTTCAGCTAGAAGTAATTCACTAATATTCACTAAAATAAGCAATCCTCGTAAACCAGTATATTTAATATGGCCTAATACATGTCTGACTGTTGGTGGATCAATCAATACTAATCAATACTGTATGCATAATCTTAATGATGAGTACTCTGTCTACTCATTTGATAAGGTCACTAGTCAAATTCAGCTTAATTCTAGTCTATTAATTCATTTACCTGTATATGGTTACATAAATGATTATATTAAGCTAATTCTTATGAAAATTACGCATATTGTAAAATCAATTCAAATTTGTAACAAGCTTCTTTGTTTTAAATCATCAACTGTTCAATGTTTCAATAAAAATGATAGCAGTTGTTGTATACATTGTTCTTCAACTGATAATTGTGTTGTTATACACAGCGATGATTTGCGTAGAAACTTTACTCTGTCGCAGTCATCATCGATATCCTCCTCGAGTCAATTTATGTTAATAAAACCTGATAATGTTGATCCCGTTCATCATCAATCTCATCCATGTTATCCATGGGTATTGAATCAGCAATTATGGGAACAATCACCTTTACAGCGCCATCGTTGGCCATTACAAAATGAAATTGTCTGTTGTAATAATCTGTTGAATAATTTCACTGCCAATGAAGACAATGATGACAAAGATGTAGTGGAAGACGAAGAAGAAGAAGAAGAACGATTGCGTAATCCACAATGGTTAGGTATAACATGGATGCATCCTGAAGTATGTAGACCGAATTATTTACGAATACTTCCTATACCATTTGAATTAGTCTCGTCGAAATTGAATAATGTTAGTGATGAGTATTCACTGAATGGATTTGAGGTGAGTTTTGATGAATTTTATTAAAAATTGTTCATTCTGAAGATACACGTAGATGTTAATTTCAAAGTTTATCTAATTGATTAAAAATGCCCATTAAAATTTTCAAAAGAATGGATACTGAACAAAGAGTACTCTCTTCTTTATCAGGCTCTACAGTTGTATATACATTATAGTAAATGAATGAATTATTGTTATGAACAACATTAATATTGTTTAAATAACATTGAATCAATAATATTGATAGATTACAGCTCAATAGTATCAACATAAAATAAGGTGAATTTCAGAAAAATTGGGACCGATAGTATCACAAATTCATGAATTTATAATCTTTACTGAAGGCTGGCCAGGGCAGTAGCAGTGTCTGGTTGGACTTACTTCTCTTGAACACAGAGCACTGGTTGTTTCAGGCGAATAGCATTAGCCTCTGTGATAGAGAAGGATTCTTCCACGCTCGCTGGCTTTGTGGCCGGTCAGTCCAATATGGAACTGTTGATGGCTTTAACTACATCTCTACTTAGCCATAGTGGACGATGTTCTCGTGCGAGCACGAAAAATCAAGTTCCTAGAGCAACGGCCAATCGGTAGATACAATTAGAAGTGGTTAGTCTATGTACTTCATCTTTCAGTCGAGGTAACACTATCGGTCGTGTAGAGAATAATACGTGTAGTTCGCCAGCATTAAAAGTTCTTTGAACTGATTTTCTTAATTTCCTCGTAATTTTCTCACTTGGTATATCGCCCTTGAATTGTAGTCGTATATAAAGTGGCTTCTTGTTTACAGATAGTGAGTACTCCTTTTCCACCGCTTTCTTTGTCATGTGTTTCTTGATAAATTTGTCGGGATAGCCATTTTCGATCAAAGTATCATATACAATGCTGAATTCATCTCCAGTTACTTCTTCTTAGCATATAGCTCTAACTCTGTGGCTAAGTGTCTTCACTAAATTTCTTTTGTACTTGATAGGAACGAAGCTGTGAAATGTGTAAAACGTTGTCCTGTCCAAGTGCTCTTTCTGTGCAAATTTCTTTTTATGCTACCATCTGGTTTTCTTGCAAGTAAGTAGGACATCCAGGAAGGCGATTCTGTCTTGTGATTCCTCTTCGCACGTGTGAATTTCATAGCCGAATGTACTTCATTGAATTCAGTAATGATTGTACTCCTATCAGAACCATTATCACAAAGGATGAAGGTGTCATCCATATATCAGCAATAAAATGAGAGCTTACTGATAAGGTTGTTCAGTGGTCCATTTTCTAGCTAACTTGGAAAGAAATCAGCCGGAATGGCACCCAATAGGGAGCCCATCACCACCCCGTCCTCTTGCCTGTTTTTATTTGTGTCTCTGTAACTGCTTTCCATATTGTGTGTAACCACCCACACGAAGCAATTATGCTTGATAAGCAGTTCAAAATTATGTAAACACTAGACAAGCGTTTCATTGGTTTGAATTCGAGCTCATGGAGGCGTACTCGGTTCGACCTAGCCTAGAAGAGTCTGTTATGCGACCTGTTGTCAACTGTGGTATGATCGCGTCGGTCACATTAAAATCTGCCTTGGGCATTGGAGATAGATTGGCCTGGTTGGTTGGTTGGCGATTTAACCAAGATTAAGGTAAGAAAAGAATGTTGAGATTTTATAGTCACAGTTTGATCACACGATGAATCATGAGGTTATTACTATTTAAAGCCGATTCCTATCAAAGTGAGAATCAGTTCACATACCACCCAAGTAGTTGTGGTGCGTAGTGTGTGTATCATCAAGCATTTATGCATGCTATCTTGATCGGTAGATCACATACTGTGTTCTATGACTGTGAAGCTTTGAGTTTTTATACAGTATCCTAATGAAGCTGATCCCTCCAGAATATTAATACATGGAGAATTACTACTCACTTCCTTGTAACATTAGGTGATAAATTAATTACATTACAGGTAAGATTTTATTTTGATAAGTTACACAGTGTTACACAATAATATTAACTAATGACGTTTCGAGCACAAATTATTGCTCATAATCATATCAAGTTACTCACAAAACTTTCTTGCTTCATTTGTATACATATGCGGAATCGATTAGATATTGAAATAAAAATTAATATGAGATAATGTACATCCAGAAATAATAATAATAATAATAATAATAATATGAGTGTTATTGATCAATTACAATCAGATTGGAAATAAGACGAGTGCTTTTATAGTCATAATAAGTTACCTGTTAGAATGTTGTGATGTGCTTGTATTGAAATAGAATTTTGAGATTATTTATTATCCTCTTCTGATTTGATTGGCGCTAATAATATCTTCCATGCATACTTCTGGTATTTGCATTGAGTCATTACTGTTGCATGTGTTGTGTTGGGTATAGACTCAATGAACCAGTCAGGATTCAGTAATCAATCTCTCTCCCCCAACTTATATTACTTTTTAGAATTTCAACCCTCTCCCACCATTCTGTTGTGTGATTGTGTGTTAATGCATAAAGTGCAATTGCTAAGCTTTTTTCTAAATTACTCATCTTCGCGAGTGGCTAAATTCTTATGTTCTGACAGTCTGATTACTCCCGATCTATTAGTTTGACCTATATAGTTGACCTCGAGGTCATTGCAAGATATTTTGTAAATTACATTATTTCTGAATGTACATTATCCCATATTGAATTTTATTCAAACATCTAGTCAACTCCACACACGTATATAAATGAAGTAAAAGGCTGTGTGAGTGAGCGACTTGATATGATTATGAGTGGCAATAGTTTGTGCTCGAAACGTGGTCATCAGTTAATATTATTGTGTAACACTGTGTGACTTATCAAAGTAAAATCTTATCTATATTGGCCGCACAAAGCGCGCGCTTTCCAAACGCATCCCTGAACATTATCCGGCATGGTTAGCAAAGAGACAATCCAAGACAATTACTAGCTCATTTCTCGAGCATTTGGTGAACTCAGGCCTTGTAGCTCCACCAGAGTCGTCTTTCAAGGTCATCTACAAAGTGAAGCCAAATAGTACAAAGGGCGTCAGATTTCGGCTCTTGTGTAAGGCGGAGGCGTTGGCAATTCATCAATACAACCCTGAACTCTGTATACAGAAAAAGTTTGTCCAGTCTCGTATTCTACCTTGGTCTTAACCTCTACACTAATCGTTCCCTGTAAAAATTTTTGATTTTTTCTTGTGTTCTTAATTTTTAATTTTACTTTTGGTTTGCTTTTGCTCTAATAATTAATTCACTATTATCGATCTCATATGCTCCTTTTGTATATTTTCACACCCTCTTCACACTTATTAAATTGACACTCAAATACCACCTTTATTCTCACACAAAAGCAATTTTAACCTTATCAAACTTCTATCTTTGTGCCGTTGATTACCAAGTAATTTACAACTTTTAATTTCCATTTCTAAAGCCACTCTTGAGTAATTATATCAGTTAGGTCACCCGCCCGTATCACTCAATAATAGACCCCTATACATTTTTCTAAGTATAAATACGACTGTACAACCTTTGAAGATGATTTCTTCGATAAAGAAAAATTTTCTTTGCTCAGTCTGTCTTTTATTTTCATCTATAATGGAGTTATACTCTACTACAGTGCCCAATTTTTATGCTTATACCAAGAAGGCGATAAATTACTTACACTATCTTGATGGGACTATCAGCAGGAAGTAGGAATAGGCCACACTTAAAGTGGATATCAATCCATGAAGTCTCGCTGCAAACTATGTTTGGTGGCGTAGGATGATTGTTCAGAGGTCGTCGTTGGAGGGAGGCTTTTTGCCTTACTGTTTCCTCCTTTTACATCTACTTACTTACTTTATTTTCATTTTACTTGTTACATTTACTTCTTTGTATGCTTTTTTGATGCGTGTTGTTTTGAACTGAAACGTCCCCATGAAAAGTCTTTCAATAATCCGCGCTTTTGAAGAATGCTGCTTGAGGAGGCTTCCTGTGCTCTTGGAAGAGTGTTGGCGGTTGTTACTTCCCGGATGCCCACACTGTCAAAGTTGATTGATTATTCGGTTACCTGAAACAGAGAGGAGAGGGTTAGTGTTGCGTGACCGCAGAGCCTAGACGATAACTGCTTGAGGCCAGTCACACATGACCTGTATCAACTGGTTTCTTGGTTTGCTTTCGTCTTAGTAAACTTACTGCCGGTTATGGACTGCCGTCGGGTGAGTCGGGATGTACAATTGTTGGGGTTGGCCTTTTCTTACCCCCTCTCTCCAGGGTGGAGAGACAGTATAGGTGGCTATCATGCTGGTCATCTGGGGGAAAACACCTTACTACAGCTGTTACATCCCTGTTCCCCACAGCAGTACGACTTCGCCCACAGACCACCAGCATAGTGTAGAAAAATTCTTACACTAAGCCAGTAACTGCCTTTAGTCTAATCGTTATCCTAACAACCTTCCTGGCATGGTAGGACCTGCAGGAACATTGGTTCCAGCCAGTGTAGCTTGTTAAGTCATTCCGATGTGCAAGCCCGATCACTCCGTGTCAAGGTAGCAGCTATCGGTCGGGAGGACGGTCAAACCAAAACATGGCACCAGTCAATGAAATCCACATCAGTTAATTTAAGACACGAAGGAAGGTGTGGACTGCTGACTGATCGGGGTCCTTGGGATGGTAAAAACCAACGGCTGGAAACAATTGGTGATATGGCTCAAAATCGTTCTCAGTGACTAGCATAGATGCATCCACTCCTTGTGACTTATGACTTTCAATGAAACTATATTGTTCTTCGTTATTACTATTCCTTTGCCTCACACCTCTGTTTCCCGACCGAAAGCTGCTACCTTGACGTGGTGGTCGGGCTTGAACACCGCAATGATCTATTCAAGCTATACTGGCTGAGACTTATGTCTCTTGAGGTCCTACCATGCCAGGCAGGTTGTTTGGATAGCGGTTAAACAAAAAGCAGCTACCCAATCCAACATCATGTCCAATACAAAATCACAAAATTTCATGCCGGATCGGCCGTGGCCCGGATTAACAACGACCGCGCTTCCTGCTGCCGTGTCACAGGGCAGGAGTGATAAATCTGCTACTGAGACACACCAAACAAAAAAGAACGAACAAAAACAGGCCGCGTGTGACCGGCCTCAAGCAGTTGTCCCCTGGGCTCTGCGGTCACGCAACCAACTTCCACGGTGTGGGCAGCCGGGAAGTAACAATCGCCCTCACAATCCGAAATGCACACGAAACCTCTCTATTACTCACTCATCTTTGTCTTCATCTTCATCTCTATCATCTTGCCTTCCTTCCACTGATGCAACTCCTCGACTTGATAGCTCTCCACTTCCTCTCCACTCTGCGTCCACTAAAAACGATGGAAGCCAAAAAACCACCACCGACAGCCTCTTAAAGCCGCGCCACCAATTTCATATAGGAGCTCTTAATGTTAGGACACTTTGCCAAATAGGACAACAAGCATCACTAGCCAAGACCCTGGCATCACGAGCCATTGATGTATGCTGTGTTTCAGAAACACGCATACAAGACCCAAGTGTGGTTATTCACCTAACCCCACCTGGCCAACAGGTTGAATCTGCAAAATTCACCTTGAGGGTGTCAGGAGATGCCACAGCTAGTTCACGAGGATTAGCTGGCGTAGGGATAGCTTTGAGTACTAGGGCAGAAAAGACATTGCTTGACTGGATCCCGGTAGATAGCCGAATGTGTGCTGTCCGCCTGAACGGATCAGTAAGAAGGAGGAAGGACTGCACTACTCGCCGATGCCTTTTCGTAATCTCCGCCTACGCCCCCACTGACTGCAGTTCAGATGAAACGAAGGATGAGTTCTACCAAAAGCTGTCTAGTTTGGTGGAAAGGCTAAACGCTCAGACATAGTCGTTCTAGCTGGTGACTTTAACGCTCAAGTAGGGAAATTGTGTCAATCTGAGAAGGATGTCGGTGGCACCTATGGAGTTCCGTGCCAGCGAACCGACAACGGTGACCGTCTCCTACAGTTCTGCTCTGATAATCATTTGTTTCTTGTAAGCACTAACTTCAAACACAAGGAGAGACACTGTTTGACTTGGAGACCCCCTTCATCAAACCAACGCTGGACACAAATAGACCACATAGCAATAAGCTATCGTTGGCGTGGGTCGGTAGGAGATTGTCGCTCCTTCTGGAACACGTGCGTAGATACCGACCATGCACTGGTCCGCGCTCGGGTGTGCTTACGACTGAACGGACGTAGGAAACAGCTGGCGGTAAAACCATCACGTCCCCAGCTCGATCAGGAAACTAAATCCGTATTTGAGGAAGAACTAGCTAAACACATATCTGTGTTCGACAGCTGTGCTCACCCTGAAGAAGCTTGGAAAAATATCCAGGCAGCCATAGATACAGCTGTAAAAGCTGTGAATAAGGTAAACCCAAAGGTGAGTAAAAACCACTGGATCTCCACCGCCTCATCCGAACTGATAGATGCTAGAAGACTTATTCCGGCGAGCTCCGAATTCAATGAGGAGCGAAAGCTGCACAAGAGGAAACTTACGAAAAGTCTCCGCAAGGACCGTGAACAGTGGTGGGCGACAAAAGCCAAAGAGATGGAGAAAGCTTCGAGGATAGGCAACACCAGGCAACTCTTTGGACTCATCAGGGAAACGGGTGGGAGAAGACAAATCATTAGTGAGACAATCTCGGAAAAAAATGGCACTATAATTAGCTCCAGGATAGACGACTGGATCGTTGGAAAGAGCATTATGAGGAGCAGTTTAATTTGCCCACAGCCACGCTCAACCTTCCGAGCATCCAACACCTCCCTGAATGGGATATAGACACAGGTCCTCCGTCACTAACTGAGGTTACTAAAGCTGTCACCAATCTGAAACTAGGCAAAGCAGCGGGACCTGATGGAATGACTCCAGAGGTATTTAAGTACGGTGGAGACAGCTTACTGTCCGGATTAACTGAGGTACTAGGCAGCGTCTGGGAATCAGAAGAAGTCCCATCGGGTTGGTGTAAGTCACTGATTATCCCCATATACAAGAAGGGAGACAAGTCTTCCTGTGATAATCACAGAGGGATTAGCTTGACTAATATAGTATCTAAAGTCTTAGGCTCAATAATCATGCGTAGACTGAGTGGTGCTCGGGAAGCACAAACACGAGAGAGCCAGGCAGGCTTTAGACCAGGAAGAGGGTGTATTGATCATATCTTCACCCTCCGACAGATTCTAGAACATAGGCATTCCTACCGGCGTCCAACAGTCATTATATTTCTTGACCTAAAGGCAGCATTCGACTCTGTCGATCGGGAAGTTCTCTGGAGATGCTTGGCTGTAAAGGGAATTCCGAGAAAATATATTGCACTGATTAAGGCACTCTACTCGTACTCATACAGCCAGGTGAGGGCTTACGGCGAGCTGTCATCTGAACTGATGACGACCAGTGGTGTCCGTCAAGGATGCCCATTATCTCCTTTTCTATTCAACTTCATCATAGATGTGTTAATGGACTTAACCCTAGGTGACTTCAGCGACTCAGGGATTGACTTGCTACCGGGAATAATCTCGTTGACTTGGAATATGCAGACGATATAGTCCTTCTAGGCGAAGACGCTGACGAAATGCAGAGTCTTCTAAACACCTTGAGCCGCAATCTACGAATGTTTGGCATGCGATTCGCTCCCGCCAAATGCAAGATGATGTTACAGGACTGGACTACATCGACGCCTAGTTTAAAAATAGGAAGTGAAGTGGTAGAGCACGTTGACCGCTTCACTTATTTGGGAAGTACCATCAGCCCCAACGGGCTGATCTCTGACGAAATCTCAGCACGAATACAAGGGGCTCGTTTCGCATTTGTTAGTTTACGCCGACTCTGGCGTAGACGAGATGTTCGACTATCGACCAAAGGGCGGGTGTACTGCTCATCAGTCCGCTCCGTCCTCCTTTATGGTTGTGAGACCTGGCCACTGAGAGTGGAAGACATGAAAAGACTAGCTGTCTTTGATCATAGGTGCCTGCGTTCTATTTCCCGTGTAAAGTGGCATAATAAGGTGAGCAACATTGAGGTTAGGCGTAGAGTTCTAGGTAAACAGGGGAAATCAATCGACGAAGTCGTGAAGCTACAAAGACTGAGATGGTTAGGACATGTGTTACGTATGCCAAGCCATCGCCTCCCTCGACGAGCAATGTTAGCGGATATAGGGTCAGGCTGGAAAAAAGCTAGCGGCGGTCAAACAAAAACTTGGCATCAGTCAATGAAATCCACAACAGTTGGTCTAAGCCACGTAGGAAGGTGTAGACTTCTTGGCTGGGGTCCTCGGGACGGTAAAAATCTATGGTTGGAAACAATTGGTGACATGGCTCAAAATCGTTCTCAGTGGCGCAGATGCATCCACTCCTTGTGACTTATGATCTCCAATGAAACTGTTTTGTTCTTCGTTATTACTCCTTTGTCTCACACCTCTGCTCACTGTTTCTATTATGCTTTTCTTGTACTTTCTTCTCTTGCTTCGCGTGCTACACGGAGTGTGGCGACTTGAACTTCCGCACATTTGTGCAAAGTTCTATGTCGAAAACAGACAGCCAAAGACAGCTTGTCTCATATGGTTGTTTGTTGGCCTTTCTGCTAAGTTTCCATCCCCAGCACATTTACAACCGACTAGGTGAGGCTTAGGAGAGAGGCTGGTACTCGAGAATCTACCTAACTTTGACCGATATGCGTTGTTGGTGATCATTTTACTATTCCATCCTTAAAAAAAAATTTGAATTTTATAAGTGCATCAAATTTACAATTTAATGGCATTGCCTTTATACTTCGTCGTATATTACAATTTTAGCTTCAATGTTACCTACAGTATTGGGATCCATTTCATCAGTACAATGGAAGTTTCTTAACATACTCTTCCTTCATTCTGAGTGATAGTCAGATCAATGAATATGATTTATCAAAAGTGAATTCATTCAACCAATATGGAGTTGTACCCTCAACAGTTCAGACATATCAACAAGGTAGTAATTGTCAAAATAATGCAAACATATCAAATTGTTACGTTGAAAGAAAAGAAAAGGTGAAAGATAGTGTCGATTATTCTTCGGATTCGTTGTCCTTTAATTTACACTTCTCAGATGATAATAATACAAATAACTCTTCAGTGCCTACAGATAATACATCTTATCAACCAGTATCGGCGATTTGGCGAATTCTTGTTGATTTACGAATACGTCCTAGCTCTGGCATGTAAGTTACTTTCTGTACTAATGGTTTTTTTTTATAAACACTTACGCCATTCCGTAGTTGTTGGTTTCTTTCAGCTTGAGTTACTTATGTTTCTTTTGCATACTAACGGTAGATACCCGGCCTTCACCTCGGCTGCATCGTTTCAACTGCAGGCGGCACAGATAAGTGTGTCAAATTCAGAATCCCATTAACCAGCTAAACAAACAATTACTCTTAAATTAGCTTGGAAATCTGCTGAACTAAGCATAAGGAAAATGATCTGGATTTTCAAAATTAGTATCAGTTTGGAGAGATGGAATACCCCCTGAAGCACTGAAAGCGGACCCAGCAGACATGCTGACTCCACTATTGCAAAAAGTGTGGAAGGAGGGAAAGGTGCCTACTGACTGGAGGAAAGGTTACCTCGTGAAGCTACCAAAGAAGGGCGACTTAGGACTCTGCAAGAACTGGTGAGGAATCATGCTCCTGTCGACGCCAAGTAAAATCCTGAGTCGCATCGTCCTGGAGACAATAAAGGACGCACTGGAGACAGAACTCCAACCGGAACAAGCTGGATGCAGGATAAGCAAATCATGTTCTGACCAAATTGCAACTCTACGCACCATCATCACAGAACAAAGCATGAAATGGCAGTCAAACCTCTACCTCAACTTTATACACTTTGAGAAGGCCTTCGACAGCATTGACTGCGAAGTAATTTGGAAACTACTCGAGTAATATGGCGTACCCCAAATATTCATCAACCTTATTCAACAGCTGTACGACAACAGCACATGTCAAGTGATCCACAAGGGAAAACTCAGCGAGGCGTTTGGAGTAAACACAGGAGTCAGACAAGGGTGCTTACTACCACCAATGATATTCCTAATTGTGGTGGACTGGATTATGCGTGAGACAGTGAGTGGGAAAGGAGAAGACAGGAATATCCTGGACCGACGTGAAGAACCTAGAAGACCTGGATTTCGCGCGTGGATTGTTTATGTTCGATGCCAGACAGAATCAAAGACTTACAAGCGAAAACCGACAACCTGATCGAAGAAGCAGCCCGCGAAGACAGGACTCCAAGTGAACATAGACAAGACGGAGGTTATCAAAATAACCAGCCAACCAACAACAACAGCAGCAACATCCAGCGCCAATCGCCATCAACGTGAGGGATTTGAAAGAGGTTACTTCATTCACAAACTTGCCTAGGGAGCATTGTCTAAACTACAGGCAGTTGGAACGGACGAGGATGTCAAATCGAGCGAGAATCGGGAAGGCAGGCGAGAAACACATTCATTAACCTGAAACCAATCTGGAAATCTTCCTCACTCAGCATCAACAACAAAATTCGGTAGGATTTTCAATGCAAACACGTCAAGTCAGTTAGTTCTTCTATACGGATCGGAAACTTGGCGGGTGTGTCACAAAGAATATTTCCACCAACAGCCTGTTGCAGACCTTTATCAACCAACAACTGTCTTCGCTGGCTCTATACTGAAGATCAGATGGTCGGACAGAAAAGAATCACCAACAAGAAACTATGAGCACGAACAAACAAAACAAGAACCAATCACCGAACAACAAATATGCATGAGAAAGTGGAGATGGATTGGACACTCGCTGAGGAGGCCGCTGGGTGACATCGCGCGCGCATCAGGCCATTGGTCGAGTGGAACCAGGCCGAAAGGGAAGCGGCGTGTGGGACGTCCAAGGGTGACATGGAGGAGATGGTGTGAAGAGAGAGGAGTTGAAACAGTATGGACTAACATGGATGGAGGTGAAAAGTACAGCAGAAGGAAGACAGAAGCAAGTTGAGACGTGCAGTTGAAGCCGTATGTTCCACTAGGAACCCAAGGGAACAATAATGTGCAGGGAATGAAAGCCTATACAGGAATCGTGGAGCCTGTTGAAAAGACTGCCACTGAATAGAGTGGAATGGATATGTGTTGCTGAAGTCTTGTATTCCGCTCGTAATCTCAGGGAATAAATAAATATTGATAAGATACATGTACATGTTTCCTAGATTATTTAGTTTCTTGCTTCTCGGACTTGTCGACAACTGGTGTCTACGACCCAGAAGGATTCGATGTTCTCTCTGAGTTGCGGATACATTACTAAAGGTCGCTCACAAACCAACAAGGTTTCTTCCGTTTATATTATATCGGCCAAAACGCACAACCAGCAGAAGGAGACAAAACCAAAATCAACTGTAAGATTAATTGCAGTAAATGGTACAAAGATTATATTCTCCAAAAATCGAACTCCGCCTTCAATTTAACAACCAAGATCATAAACTAATCGTCAAACGACATAAATATGTATTCTCTCATATGAAAACATGTGACCAATACTAGTTTAAACAGAGAAATCTAAGAGTTTTAAGGAGATGAAATAATTAAAACGCGAAAGAAATCATAGAAACACGGGACTTAGATCAATTCACACTGTACAGATATGTTGGCATATGTCTGTTAAATCGATCAACAAAGAAAACGTCGTCACATTGCAGAAAAGTTAAATACCAGGTTAAAACAACATGATAGTAGGGTAATCTCTGGCAAATATCACTCGCATTCAAGATCATCAGGAGGAACGTTTATTACTCTCTCACTTCATACTGAAGTTAGCGCCGAAGTGAGGACAGGGAAAGCTTTGTAATTAAACCATCCAACTTTAAAAACACAAATACCCTTACTTCTTAGTGATTGACTTTTAGCATTCTGGTGTAAAGTCGTGCTCAATTGAATTCACCAAGTCAAGTGTGAGAATTGCTTTTCTCTGATATCATTGGAGGATGGCAGTGGCGTTATATCATAGATTTTCACGAGTTAATTTGTGAGGATTTGATTCGTTTCAAGTTTGCCCATGGATTGATATAAGTTAGGGGACCACTGGAAACCAGACAGTTCTGGACAGCTGGTTGTGAATTCAGTATTGATCACCCACATCCCCTCCGAGCATCCAAAGTAGGACCTTCAACCTAAAAGGTGTGCTCAACCACACAGGTTGGAATAGTCGTCGAGCATGGCTCTCGTAACCTGAGGCTCCTGACTTGGGTCGTAGATTTCCTTTATATGCGTATGTATTGTTTGTGATGTTATTTTTGTCTTTGTCAATTAACACGTCGTAACTGGAAATTCAAAAGTTTTTTCTTCTAACGTTTGAGTCGATCTGATAAAATTTCTGCTCACATACTGCATAATATTTGTTAAATACTTTTTTTTCCTTCACGTTCCCACTGGAACATAGGGCTTCAAGCTAGTGGCTTGAAGTTTCTGTAGCAGTGTTAATTTTTACAGGATGGGATTGCTAGCCTCATGCCCAACCTTTCCCTCTTCACCAGCATTATTTCTCGCTTAGCGAGGTAAAGGAGTGCGTTTTCGGCCGGGGATCGAACTCCGGACCATGTGCATGGTCGCTAGCATCCTAACCGCTGTGGCACCGACGCTGTTAAATACTTAATTATTACTTATTTCCCTATAGTCATTGAAAGAAAATTTTCATCGTTTTCCTTACTCTCCTTTTTTTATTGATTTTAGTATTAATCCTTCAATCAATGAAAACCATCCAATTGCTTTAGCTGATTTGACACCAATGGTTTTAATTGGTGCTATTGACATGAATACTGTGCACTATCCAAATAATTGTCATCATCCACTTGAGAATTCTTTGATTGTTAGGTGTCAAATTCCAAATATCACGGTCTCATTAGTTGAACATGTGAGTTTATTATATTTTTGTGAAAATTTGTGGTATATATATATATATATATATATATATATCGATAAATTTAATGAATAATTAGTTCTTATTTGAATTCTTCTTCTACATGAACTGTATAGCTAGGTCATTCTCTAAAAGTAGAATATAAAATATCCAAAATGAAGACAATGTGCAGATATGATGGAGAAGATTTGTAGCTGAGGTGGATGATTTTAATGTTTTTTAATAGAAGCCTGCCTGGTATTCCAGTGAATTGTCAATCAATAGACACATCGAGATAGACAAAGTTTGCCAATCGATAAGAAGGAAATCTCTCACACGCACACATACACACACACAAAGTCAAACTTCAGGTCAGGGAAACAATCAGTTCTAATACAAGTAGCCCAGAGGGTGTAGAAACACACAAGAGCAGCCTATCTCGTTCAAGGTCACCTACCAAGAGAGATGATTAATAAACTCATGGAGAAATCTAAAAGCTTACTTCAATTCAATTTGAAATTTGCGCTGAAGATGTTGCCTAGAAGGGCGATGAAAGCTTCGCAAATTAACTATCCAGTTTCGAGAACGCAATCACATCCGAAGACAGTGTTCAAATTATGCGACAGGCTTTCGAATATAATATTCCCGTCAAGACAGAGATATTCCCAATAATAATAACAATAATAATAATATTAATAGTAACTATTATAATAACAATATTTGTAATAATAATAATTATAATAATAACCTTTATTCTAAACAGTGTTTATATTATGCACAGGATTTTCAGCGGAGTTTATTGCACGACTTTTTCTCTTGTTCATCCAGGATCATTAATTGAAATATTAATTTGACAGTAAGTTGTTTGACACAGTCCTGCTCTATTCACGTAGGTAGGTTCTAGTGAGAAGTCGTGACCAGTAGGGTGCAGAAGGTCGGGTGTGAGGACAAATACTCGTCGAAGACATTGGCTAGAGGTTGCGCTATATCGTGAATTGGCAGGAGTTCGAATTCATGGGCCAGTGGATCGGGTCCCAGTGGCTGAATGATATACGAGCTAACTCGTCTTGTAACCAGAATGTCCTGGGTTCGAACCCTGGCGGTGGTTGCGTACTGCTAAAGGGTCCCAAACTAGGACGTAGGAAACACCTGTTCAATATTCCCAGGTTTTCCAATGGTTCTCTAACCAATGTCAGCTCATGATGAAATCCTGTAAACAGTCCTGTTTAATTTGAAGCTGAAACCAAATGTATTATGATATGTCTTCTTTGTCTCCTTCGAGAGATGCCACGATATTTAGTCGAATGACGACTATAAAAGGTTGAAGAGTGCATTTTGAGAACCAAGAATACAACTCAGGAACAGTTATGTCTTATGTATCGGGTTACTCACTCTGCTACCTAGTGTCATGCTTTTTGTCAAGTTCCAAAGACACGTGCAAATCAGAAGGTGATAAGCGCTTTAGATACTCGCGCGAGTAAAAACCTCTATTACAGGTTATATTTTATTAGATTAAAATAAACTGAACAAAGGAAACTATATGCAATATAGTGGTGGTGGGGGGTCTCAGTAGCCCAAGTTTTAAACACTGCAACTTGATTCTGTGTGAAAATCAATTCTCTGGAACTAAAGGGTGAATTCAGAAATAATTCCCAAATGGTTTTCGAGACATATGAAAAGTTCTTCAACCAAAAATAAGGATAGTTGGTGATAACACAGGCATTGATAAAAAAATCAATAAAAATGAAACGAAGGTTTTGAAGAGTTAAAGTGCTGCTTATGGAGGCAGTAGTTACACCCGATGATCTCCAACATGCTAAGCCTAATACAATGTAGATCCATTGAATTAATGAGAAGTATTTGTGTAATCGTGAAATGCTCTTGAAACTGGTGGTACATATACGTTCACAAAGAGAATAGATCTAACAAACTTATGAACTACAAGATATCATCATTAGTTAACATTGGTTAGACAACCAATCGGGAGTACTGAACATCTGTTTCGTCCTAGTTTGCGACTCTTCACAGTACGCATCCATTGGGTTTCTGACCTAGGAGCTTCGGGTTACGAGACGAACTCTTGAACCATTAGGCAACTGGAACTCGATTAAATGTACAGTCCATGAATTCCAACTTCTGTCAATCAGTTCACTGTATGTAGCGCAGCTGCCAGCCAATCTCATTTGCGAGCAGTGGTCCTCCATTTCGATTTAGTAGACTCCTCTAGGCATGACATTTTTTAACGTGAATGTTATGGATCCGAACCTCACTTGTGGATGATGAGTGAGTCGTGTCGAAGTGTCGCATATTAGGATAAAACAACTATCCAGCCCTGTCTAGTTTTCAGTGGTTCTCTAACTCAACTCAAGTTAGTTCATGGTCAGACTTGAAATCCTGTGAGAAAGTCAAGTTAGTAACAAACATTCGTCTTCATCTATAGTAAAACGCTTTAAAGTAAGGCATTCATACGATTGTGAAACCGTTTGAGATAGCTTTTAGATATGATAGAGAAGATCGGTAGCTCAGGTGAATGATTTTGATGTGGTTGTGTTTTCTGAGCTAGATAGTTAATTTGAGAAGCTTTCGTCGCTCTACTAGGCAACATCTTCAGCTCATACTTCAATTTGAATTGAAGTGAGCTTTAAGATTTCTCCACCACCTTATTAATCATCTCTCCTGATGAACTTGGAGGGGATTGGTTGTTTGTGTGTCTTTTCACACCCTCTAGGCCACCTGTATTCCAACTGATTGTTTCCTTGATTTGAACTTTGACCCTTTGTGTGTGTGAGGTTTCTTTCTCATCGGTTGATAGATTTTGTCTATCTCTATGTGTCTATTGATTGGTGATTCACTGGAATGCCAAGCTTCTAAAAATTCTCTAGCATTCTTGTTGTTTCCTCTGTCTAATATTTGAACGTTGATTGTCCCAGTCGAATTGATATCCTTGATTGTCTGTATGTAGTGAGTGATATGAGGGAGTGGATGTCATGTTTTTTGACGGCTGGCTTATGATCGTGAATACGAAGATGAAGGGGACGTCTAATTTGGACAAGGTAATGTTTTTTGCAATTGTGACAATTTATTTTGTACATGATGTTGGTTTTATCCTCTTTCGTTGTTGAGTCTTTTGGTTGATATTGAACTGAGTGGAGTAATTTTCTTGGTTTGTGTATGACGTCAATTCCTAAATGTTTGAAGAGTCTCGCAGTGATTTCTGAGACGTCCTTTATATATGGTAGTGTGATTTTCTGTGTGCCTTCTTTGGGGGCTTTTGGCTAGATAGGTTGACTTGGGGGTATATGTCTTTTGATGAAATTCCGTGGATATCCATTCTTTTGGAAGATGTCCATGAGATATCTTTCTTCAATTATCCTTAAGTTAGAAGCGCTTCAATGTTTTCTAGCTTTCTTGAATAGTGTTTGTATGCAATTCTTTTTGTGTGTGATTGGATTTTGTTGCTGGATACGTTACGTAGACGACACATTTGTGATAATCAAAATAAACCAGTTAGATAAAACTAACAACTTAATGAACAACGTCTTCAGTGACTTCGAATTCACAAGAGAAGAAGAATCCGAGAACCGAATCCCATTTTTGGACGACTTAGTCAAGTGAACAACCACAGGGAATTAGAACCTCAAGTTTATAGAAAATCAACTCACACAGACCAAATCCTGTATTACAACAGCTTCATATGAACTACAATATTAAAAGAATATACATGAACAGAAATATAAGGGTTAAAGCATAATGATAACATGGAAAAGATCTGAAACATTAGAGAAATCGATTACATCTGCCCTGTTGGGGAAGAATTAAAGACATATCCAGTAATAGTCCATAACCACTGATTCTAAGGATCCCAAGAACCTCAGTCCATCACTCTATTCCTCTTTATGTCGTTCAGATCAACATTTAGATGCCTTATGTGTACCGATGGCAGATTTTGCCAGCTCTGACCATCCCTAACTAGTTTCCAGCATAATTCTATATCAGCTAACGTTAGTTAGCTGGTTGTAAGACGATGGCTAGTATGAGCAACACATCTTGGGCATGTCAAATAATTTACGTTCACAACCTCATCGATTGATTTCCATCGCGTACTCAGCACTCTATGCCTAACGTAAACTGTAATCATCATATTTCACCACTTAATAAGGAAGATAGATCGCAAACATGTGGGATTTAATGGCAAGTTATCTTTTCACATATATTCAACTTTTATTGGCTATGTCTGAAATGCATAAAGCCAAATGGAGAGAACTAGTGTTCCTTACACACACGCTCTTTGACAGATAGTTGAATATCACTTATACCCCTGAGATGGCATGAGTCGGAAAACGCTACATAAACCTTTTTTATTATTCGTGCTCAGCTTTCGTCGGCAATCAAGTTAATTTAGGGGTAACATAACTTTCCAAATAAGTGAGGTTGTCAGTACGCGCTCTGTCGCTTCATTCTCCCTTTCTTTAAGCTGACAGTAGAAAACATTTTCGCTAGGCGTGAGTCAAATGCCAAATATTCGAAAAATTTCTATTCAAAGTGGTTAGACGATTCCGCATTCTGATCAACGTGTTCACTCAGGAGGACAGTATATCATCCACATTCTCAACTTGATCTAATAACTTTGTAATTATTATTTCCTTTAAGTCCTAGAGGAACACTAGGCAACTCTTTGGACTCATCAGGGAAACGGGTGGGAGAAGGCAAATCATAAGTGAGACTATTTCTGAGAAAAATGGCTCCTTAATTAGCTCTCAGGATAGACGCCTTGAACGCTGGAAAGAACACTTTGAGGGACAATTTAACTTGCCTACAGCCACACTGAACCTCCCCGACATCCAGCACACACCCGAATGGGATATAGACACTGGTCCGCCGTCTGTAAGTGAGGTCACAAAAGCTATCAGTAATTTGAAACGAGGCAAAGCGGCAGGACCCGACGGAATTATTCCGGAGGTGTTTAAATATGGGGGTGACATACTAGTTTGTAGATTAACTGAGGTACTAGGCAAAGTCTGGGAATCAGAGACAGTGCCATCAGACTGGGGTAAGTCACTTATTATACCGATATTCAAGAAGGGAAACAAGTCCTCGTGTGATAATCATAGGGGGATCAGCCTAACGAACATAGTCTCTAAAATCCTAGGCTCAGTAATCATGCATAGACTAAGCAGAACTCGGGAGGAACAGACAAGGGAAAATCAAGCAGGCTTTAGACCAGGTAGAGGGTGCATAGATCATATCTTCACTCTTCGACAGATTCTAGAACATAGACACACTTTTCGGCGTCCAACAATTGTCATATTTCTTGACTTGAAGGCGGCCTTCGACTCCGTGGATCGAAAGGTACTATGGCAATGTCTGACTGTGAAGGGAGTGCCAAGAAAGTACATTGCACTAATCAAGGCACTCTATTCAAACTCACGTAGTCGTGTAAGGGCTTATGGGTAATTGTCATCTGAATTGGTAACAACCAGTGGTGTCCGACAGGGATGTCCACTTTCCCCATTTCTGTTTAACTTCATCATAGATATGCTGATGGAAGTATCCTTAACTGAACGTAATGACTTAGGAATCGACTTGTTACCAGGGAATAGTCTTATGGACTTAGAATATGCAGATGACATAGTCCTGTTAGGGGAGGATGCTGACAAAATGCAGAGTCTTCTGAACACCTTGAGCAGCAATCTTCGTATGTTTGGCATGCGATTCGCCCCTACAAAATGTAAGATGCTGCTACAGGACTGGACCACGTCAACCCTAACTTAGTGATAGGGAGTGAAGTGATAGAACATGTTGACCACTTCACCTATTTGGGAAGTTGTATTAGCACCAACGGACTGATTGGCGATGAAATCTCAGCACGGATCCGAAAAGCTCGAGCTGCTTTCGCTGACTTACACCATCTCTGGCGTAGGCGTGACATCCGGTTATCAACCAAGGGACGTGTGTACTGCTCATCAGTTCGCTCCGTCCTTCTCTATGGCTCTGAAACATGGCCAATACGCGTTGAAGACATGAAAAGGTTGACTGCTTTCGATCATAGATGTCTGCGATCTCTGTCTCACGTTAGGTGGTTTAACAAGGTAAGTAATGTTGACGTTAGGCGTAGAGTGTTGGGCAAAGAGGGAAAATCAATCGACGAGGCTATAAAGTTACATAGACTAAGATGGCTAGGTCACGTGCTGCGCATGCCTAACCATCGCCTCCTCCGACGGGCATTACTAGCTGATATAGGTGCAGGTTGGAAAAGAGTAAGTGGTGGCCAAACAAAAACATGGCATCAATCCATGAAATCCTTGACAGTTAAACTGAGTCAGGTAGGGAGATGCAGACTTCCGGGTTGGGGCCCTCGGGACTCTAGGAATCAATGGCTGGAGACAATAGGTGACATGGCTCAAAATCGTTGTCAATGGCGCAGATGTATTCAGTCTCTGTAATCTTTCATATTCCTTTCTACCATTACCCATTCTGTTTCACTCTTATACTTGTCAGACTGTATTGATTCTCTTCACTCATCTTCTTGTCTACCTCTGTGTGCTATTTGGAACGTGGCAACTCGAACTGCTGCACTTCGGTGCCAAGTTCTATGTTGAATCCAGACAGACAGACCTAGAGAAACATATGGCGTCAGCCGAACGGCTCCATTGTGTTCGATTCTCTGCTAGAATTCTCACCTGGCTCCAGGTCTGCCCACATGCTTTCACCACCCTAAGACGACCAACTCGCCGCTTCCCTTTCGGGTTCCACTCGAGGGCTTGTCTAGTGGATGTCACTTGATGGTTTCCTCAGAGTATGGTCAATCCACCTCTAATTTTTCCTGCTTATTTGTTTCACAACCGGTTCCTGGTTGGCTAGTTCATTGCCAGAGATCCTTGTCGCTGATCTTTCCTGGTCGGCTATCTGATCTTCAGTATTGAGCGAAGATAGCTAGTGATGAAGGTCTGTAGTTTGTTTGAGATGCTCTTTATGATGTGGAGTGCAAGTCTCTGATCCGTATTGTAGCACGATCTAATAACTAGTCTAGCTGAAATGATAGAACGCTAGACTGGTAATTTACAGTCCGCTGGTTTGAATCTAGTGGCAAATAAAATTTCGAAATTTCACTACACTACACTACACTAAGACTTATTATTTATGTTTTAGTTTATTTCTAATATCTTTCTCCCTGTTGTTATTAATTCTTTCAGATACAATCAGAACATGATAACATTGGTGGTTTTGAGTTAAGTCGATTCTGTGTGGATAAAGTAGACTTTCTATATCTGTCAAATGTGTCATCATTAATGTCTCTCAATCGTCCTTCTAATGATAACATTCATTTACGGGTTGACAAGCATACCGTGCTAACAGCTGATGTCAGCTGGGCAAGACTTCAACAATCTATTGTCGGTGAAAGTTTCTCATGTCATCTATTGTGTAATCAAAACATGAATATTCTTCACAGATCACTGAGTATTTTTATCAGTTCAGATCGTCTAATCAGTATTGGTCTATTGAAGCAAAGATTACAAAAGTATACGAAAGAATATTTAAGTATTCTTGAGAGTATGTATAGATCAAGAAATGAAATGAACTCGTCAGATTGTAATAGTTTTATATCATCAAATGATCACTCACCTCTTGGTTGGACTATAGTGAATCATACTAATCAGGTGAGATATACTAAAATTGTGCCTACTTATATTATATTACCTAATGAATGTTATAATATATTTATATATTTATCATTTTTATTGAGAAAATAGCCACTTTCAAAAGATTAGTGAGTGAGCAAAGAATATTTTTTTGATAACTTCTTATTCATCGGGTTCTACAGTTAGTTATATATTGATAAAAGATGATGGCATCAACAAATTATAGTTTAAAAACAACTGTAGGTGATATTTTGGTGAGGACTACTTATAATCAGATATAAGTAGTATATCGGTAAACGAATTCAGAAAAGTAACAATATGTTTTTGGCATTGAAAAAAGCATTTGAAAAGGAGAACTGTGAGAAGAACGTTACAATACTGTGCAGAATCCAACAGGGTATCGAATGGTGCAAAAGTTGCTTTGACTAAGTTATGCTGTTTCTGCATTTCTTCATGAAACTTGACTCCTTATTTGTTTGTGTAAAACAATTTCGATTTTGACGCTGAATGATTCGACTGAAATGGTTAGCCCCTTTGGATATGTTGGCCTCATATACAGAGACTTTGACGACTTCTATAGACTAACTTGTGTTGTTATGCGGTGGATGGTGACTAACAGTGGCATCCAGTCTGCTCATTTTGTCCCATTTGGGATGCATCGACTAAAAACAGCTGCATTTCTCAGTAAGTGATGATGTTCCCACTGAGACTAGAAACCAGCATCCATTATAACTGTTCTACAACTGATGGCTCTCCTGGCCCATGTGACACAGTGAATTATTCTTTATGGTTTGAAACGATGGGTGAAGGGTTTTGAGTCCCAGTGGGGAACACTATCACAGTCACTTCGGATTGCAGTTACATCCGGATAATGAGTCCCACGTAAGACGAGATGTGCATCTAGGATTCCACTGTTAGTCAGCACCCATCAAATAAAACTTGACTTTAGATTTCTCTTCCAATATAGTTGGATGGTTACTCGATTATTTGTAAGTTCTGAGGGTCTTGTTTCTACTAGTTTGCATTTGTTGATGTTTCTCAGTAAGGTGGTGATCACATGCAAAGTCCACATTTCATATATATATATATATATATCTGTCGTCAGCCAAACTGCCTAATGTTACTGACTTCAAAAAGACAGTTGCAGCGAAAAAATTTTCTTTTCGACGAAGTCAACAACTAGACAGCTGTACATTCGTGTATTCATATCAAATGGATGGGAAAGTTCCAGAATAATTTCCGGTTAAGGCTCCAATTAATAAAAATTACAATTAGGAGTTAAAATGTCATAATAAATAGGGGGACGGATAAAACTTGAACAAAGTAGCATCATAATCACTAAGATGCCTGACATTGTGCACTTGGAGGTTAGTGATATGTATCCATATATATATATATGTGTGTGTGTGTGTGTGCACGTTGGTCTCTCTTTCTGTTTGCTCGCTTAGTCTGTGACCATTTCACTTGTGTGAACTTGTCTCCTTTATCAATGTATATTCCCCTTATATTATATTATATATAATATGAGTGTTTGTTGACAGTCTGTTGCTTGGTGACATATATCCATATATGGTTGTTGTTGTCATGTCTGATATATATTTTGTTATATATATATTTCGTTCACACAAATTGTGTGAACTACTTTACTTTACTTACTTACCACTTTGGTGTGAGACCATTTTATTTCGTCTCCTTGTGTTTGGACAATAGAAGTATCATCGCAAACCTAGTGGTCTTCTGATTTCCGTCTTTCTTGCGTCAGGACTATTAAATTCTCGACCAGTCTATAACAATAATTTAGCGACGAGTACATAACAGTTAGAAATGTAGAAATAACAAAAATAGACAGGATGTTTGGATAAAAAATCTAGTGGGATCATCTGTCTCTGTCTGTCTGGATTAAACATAGAACTTGGCACCGAAGTGCAGCAGTTCGAGTTCCCACGTTCCAAATAGCACACAGAGGTAGACAAGAAGATGAGTGAAGAGAATCAATAGAGTTTGACAAGTATAAGAGTGAAACAGAACGGGTAATGGTAGAAAGGAACATGAAAGATTACAGAGACTGTATACATCTGTGGGATCATAACTAATGTGACGATGCAATCAGGGATTAAATATGTAGAAATAGTAAAATGACAGAATAAACAGGAAGTTTGGATATGAAAATATGGTAGTGTAAGCAGGGATTAAGAAAAAATTAAAAAATTAACATGAATAAACAGGAAGTTTAGATAAGAAAGGAGATGGGATGGTCATTACTAAAAGAATTACCTGTTTATGATGGCCATGGCAGGGCAGGGGTTGGATGTATTTCTTTTGGATACAAAGCGTGGGTTTGAGCTTTTGGATAGCTAGCGCCTCGACTTTGCCCAGATGTCTTGATTTCACTCCCTTTGATAGGTTTGATTGAATCTTGTATACTATTTAGACGGATTTTTTGAAAGGCACTGAATGTCCTGAATTGACCAAATGTTCTGTCACTGAACTTTATACACGTTTTCGGTCTCCTTTTACTAGCCAGGCTGTTACTGACTTCGCTATTTATTGATACGAATTCTAATCTCATTTTTTTTATATCGTCTATTCTTTTTCCCCTTTACACTCAAGTCTATCATTCTGGATCAACTACCCTTAATCAAATATTCCTCTGACGGGGATAGTACACCAACAATATCGAATTCTGAAATTTTCAATCCAGTGAATAGTTTATTTGATATATCAGTTAAGCCAAGAGAATGTGTTAACTGGAGACCAATTGTATTCCCTGGACCAGTTTCACCTGCAGGGCATGCATTTCGCATAAAATTACGTATTGGAATTCATTCCACTGGGACTAAGAAGAACAATAAGGTTTGTTATATATATATATATATATATATATATATATATATATATATTATGCATAAACATTTTGATATATTTATACAAATAAATATTATTACAAATCAATTATGTGTAAGGGTAATCATTAATACTGTTTTAGTTTACCTGTTAGAAAAATAATGGTAATCTATTCAACTTCCTTTCAACTACAGGCGGCACTGACGAGGATATCAAAGTGAGGATTGGGAAAGCAAGGCAAGCTTTCATTACTCTCAAGTGTGTGTAGTGATCAACAGCACTCATCACGAAAAATAAGACGCAGATTTCCAACTGTAATGTGGGGTCAGTCAGTGGTACTATACGGATCAGAGACTTGTCCTGAGCGTCACGAAGGGCACTTCATCAACATCTATCTTCACTCAATACTTAGCTCAAGATCAGATGGCGAGAAAAGATCATCAACAGGGATCTCTGGCACTGAGCGAACCAACCCAGAATGAAACCGATTGTACAACAAATAAGCAGGAAGAAATGGAGGACTATTGGCCATACTCTGAGGAAACCACCAAATGACATCACTGGACAAGCCCTCGACTGGAACCTGAACGGGAAGCGGCGAGTTCGTCGTCAGTGCGAGGGTGACATGGAGGAGGTCATGTAAAGAGGAGGTGAAAGCATGTGGGTAGACTGGGAGCTAGGTGAAAACTTTAGCAGGGAACCGAACGCAATGGAGACGTTTGGCTGACGCCGTATGTTCCTCTAGGAATTAAAGGATATAATAATAAATAATTCAACATAGGAATCTGAGTGGTAAACGACGAGTTGTGCGTTAATCTGACGGCGACATGGAAGGGATCGTGTTTATGAGGGAATAAAAGCTTATTGGCAATCGTAAAGCCATATAGAAAACAAGAAAGAGAACCGATTAAAGTGGAGATATGCAGCTGAAGCCCCATATATTCTACTAAAATCCCATAGTACAAATAACAATATCTAACATAAACACACACATAATAAAGGTTCAATGAAAGCAGTACTTTCAATCAATGAAGCAGGTATGAAGCCATATCGGTTAACATAACTAGTGTGGTGAGAGCAGGCCGTGAGAAAATATGTACAAGGCTGATTCAACAGCCAATCACAGCAGACTTAACGTGGCAAAATATGATTCGCAGATAGAGAATTCTATTTCTCGAGGAATTCCGAAACAACCAATCAGAAGCCTGCGTTTGTCTGCTTAACTTCTGATAAACAACCAATCAGAAGACTGCGCTTGTCTACTTGCATAAGCTATAATAATGTATGTGAAATATATATAAATACGTGTTGATTTTCGTAATAAAACGATCTGTTGCCTGGCCTTTGTCTTCTGTTGTTACACTAGGACATATATGTGTCGCCCATTCCCAGCCAACGCTTTCCTCGTCCAACAACATCCACTGACATAAGACTAAATTAAAAAAGAGTTAGCAGTGGTTGAATCAAAACCTGGTGTTAATTCAATTAGATCTTAGAAAATTTGTTAGAGCTAGGTAGAAAGGTGTGGACTGTCTGGTTGGTGCAAAACCTCAGTAAGCTAAAAACCGATGGGGCTGGATACCTACCGTTCGTGATATGGCACAAAATCGTTGTGAATAGCGCAATTGCGTTCACGCTTTATGCTTTCTCATATCCACTAGACTGTTATGTTTTTCTATTGAGTTATTTATTTCTCCTGCAGAGTTTTGTTCACTATAACCCTTTCTAATCTGTTTTTCCCTCTATTTTGTCTACCTTTGTGTGCTACATGGATTGCAGAGGTGCAAACTACTGCACTTCTGTGTGAATTTCTGTGTTTGTAACCCAGTCATTCAGACTGTCGTTTTCAGTGAGTGGTTAAGATGTTTAGGTGATTTGTCGGTACATCTTGTAAGGCAAGTATGAAGACAGACAAATATATTCGTCATATGCGATAAAGATGTTGTGCTTGAAGATATGTCGCTTCCAATGAATAAGTGACTGACATCGATGTGTGGAACTTAGCCGAGAAAATAATTCTGTACAAAGCATTCGTTTACTTGATGTATTCCTCATAGTATTTGAGAACGGATTTCTTGAAAGATTCATCTACTGTAAACGTATATAGGATTTTCTATAGTTGGTTTGTAAGGATTAGTTATGTTTTACGGTTGATCACGATTGATATCAGTTAGAAACCATTGAAAACCAGGGAGTACTGGACTGCTGTTTCATCCTAGTTTGGGAATCATCGGCAGTACGCACCCACTGGGTTCGAACCCGGACCTTCCGGTTACAAGGCAACTCGTATACCATTCAGCCACTGGAACCCGATTCAATGGCTCGTGAATTCTAACTTCTACCAATTCGTGATTTAGCGGACCCCAACATTGTCGTTGGTGGGACATCCATCCACACACGTGACATCTAATTGGACCTCACTGGTCACGACTTCTCACTAGAACTCAGGAACTCCAACCTGTAGCAAGTCACTAGTGAGCATCAGATTAACTTTCTATAGTTTGGTTTGTAAGGATTAGTTATGTTTTACGAGTTGATCACGGATTGATATCAGTTAGAGAACCATTGAAAACCAGGGAGTACTGGACAGCTGCTGTTTCATCCTAGTTTGGGAATCATCGGCAGTACGCACCCACTGGGTTTCGAACCCAGGACCTTCCGGTTACAAGGCAAGCTCGTATACCATTCAGCCACTGGAACCCGATTCAATGGCTCGTGAATTCTAACTTCTACCAATTCGTGATTTAGCGCGACCCCAACCATTGTCGTTGGTGGGACATCCATCCACACACGTGACATCTAATTGGACCTCACTGTCACGACTTCTCACTAGAACTCAGGAAACTCCAACCTGTAGCAAGTCACTAGGAGCATCAGATTAACTTTCTATAGTTTGGTTTGTAAGGATTGTTATCCTTACTAATCCTTACAAACCAAACTATAGAAAGTTAATCTGATGCTCACTAGTGACTTGCTACAGGTTGGAGTTTCCTGAGTTCTAGTGAGAAGTCGTGACCAGTGAGGTCCAATTAGATGTCACGTGTGTGGATGGATGTCCCACCAACGACAATGGTTGGGGTCGCGCTAAATCACGAATTGGTAGAAGTTAGAATTCACGAGCCATTGAATCGGGTCCCAGTGGCTGAATGGTATACGAGCTTGCCTTGTAACCGGAAGGTCCTGGGTTCGAAACCCAGTGGGTGCGTACTGCCGATGATTCCCAAACTAGGATGAAACAGCAGCTGTCCAGTACTCCCTGGTTTTCAATGGTTCTCTAACTGATATCAATCCGTGATCAACTCGTAAAACATAACTAATCCTTACAAACCAAACTATAGAAAGTTAATCTGATGCTCACTAGTGACTTGCTACAGGTTGGAGTTTCCTGAGTTCTAGTGAGAAGTCGTGACCAGTGAGGTCCAATTAGATGTCACGTGTGTGGATGGATGTCCCACCAACGACAATGGTTGGGGTCGCGCTAAATCACGAATTAGTAGAAGTTAGAATTCACGAGCCATTGAATCGGGTCCCAGTGGCTGAATGGTATACGAGCTTGCCTTGTAACCGGAAGGTCCTGGGTTCGAAACCCAGTGGGTGCGTACTGCCGATGATTCCCAAACTAGGATGAAACAGCAGCTGTCCAGTACTCCCTGGTTTTCAATGGTTCTCTAACTGATATCAATCCGTGATCAACTCGTAAAACATAACTAATCCTTACAAACCAAACTATAGAAAGTTAATCTGATGCTCACTAGTGACTTGCTACAGGTTGGAGTTTCCTGAGTTCTAGTGAGAAGTCGTGACCAGTGAGGTCCAATTAGATGTCACGTGTGTGGATGGATGTCCCACCAACGACAATGGTTGGGGTCGCGCTAAATCACGAATTAGTAGAAGTTAGAATTCACGAGCCATTGAATCGGGTCCCAGTGGCTGAATGGTATACGAGCTTGCCTTGTAACCGGAAGGTCCTGGGTTCGAAACCCAGTGGGTGCGTACTGCCGATGATTCCCAAACTAGGATGAAACAGCAGCTGTCCAGTACTCCCTGGTTTTCAATGGTTCTCTAACTGATATCAATCCGTGATCAACTCGTAAAACATAACTAATCCTTACAAACCAAACTATAGAAAGTTAATCTGATGCTCACTAGTGACTTGCTACAGGTTGGAGTTTCCTGAGTTCTAGTGAGAAGTCGTGACCAGTGAGGTCCAATTAGATGTCACGTGTGTGGATGGATGTCCCACCAACGACAATGGTTGGGGTCGCGCTAAATCACGAATTGGTAGAAGTTAGAATTCACGAGCCATTGAATCGGGTCCCAGTGGCTGAATGGTATACGAGCTTGCCTTGTAACCGGAAGGTCCTGGGTTCGAAACCCAGTGGGTGCGTACTGCCGATGATTCCCAAACTAGGATGAAACAGCAGCTGTCCAGTACTCCCTGGTTTTCAATGGTTCTCTAACTGATATCAATCCGTGATCAACGATTCATGGAAAATTCCCATTGTAATATATAGGAAATCAAAACAAGTGGTGATTCAGCGAAGAGACTCTTTTCAACGAATTTATCATCAAGCTGTAGAATCGTTTATATATTTTTGGCTTTTAAGAAGTTATATCCGGTGAGGGAGTCGAATCATAGGTGTGAATGCATAAAATAATAATAATAGTAGTATGAAATGCAATTAAAACTAAAATGTTTGTGATTATAATCACAGTTAAATGTCAAGTGGCAAAACAAATTACTGTCATATATAGAATAATTCATAGAATGGATAGGACAGATAGGAAAGGGTGTGGAATTACAGGATTAGGAGACAAATCGAATCGAATAAAAACGTTATGTAATATTGTGTGAAATTTAACAGCATAGAATTTAGCGTTGTAAAAAAGAAGAATTGATTTAGAATGACAAGTGAAATAATACCGGGGATAGTTGTTCAAAGTGAGAATAGTAATAGTAATAATTGACATAATAAGGAAGAGTATACAAATTGAATAGACAAAATGAAAAAAAATGAAAAATTGGTAGAGCCAAAATATGATTGGGGATTACCATACTTAAGCATAGAGGGATTAAGACCATGAAAGTTGGAGGGGTTGAACGAACTTTTTCTTTACATGGAGCTCTGACTTTTCTCTTTCGATAGCCGAAGCTTCAGCAATACAGATGAGTCGGGTACGTAGGGATTTGGGTAAGTAACTCTTTGCCTTGTAGATGACTTTAAAGGCGGAGGCTATAGAGATAGGGTGATCATTATCGACCAGATGTTCAATGATCGCATTCTTATTGTTCCACTTCCACCTCTTCGTAACCATGCAGAATATTGTGTTCTTGCACCCTCTTGGACAAAACTCGAATCGAACGACCGATATACCTAGCTCCACTTGAGCATGATGATAAATTCGTTGAACAGAGTCTCTTCGCTGCATCACTTGTTTTGATTTTGTATATAGGATTATCATTTGTTTTTATTAGTAGTGAGCAAATTACCCTGATTAACCAATCATTTCTTTCCTTGTTTAATTAGACACTAATATGGACTCATCCTATAGACTTACCTTGGCCGTTGTTGATACGACAACAGAATAGTGATATTCTATGCGCTTTATCTTTAAAATGGGAGGAGACTACAAAATCCAACAGTAAAGATGACAATGAAGATGAGAAGGATGATGATGTCGGGATCTATTATCCAGAAATCTATTTGATTGTCTGTTCTCCCGAACCAATTGGCTCACCTGGAAAGGTAAGTGTGCTTGTATGATAACTTTACATACAATATGGCGAGAGTACTTGCTTAAATCACATTCACAAATTAATTAACGATTAATTCATTTCCAAGTGAAATTTCACTTTAGCTCTCTGTGCTGAATGGAATCAGGTACACTGGTGGCGAGCGCAGTCTAAAACTAGCAAAACGCCCGTTCAGTATAGTACATTATTTTACGCAAATACTCTTGCTTTCTTGATTATCATTTATGTTATCAAGTGGATATCGCATCGTCATCTGAATAATTCCAATTCCCAAAGGAAACTATGATGAAATTTGACTTCGGATCGTGTCAACTGCTAACTGTTTTGTAAATTTGATTTATGGTGTTACCAGTTTCTTCAAGTAGCTAGTCATAAACTGAGTGGTTCCAATCGATTCGGCTCTCTGAGTTGAATCGAACCGAGTACACCACTGATAAGGTTGGCACCAAACGAGCGAAACGACGATCGGGTGTTTAGATGATCTCTACCTGCCTAGCAAACACTACTGGTTGATGTATGTCGTGTTCCACTACTCATCCGAGTCAGTTAGTAGTATATAGTTTTTTTGGCAAAGATTACTTCCTGATTAAAGTTTCTAATCTCAGAAGGGATATGAGTTCCTTCAAGGTTGCAGATACGCCTTGCTGATGAGTGCCAACTAGCACGAAACTTAAGTCCAAGGTTTCCTGTGGCCGATTGCCTCCAACTATCTGATGTGTGTCATCAAATCAATGTGCACCGTGATGGCGTGCTACCTAGAATGGTGGTCACATTACAAACCTGACTGATAGAATTCAGCCTGCACCAAAGAAAGGACTAGACATGTCACACAGGTTACTAGTGTCCAATCAAAAGTTTTTAATACTGATATGCTATGAGATTTCAATCCTGCTGTGCCACCTACGCACACATCTTAAATAATCTAACAACTAAAAGGTATAATAATAAGATGGTTAAAACGATAACAACTTGTAGAAAGCGCATTTAGACAAGGAGAAGTCGCTAGATTATTACAATCTAGTAATGGTGACCAAGGTAAGGAAATACTTCGAAACATATATGTGTGGCTTCTTCAGATGAATTCCGATCATTTCAAAGCTATGTATGGGGGCCGAAGTTGTAAGGCAAAATTAGGATTAGTCGGAGTACGACAGATAACCTCCAAATTCTTTGTTAAAATCAACTTCATGTTCATTATCTAAAAGGTGAGTTAAAACAGATCTACGAATAGACCCTTTCTTAACCAATATTCAAGATGATGTTCAGAGGTCTAATTATAAAAATGCGTGATCGTACTCACGATTAAAATCTAGCTCCATGGGTGCAGTCAAACTGTAATCTATTGTTCTTAACTATTATGTGTATAGAACTATAGGCCGTGATGAGGAAGTTATCAGTAAGAATAATTTTTGTCCAATGCTGTTTTTTTGTCTTCTATATATTAAAGTATTGGTTTTTCTGTAGGGATTTAGTTTGATTGGATGGAGAATTTCATTATGAGCTGACATCAGTTAGAGGACCACTGGAAAACCTGAAGGGAGTACTGGACAGATGTTTCATCCCAGTTTGGGACTCTTCATCAGTACGCAGTATGCTTGGTCCTGGGTTCGAACCCCGTTTGGTGTATACTTCTGAAGAGTCCCAAACTGGGACGAAACAACTGTTCAATACTCACAGGTTTTCTGGTGGTTCTCTTACAGGTGTCAGCTCATGGTGAAATTCTTCTATATGCGTACTTCTAAATTGCAGATTTTATTGTCCTTATTTTATTTTATTGTATAAAGATAATACTACACTCGAATGTGATTCTACGCAATCTGTTACCAGTTCAGTTAACTTGTACACTGAATACTTCAACCACTGCAACTACTATTACTACTACTAATAATAATATTCTTGTTGATAAATCTAAAAAATCAAATCAAAATGAAATCATTCATAGAAATACAGTGTCTCCAACACAATTCATTAATATCTCAACTTGTCCAGCTAGTACTGAATTCATCTCAACATATACAAACAATAATTCTGGTCATAAAGCTGTCAGTTGTAACTTACACATGGCTTTCAAAGTGAACAGTATTCTCTCCTCTAAAGATGAATTGAAACAAAACGAGTTTTGGTCAGAACAGTTGATATTTAAAATGCCAACAGCTGGTCAATTGAATTCACAAACAGAAACAAGTCTTAGAACATGTATTCAAGTAAGCTGTCTATCGTTTTTTTATGATTGATTGAAAGTAATTCTGGGGTTTGTTGGTTTTTTTTCACCTACTATTACGACTGTTAGCTAACTAGACGATTCCCCCCGCCTAACAGGGTCTTCTCCCTATCGTAATCGGATCCACACACCCAACCCATCATTTCCTATTCGGTCTGTATTTAGGCTTCAGTGTGGCACGTGATATCATTCAACTTTCTTCTCAGCGTGTAACCACTTGATCTTCAATTCTTTGTATATTTCCGTTGGGGGATTAGGTTTCGTGTTGGTGTGCTGCTAGAGTTCCTTATTGCTAATCCTCTCTGGCCCTCCACTCCATCTGATCGTCAGTGTAAAGCGAAGACAAACGTTGGTAGAAATCTGTAGTAGGCCGTTGAATGTGCGTTTAGTGATACGCGCGCGACAGGTCTCTGAACCACACAGAAGCACTGACTTGCTATGAATACGACTAACTACTCAACTAAGATACTTACGCTGAGACAACATTAGAAATTACAACTACTTATGTAGTTAATTTATACAACCAATACATTATTACATTTAATTGAATTTTTGATTCTCCCGTCGATTAATTGAACCGAAGTGCTCGGTCTCAGGTTGACATGTCGTCGGCTTCTTGTGCAGATGCTTCGATGATGTCTTGGTATTTAATTAGAATTTAATTGGTGGATGGTGACTAGCAGTGGAATCCAGGATAACGCACATTTAGTCCTATTTAGGACTTGTCATCCATCTGGATGTACCTGGATTTCACAGTGAGTGATGATGTTCCCACCACTGAGGCTCGAAACCAGTGCCCAAAGTTTCAAACACCAAAGCATTACGCACTAGACCACTTGGGTCAATAGATCCACCTCTTGTGCTATGGGTCATTTAGGGACTGATAATTTACTGGAAACTTACTTAGTCTACTAGTGAATGAATAAAAACTTCTAAATAGATATACTAACATAACGGAAAAAAATTGCTCCTGAAATGAAAAAGTTCGCTCCAACTAAAGGACATCCTAAATGTTTTTGATGCCGGGTGAACCTCTTATATTTATACTACCTCACTGGACAGACAAGAAGACTCTAGAAGATCTGGAATTTTCAGACGATTTATGTCTAATATACTAAACCCTCGATAATCTATAGGCGAAAAATCACAAACTGACAGAAGAACCAGTGAATACAGGACCTCAAAGTGAACATAAACAAAACGGAGATGATCAAAGTACCTAACTGAAAACAAAAACAAGCACAAAAGGGAGTCTCTTCTTCCAACTACCTACCTACCTGGTCTGCATTGTTTCACATAAACATAGGCTGAACGATTGTGAATAACAAAAGCAGATACAAGCGGACCGAAAAAGCATTTGAATTTTTTAACATTAAAATGTCATGTCAGGGCTTCTACACATGCCTCAGATGCTTGGAGCACACGTTAAAATACCATTTTGAAGAGGCAACTGTGAACTTTAATCAACATCTACCTTTGCTTCATATAAGTGGATAGTAGTGGATTCCACTGCTAGTCACCATCCACCAAATAAATACTAAATGCCCAGACATCTTCGAAGCATCTGCACAAGAAGCCGACAGACATGTCAACCTAAGACCGAGCACTTCGGTCCAATCAATCAATCGACGGGAAAATCTAAAATTCAATTAAATTAAATTGACCCGTTGCACAAGAGGTGGCTCTCTTGGCCCAGGTGGTCTAATGGATAACGCTTTGGCGTTTGAAACTATGGGCACTGGGTTCGAGCCTCATCATCACTCACTGTGAAATGCAGGTACATCCAGATGGATGACGAGTCCTAAATAGGACGAAATGCGCGTTATCCTGGATTCCACTGCTAGTCACCATCCACCAATTAAATACATTATTAACGTAAGATATGAAGACTGTGATCTGATTGGATAGCGAGTACCCAATGGAGAATCCAATGACGTAACTTTTAATCTATGTTAGGGTCAAATGTTTGTTCTGTAGGTCACTGGAAAAACAATGACTCATAATATGTTTCAATCTGTCCTAACGATTTTGTTTCTAATCTGATCAGAAGCTGACATCGTTTATAGAACCATTTTGAACCAGTAGGGCTCATCGGACAACTGTTTCATCCCAGTTTAGAACCCCAATAGCAATCGAAGTCAGGACATTCAGTTGATTAGTGAGGCTAATCTGTTGACCATACAGCCGTTTGGACGGAATCCAATAGTTCATGAATCCTAACCTCTTCCGATTTGTGATATTTAACACAACTGCCAGTCGATTTCATCGTCGAGCATCTATCCTCACACCCAGTTGATCCCGACACCTCACTAGAAGTCCAGGCTAAGTCATCCTGTTGTCATTCATAAGTGAGCACTACTGATTTTCAGGTATTCGATTGATTACAAACTTGATCACCAATTGATATCAGTTAAAGAAACATCAAAAACCTGTGAGTATTCCACAGTTCTTTTGTCCTAGTTTCAAACTCTTCATCAGTATGCATCCAAGGCAAGCTTGTTAACCATTCAACAATAGAATAATATGGTTCTCACTAGTGACTGCCTCCAGAATAAAGTTGCCTGAAGTTCAAGTGAAAAGTTGTCACTAGTTAGACGTGAGTACAAGTACACTCGCTTATGACACTGGCTGGCGTTTCAGCTTCGTATCGCCAAATGACAGAAGTTAGAATTGTTAGGCCATTGGACTCCGCCATGTAACCTGAAGATTCTGTGTTTAATCCCTAGGAGGACCACTGGTGCGTGATCCTGAAGACTCCTAAATAAGGACGAAACATTTATCTAGTACTCTGTGATTGTTAGTGATACTTTCATTGAAGTGACTTCGTTATCCAAATTGAAGAAGTGAATGGTTCAATTCAACAATTATTGTCTTAGTAGTTGCTTTATTCTGTATACATTAACAGTTTCTTTTAAAGCTTACCTGACGACCGAATAGCTCCTTGCTGGGACATTGTAAAACTTGAGACAATCGATTACATTGTTGTTCATAAGTTTTGAATGAATACGCCTATGAAACATTGTAGTAACTCTTTAGTAAGTAATAATATGAAATTAAATGACAATAACACGTATGTGAATTGGAGTGGGAATGATAACTACCTGTAACTGTCTTATCCTAAGTTTTGATTGAAGTATATCAAACAGGAGTAGAGTGTGGTCACTTAGCGAAAACAAATACAACTCTACGGTACACTTCGGAAAAGGACCGCAATATTCAAGTAGTTAAACGCCGTATACCTAGATTTCTATTGATTAGTGACTGGGATGGAATCACTTTCACGCATCCCATCCATAGTGTTAGCGCCAACTGAATGTTACCATGAATCTAGGAGTCTCACAATCATACTTTTATTGTTGATTGGTGGATTCTATACGGTTTGTGTACCCACACAAAAATTCGGAGGATCTGGACTTCTCCCATGAAGATATGCAAATGAAAATCAACAAGTTGGCAAAAGAAGCATCCACAGAAGATAGGACTTCAGGTGAACATAGAGGAAACAGAGGTAGGTGATGAAGACTCCTGGCCAACAACAATGGCAACAGCAATTACAATCAGCATAAATGGGAGGAATTCGAAAGAAACAACCTCCTTTACCTACCTATCTGGGAAGCATCGTTTCAACTACAGGCGGGCGGAACTGCCGAGGATATCAAAGCTAGGATCGAGAAACCAAGGCAAGCTTTCATTACTCTCATGTCTGTATGGAGATCAACAGCAATCAGCATGAACAGTTAGATCCAGATTTTCAACTCCAATGTGAAGTCATTGCTACTATACAGATCACAGACTTGGCGCCGCGTCACTAAGGCCACTTCGAACAGACAACAGACTTTCATCACTAGCTTTCTTCGCTCAATACTCAAGATCAGATGGCCAGAAAAGATCAGAAACAGTGATCTCTGGCAATGAGTGAACCAACCCATCAGGAACCGACTGTGCAACAAATAAGCAGGAGGAAATGGAGGTGGATTGGCCATACTCTGAGGAAACCATCAAGTGACATCAATAGACAAGCCATTGCTTGAGTGGAACCCGAAAGGGAAGCAGTGAGTTGGTCGTCAGTGCGAGGGTGACATGGAGGAGGTCATGTGAAGAGGAGATGAAAGCTTGTGGTCAGACTTGGAGCGAGGTGAAAACTTTAGCAGAGAACCGAACGCTATGGAGACGTGAGGCTGAAGCTCTATGTTCCTCGAGGAATTAAAGGAAGAAATAATAATATACTAATAATACGGTTTGTGTTGTTCTTTATCCGTTGTACTGTATACAGACAATAATAACACCTACTAAATGAACTATTTTAGTTTTATTAAATATCTGAATACTTGATGTATGTATCTAGATTTCTCACTAATTCTGTTTATCACCTTCAGCATATTCATAGTCTTGTTGTTTTCAACTCTCTTTTTTGCAACATTTTCAGCTTTTCTACCAAGATGAAATCAATTGCCTGACAAATCTATTTTCATTTTATGCAATTCTTACTGTTGAATATTATGCTGTCAGTTTTATTACTCCACCAATTTGTATGGTAAGTTATTCCTGCACTCTGATGCTTTATGGTGTTTCCATTTATCTATCTTAGTGTTGTGGTGTTCGTCAATAGACCACTCCTGTGGTCAAGGTTCGATTCCCGGCCGGCATACTCTGAAACCTCGACTAACCGGCAGTAGTATCCCGGGTGAAGAGGGAAGATTGAATGTGATAAACAAGCGACATCATCCATAATGAAACTTTACAACCCCAACCTTGAAGCTCTCTCTATATTCCACCTGGAATGCAACAGAACGAAATGGTGTTTTTTCTGCTAAATGGTTCACTTGTCAAGCTTTCACATTGTCTTTCATAGTCAACATTCTCTGAAAGCTATTTTGGAGTTGTCAATTTTCCGAATCCTAATTGAACACAAAATAATTGAGCAAAGAATATCCTTTTCGATAATTCCCTCTTCTGGCTATACAATTATTCTAGGTTTTTTTAATTTTCCTGCACGTTCCCAGTGGAACATAGGGCTCCAGGCTAGATGCTTGAAGTTTCTGTAGCATTGGTGATTATTTTTACAGGATGGGGTTGCTAGCCTCATGCCAAACCTTTCCTCTTCACCAGTCTCACTACTGGCTTAGCGAGGTAAAGGAGTGCGCCGGCCGGGGATCGAACCCCGGACCATGTGCATGGTCGGCGAGCGTCCTAACCGCTATGCCACCGACGCACCATATTATAGATTAGTAGTCAATAATAATATTAATGTTTTTTTTAAATAATATCGATTTGTAAAGCGAGATTAATAGAACTACAGTTCATTAAAGATGCTTAAATAATAATAATAAAGATATACTAGCGAATAGAATATCTACTGAAATTAGGAAAACACAAAAACTGAGAACCATTCCAAACTAGAGGGCCAGGATAATGATAATGTCTGAACTAACTTCTTTTGGACGCAAAAATTAGGCTTATTAATATGGATTCCCGCACCCTCAGAAATATCTAGTAAACGAACTCTTAAGGCGAAATCGAGATTCGTAGGTATGCGGTGAATGACCCTGAAAGTATGGTTAACATCAAGTCTTTGTTCTGTATCCACAAGAGGAGATAGAATAGCGATACAAATAGATTTTGTTTATCCTTTGCTTAACCACGCAGGGTGATGTTCGGAAATTCTATGTATATAAACTTATATATAAATGTAGAGCCAGAGGAGGAAATTATCGAAAAATATATTCCCTGCTTGATTATTTTGTGTTTTATAGATGTCTGAATGAATAGTTTTGCTATATTGAAATCCTAACAAGCAGTTTCAGACAGAAACTATCGATTAGCCGGCAAAATGGATGGAAATTAACCGAAGATATATGTAGAACACACTAATGTTTTACAAAATGCCAACAGGTCATCGACCTTTTCAAAAAAGGAAAAACCTAGGAAGGAATCATATCTAATTGTTAGACTTAATCTTGTGGTTGGGTCCAGTTAGCTCAGTCGGTAGAGCATCAGATTTGCGTCGATGGTATAGCGGTTAGGACGCTTGCCGACCATGCACATGGTCCGGGTTCAATTCCCGACCACCGATGCACTCCTTTACCTCGCTAAGCCAGAAATAATGGTGGTAAAGAGAAATGGTTGGGCATGAGGCTAGCAACCCCATCCTGTAGAAAATAAACGCTGCTACAGAAACTTCCAGCCACTGACTTATAGCCTGATGCTCCATTGGAGAACATAAAGGAGAGAAAAATCTTGAGGTTGGCTCTGAAAATGTTACCTAGAAAGACAATGAAAGATTCACAGTCAAAACAACACATCTCATAGAATTTCGGCAGCACAGAAATCATCCACCTGATGAATTATAAGCGTTCCTTATCATGACTGCCCTCTGGAAATATATATATTGCAAACCGTTTGTATTCAGTTGCCTTATTGGTTTGTAAGAAATAATGACTGAATTTGATACATTAGGGGTAGCATTCTGTCCTAACCGCACTAAATAGATAAGTTACCAATGTTTACGTCCCCAATATTGGTCATGAGAAAAATAAGAACAAAGACTGACTCAACAACCGATCAGAACAGACTTTGTGTAGGCGGATACAATTTGCAGATAGGTAATCTGAACTCCAAGAAACTGTCACAAAGAGATGAAAGATTAACGTTCAGCGAGAAACCACCAATCAGAAGACTGTGTTTGTTTGCTAACAATAATCTATTATAATGTACATGAAAATCTATAAATATGTGTTGATTTCCTTAGTAAACGATCTGTTGCCTGGCTCTTGTCTTCTGTCGTTACACTTTCTGTGTATTGTAGTCATGAATATATCTGACACATCTGGATTAGACGACTTATCAGCAGTACACATGTGCATTGCACCAGTGCGAATAGAACCCCAGACCTTTAGTTTAATAGGCTAACCCGTTGATCATTAATCCACTACTGCATTGGTGGTTCAATGTCTGAAGAACGCATACACGTTCCCGATTTGACTCACTCCAGTAATAAGTCCGGTAAAGAGGGAAAATTGAGTGTGGACCTTAATAACAGCACCCACTACTACTGAAACTTCAAAACTCAAGCTTTTACGCTCTATGTTCCACTTGAAACGCAAATGAGCGAAGCGTAAATATAACACTCACCTTTAATGAATAGATTCAAAGTGCCTCTTTCCTAACCAGGTGAATGGATAAGGGACTGTACACTCAATGAATTAAGCTTCTCTTGTACTTGGTCTTTGTCAGAATACATAAATTGTCATGTATTAGACTGTATTGGATTGGATAGAGGCGACTTTGGCTGTTCATGAACTGAAACCGTCCGTACCTTCATATACAGTAGAAGTATTATGGTGAGAGCTGTCTGCTAGCCAAAATTGGTAGACAGCAATTTACGTTAATTTCTACGTCCTAAATCTTGGTCATGAGAAAATAATAGCAAGAACAAAAAGACTAATTCAACAACCAATCACAGCAGACTTTGCGTGGGCGTGGTACGATTCGCAGATATACATGGTCTGACCTTCAAAGAGACGATAGATTAACTTAGAGAGAGAAAACAACCAATCAGGAGATGGTGTTTCTCTGCCAATAAAATAACGAATAATAATGTACATAAAAATCTGTAAATATCTTTTGATTTTCTCAAAAAACGATCTGTTGCCTGGTCGTTGTTTTATGTCGTTACAGCATAATGTACACGCCTCCTTTTTACTTTGGCCTCAGGACGGGGAAAAACAAGAGAAGTGAGGATGAATATTCTTTTTGTTTCCTCACCTTGTTATTTTATACTTCAACCAAATCACAATTTTATCTTTTTTTATATTCCTTCTCTTTAGATTACGATATCTCCATTATTAGAGATTATGAATTGTATGCCGATCCCATTGAAATTAGAAAGTAAAGCAATTAGTCCTCAACAGACAATAAATTCAAATTCATTAACCCATGAAATGATTCCACCGGCTGCATTTTATCATCCTCGAAACTCTGAGGATTCAACATCTGCACTTCATGACTGTTATGCATCCAACCGGTTTAGTCGATATCCGTACACATTGGCCAAACCTATTCGACTTGTATATCATTATGACTTACTTTTGACAGGCACATTACCGTAAGAACTTTTTTCCTGTGTTAATCCAATTTTTTTTTCAAAATTCTGCTTAAAACTGTCAAATCTTAAAATAAATACAGTTTGCAGGCTAAAACCAGAATCGACAATTGAAACCAGTGCGTGTTAAGGTAGAAGATTTTTTAATAGTCTTTTAGTGACCACGACATTATCCAACCAATGGCATTCGTTATTGGTAAGGTATGTATGTGGGGTATTTTTTTGTGCCTACGAAAGACCCATCCTGTCTTCTGAATTTTGCTTCGATCCAAAACAACGAAGAATATTTGAGGGAGAACAGTTGTCAATCGTGCACCTCCTCTAAGAAAGCAGGATTAGGGTGGTGGCATTCAAACCTACAAACTCTCTCAGCAGGAGAAGCTCTGTAGGCTAAAAGACCCGGTGGACTTAATTAAACAAAATAATAGGATTTACAAAATACCTTGCAATGACTGTGAGTTAAGTCAACTATATAGGTCAAACTAGTAGATCGGAGGTAATCAAATTGTTGGAACATAAGAATTTAGCTAAGGTAAGAATGGTTGACCCTGAGAAGATGAGTAATTTAGAAAAAAGCTAAGCAATTGCACTACATGCATTAACACAAAACCACACAATAGCATGGTGGGAGGGGTTAAAAATCTAAGAAGTAATCTATGTATGGGGAGAGAGACATTGATTACTGAATCCTGCCTGATTCATTGAGTCTACAAGCAACACACCACATGCCACAGAAATGACTCAATGCAAATACCAGGGATATGCATGGAAGATATTATTACCGCCAGTTAGTCAAATCAGACGAGGATAATAAATAATCTCAAAATTCTATTTTACTTCAAACACATCATAATATTCTAACAAGTAACTTATTATGATTATAAAAACACTCGTCTTATTTCCCATCTTATTGTAATTGATCAATAACACTCATGTGCGTCGGTGGCACAGTGGTTAGGACTCTCGCCGAACATGCACATGGTCCGAGGTTCGATCCCCTCCCGACGCACACTGATATCTATGGTCAGCCTGGAAAATTTGGGCTACGATAACCATGCTGAAAATTCCATACTTGTACCAAAAATACAGTGTGGAATCAAGCTGTAATAAAAAATAAAATAAAATATTGTTTCTGAGTGTACATTATCCTATATTGATTTTTATTTAAATATTAAATATCTAGTCAATTCCACACATGTATATAAATGAAGGAAAAAAGTTGTGTGAGTAACTTGATATGATTATGAGTGGCAATAATTTGTGCTCTAGACGTGGTCATCAGTTAATATTACTGTGGAACACTGTGTAACTTATCAAAATAAAATCTTATCCATAATGGAGTTATACTCTACCACCACAGTGCCCAAGTTTTATACTTGTACCAGTTTTAAAATGTCGACAATATTTAGTTTGATTATTCACTTTGTGATCGATAGCTGCTTCTCTGGAGTAATACTTGAGCTGCTTGGATCTCGACTACTTACGCTGGCTGGACGGATGGTTTCGTAGGTTTTACGAAGCTAGAAACAGCATTTGAACAGGGGTTAGAATAAAAGTAGTTATTACCTTAGTACAAGCCCACTACATCATGCTAGGGATCTGAGAGTGAAGTAGTAGTACTGCTGGCGAATACGGATACAATGGATGCAGCTAGATATCTTAAATCTTCATTGTGGGGAGAAGAGTTAGGAAACGTCGATGCCGAAATTCGTATTCCTTGACCTACCTTGCGGCTGTCTATATATATAGCCAGTGTTAAGATCTGAATATATGAACACAACTTCTATAACTAAGTGAAATAGTTGTCCTTTGGGCTGTGTATGCAGTTGCGCAATCTTAATTGTTACTTTTGTTTTAGGAACTTCGATAAAAAGGAAATCAATTTCGGAAGTGTTGGCAGCCTGAAAGTAATAATCACCCACACGCTCTATAAACACACAAAGCTTTTTTTAAACTGTTTACATGACTAATCCAGACTTATGTTATTTATAGTTCCCATTTTTAGAAGTCAGTATTTATGAATTTCCCGTTGATTGATTCTTATGTGTACTGTAGCACTTCGGTCTTTATTGAGTCACAAATGCGATGGAATGTGTCTTCTCGAACCTACTGAACTAAATGATGTAGCAAAAACGTATTGTTTAGGTTGTAAGTGCTTATATAATCATCCTCCAGCATTTATTGTTATTTCTTTGTTGAAGTTTTTATTCTCTTAATTTATTTCTCCTATACGTGACATCGTGTGGAGAAGAAAAGGGTCTGAGTTCCAGCCTAGTATGTAGTTCAAGTTCCCACACTTCTTATAGCCCATAAAGGTTGAGACAAAATTCTAAAGAAATATATATAGGACAGAAATGTACAGTAAAAAGAATAGTAATATGGAGAAATATGAGAACTTAATGGATCAAAGTGATCTAAACAGTTGAAGGCGATTTCGGTCGTTTTTTTCGATCCAGTTCATCATCAGTGTACTCAATATGACTCAACTCAGAAGGCTGAGTCAGTTAAATACCGTATGAAATAAGTAGTATGTTTGACTACTTTTATATGATTATAAAGAATAAATTGTCTGCTTAACTTCATCTTGTAAATAACACGTAGATAAAAGCTATCAATAACAAGGTAGGTTAATTCACTAGAAACCTTAACTCCAACCCTTAAAGTTTCCAAATCACCTTCCAAGGCTTTTACGGTTGTCCCAGAATCGACCAAAAAAATACAATGCTGTATCAACGTATACCCTATAGCATAAACAGATTAACCTGGAATTCTACTGTGCTCTACAGTGTTCAGGTTATTTTTTTCATTCCTTTACGTTCCCAGTGCAACATAGGGCTTCAAGCCTCTAGCTTGAAGTTTCTGTAGTAGTGGTGATTTTTTTTACAGGATGATGGGGTTGCTAGCCAGCCTCCAGTATCCAAACGGATCAAATGGCGTATGAACCCATATGGGTCACCAGCAATTATGAGAATGCAGCTCCTGGCGCTGCTCCGCCGCTACCTTGCGGATTAGACTCCAAGTCAAAGGCTCGGGCGTGGTCCCTTAATAAAACCACCTGCTTTGGTCTGGGCGCCCGGACAGTATCTCAGCCCTCGCACAATGAATGAAATAAAGCAAAAAACTCCCATTGAAACTCATCGCGCGCTATTAACAATGATTTCAATTAACATTGATGCATCAGGCTGTCAAAGGTCGGGTATACAATGCTTCGGTGTGGGCTGCCCTGCTCTGCGTCTGTGAAACCTGGCCTCTCCGAGCTGAGGATGTGCGGCGACTCTGCGTGTTCGATCACCGCTGTCTCCGCAGGATTGCTTGCATTAGATGGCATCATCGCGTGAGTAATTCTTACGTTCGGCGGCGTGTGTTTGAACACAGTGAAGATCACCATTCGTTGAGTGTCGTCATCTGAAAACACTGGCTCCGGTGGCCTGGTTATGTGCTGAGAATGTCACCCCAGAGGCTTCCGTACAGGTCTCTGTTCTCTAGCCCTGGGATGGCATGGAAAAGGCGGAGGGGTGGTTAGTCCATAACGTGGCGTCGTGGGATGAAGGATGTTTATGCTAGATTAGCATCGGTTGGTGTGTCACGACTCCCTGGTTGGGGTCCGAGAGATAGCTCGAATCGATGGCTCGAAACGTTGTCGGATATGGCCAAGAATCATAATCAATGGTGAACGTGTTGCAATTTCCTTCTTTCTTCCCTTCCCGATGACAGTTAACGAACACTATTTGAGCTTCTTAAGTATGATTGTCTTCCTTCCAGATGAAGTTCTTTATCCGTTCCCTACTCATATTTTTTTTCTTTTCCTTCTTTTTTTCTTTCTTGTTGTTTTATTATTATTGTTATTGGGTGGCTCATCCTTCTTGGTGCCATATTGTACCAAGTTTTTTATGCGTTTAAATAAATAAATAGCCAGCCCCATGCCCAACCTTTCCTCTTTACGAGTCTTATTACTGGCTTAGCGAGGTGATGGAGTGAGTGAGTCTTTGGGCGAGGATTGAACCCCGAACCACCTGTGGCGTGGTCGGCGAGCACTCTACCGCGGTGCCACCGATCTTCAGGTTCTCCCCCTTAAATTATATGCATTATGTGAAAGAATATAGTAGTTGAGCACAAATAGAAATTATGAAAAATCAATTCGAAAAGTAATACGTGTGCTATTTCTGTTTGTTTTTCATTAGGGATGGTGAACCTATCTTCTCACATCCAATTCGATTATCTGGTCAAGAAATTCTGAAGAAATTGGCTACTACCTATTTAAACTGTACTGTTAACTCTAATGCAACTGCATCATCATCATCAAATGAAAATCTCATCTCAAAGTCTATACAACCCAGCACTTCATTGCCAGTTATATCTACACTGGGTTTAATACCGAAATTATACTGTATGCATAATGACTACTTAAATAACTTGCACAGTAGTAGTTATAGTAGTAGTAGTAGCAGTTATAAAATGAAATTAAATGAATCCAGCAATTTACAGTATAGTCTACGACTTGTATTAAACTCACAATTATTGCTAATCAATCGTACAGGTATTGATTTACACTTGAAATTACCGTCTATGAAAAGTGATATGCCATCGTCTTCGACTTCTCCTTCTTCTGCTGCGGCTACAGCTGCTACTACAATAAAACGAGTTATTTCTTTAAAAGATAAGGAATCAGTCGCTTTAGCTCAAAATCAAGTAAGTTGTCTTTCATTCATTCGTTCTAAAAAAGTGAAACGATGATTAACTGAATAGTTTTGTGTCAGTAATAGATTTTCAGAACTTTCAGAACTTTAGACCAGGAAGAGAGTGCATTGATCATATCTTCACCCTTCGACAGACTATCGAATGAAAGATAGGCATACTTACTGGCGTCCAACAACCGCTATATTTCTAGACCTAAAGACGTCATTCGATTCTGTCGACCGAGAGTTACTCAGGCGATATTTGGCTGTGGAAGGAATGCCGAGAAATTCCATTGCATTGATCAAGGCACTCTACTCGAACTCATGCAGCGAGGTGAGGGCTTACGGCGAGCTATCACCTGAAGTGGTGACAACTAGTGGTGTCCGTCAAGGATGCCCATTATCCCCCTTCCTATTCAACTTCATCATAGATGTGTTAATGGACTTAACCCTAAGTGACTTTAGCGACTCAGGGATTGATTTGCTACCAGGGAATAATCTCGTTGACTTAGAATATGCAGACGATACAGTCCTTCTAGGCGAGGACGCCTACAAAATTCAGAGTCTTCTGAACACCTTGAGCTGCAATCTACGAATGTTTGGCATGCGATTCGCTCCCGCCAAATGCAAGATGAAGTTACAGGACTGGACTACATCGACGCCTAGTTTAAAAATAAGAAGTGAAGTGGTTGAGGATTGTGACCACTTCGCTTATTTGGGTGGGTGGTTGCATCAGTCAACTCCAGCGGGTTGATCGCTGACGAAATTTCAGCACGAACATAGAGGGCTGGTTTCGCTTTTGTCAGTTTACTCCATCTCTGGCGTAGACGTGATATCCGGCTGACTGTCGACCAAAGGGCGTGTGTACTGCTCATAAGTCCGCTTGTCCTCCTTTATGGCTTCGAGACCTGGTCATTGAGAGTGGAAGACATGAAATGATTAGCTGTCTTCGATCATAGGTGCCTGCGTTCTATCTCCCTTGTGAAGTGGTTTAATAGGGTGAGCAATACTGAGGTTAGGCGTCGGTCGAGTTCTAGGTAACGAGGGGAAATCAATCTACGAGGCTGTAAAACTACATCGACTGATGTGTTTAGGACATGTGTTACGTATGCCTAGTCATCGCCTTCCTCGACGGGCAATGTTATCTGACATAGAATCGGGCTGGAAAAGTGCCACTGGTGGTCAAACCAAAACATTGCTTCACCAGTCAATCAAATCTACGACAGTTAGTGTAAGCCAGCCAGACATGTAGGAAGGTATAGACTTCCTGATTGTGTGAGGTCCTCGGGACGGTAAAAACCAATGGTTGGAAACAATTAGCGGTATAGCTCAAAATCGTTCTCAATGGCTATCGCAGATGCGTTCACTCCTTGTTACTTATGATTTCCAATGAAACTATATTGTTCTTCGTTATTACTATTCTTTTTGTCTCATACCTCTGTTTACTGTCTCTATTATGCATTTCTTCTACTTTCTTCTATTGCTTTGTGTGCTACATGGAGTGTAGTGACTTGAACTGCTGCATATCTGTGAAAAGTTCTATGTCGAAAACAGACAGATAGCAACAAAGGTTGATAAAGCAGGATTTACTGAAACCATTAAATTTCGGTAGAACTCTTCAGATGAATTCATACTGTTGGGATTACATTGGGAGATATAAGACTGATAAGTAAACAAACTACATTAAATTAGTCATGCAGAAAGACAGGTGCGAATATTTTCCAGGTCATGTTCAATTATATAAGGGGAGAGAGAGTACGAGGGGTTGAAATTACAACAAAATGCATTACGCTTCAATTACATCACTTAGATAAACAATTAGTCACTAGAGAATAACGAGAATTGTTAACAGAGTGATATCATTAGTAATACTTATAATAACAATAATAATAATGTAATAATAATAGTGAGTCAAGATAATGCTATTGATATAAAGATAGTTTTATATGAATCAAGAATAATAATAATAATAATGATAAGGTAGAATAATAAGTAAAACGTATTACCTTAATAGATTCAGAGTGGTGACCATCTTTTTTTTGTACACAGACACATCTTGTGTACAATGCACATGATATCGAGGCTGTCAAGTCATTCACTATTGTCAGCAGACAAAGAAACAAGAAGATGCTTGCAATTGAGGAGGAGGAGGCTTGTGCAATCCGGGTTTATAAACCAGGACCTTCCGGTTACATGGTAAGTTGGTTCGCATACCATTCAGCCACTGGGACCCGACTGCTCAATGGCCAGCCCATGGATTCTAACTTCTACCAATTTGTGATTTAGCGCAATTGGCACCAACCAATGTCATCGGGAGGGGAGGGGGGGAATCTATCCTCATACTTGACTGGATGGATCTCACGAGGGTCACAACTTCTCACTAAGAACTCCAGGAAACTCTATTCTGTATCAAGTCACTAGCTAAGCAGCATTAGATTAATTTTCAGGATTTTATTTGGTTTTTATAAGGATTAGATTTGTGTTTTCTACGAGTTTGACCACGGTTTTATGTATCAGTCAGAGAACCATTGAAAACCAGCAGGAAGTACTTCCAGACATCTGTTTCATCCTATGATATTAATCCTGTAGTCAAAGTGGAAAAACAAACCTAATTCTTACAAATCAATTGTATATATTTACTTTCTTCAACCTACTCATCGTCATCATCATACCTCACTGATTTATATACATTTTTACCGATTAAAAATACCCATTAAGATGTTCAAAAGAATGGATACTGAACAAAGAGTACCCTTTTCGATGACCCCTTCATCATCAGGCTCTACAGTTATATATATATACATTATAGTGAATGAATGAATGAATTAGTGTTATGAACAACATTAATGTCGTGTAAATTACATCGAATCAATAATATTGATAGATTACAGCTCAATAGCATCAACATAACAATACACAGTGAATGTCAGACAAATTAAGAAAGATAATATTATAAATTCATGATTTTGTAGTCTCTACTGAAGGCTGGCCAGGGCAGTAGTAGGGGCTGGACTTGGTCCTTTTGCACACAGAGTACTGGTTGTTTGAGGCGAATTGTAATAGCCTCTGGTGTTTGGAGCATGTGGTGCTTCGTCGATTTTGGCAATTTATTAGGCACCCGGTAAATGAAAGAGAAGCATTCTTCAACGGCGGCTGGCTTTGTGTCTGGTTTGCACCAGATGGTCCAATATCGAACTTTTACTGGTTTACTTAGCCATAGTGGAAGATGTTTTCAAGCACGAAAAATCAAGTTCCTAGAGCAACGGCCGATCGGTATATACAATTAGAAGTGGCTAGTCTAGGTACTTCATCTTTCAGTCGAGGTAACACTATCGGTCGTGTAGAGAATAATACGTGCGGTTAGCCAGCATTAAAATTTCTTTGAACTGATTTTTCTTAATTTTCTCAGAATTATCTCACTTGGTATGTCGCCCTTGAATTGTAGTCGTATATAAAGTGGCTTCTTGTTTACAGATAGTGAGTAGTCCTTTTCCACCGCTTTCTTTGTCATGTGTTTCTTGATACATTTTTCGGAATAGCTATTTTTGATTATAGTATCATATACAATGCTGAATTCATCTCCAGTTACTTCTTCTGAGCATATAGCTCTAACTCTGTGGCTAAGTGTTTTCACTAAATTTCTTTTGTACTTGATAGGAACGAAGCTGTGAAATGTGTAAAACGTTGTCCTGTCCAAGTACTTTTTCTATGCAAATTTCTTTTTTTATGCTACCATCTGGTTTTCTTGTAAGTAAGTAGAACATCCAGGAAGGCAGGCGATTCTGTCTTGTGATTCCTCTTCACATGTGAATTTCATAGCCGAGTGTACTTCATTGAATTTATGTACATTTTTTTGTTTGATTGTATATTTGTTTCTCCCTATATATCGTTTGTTTTTTTCACAGCATTATTTCCAATTGGGTATTACATACAACAATAAAGAATATTGGTCTGAGATAATATCAATTCAGCTACCAATGGATCAATCCGGTTTATTAAACAATAAAGTTGACTACAGTTTAAGTTCATTTGTATGGAATAATAAGCTGAAAACACTATCATTACCAAATATGTCTACAACATATATTAATTTATTAATAGACAATAGAATTTTATGCTTACTTATTTCTATACAATATAATAATTATAATATGAATGAAGGAAAGAAAGAATTAAATGAAATAAATACTCATACTACTACTAACAATAATTTCATTGTAACTATTGAACCAAGATTTCATATTAATCCTAGTTTTGCCAATGATGAAGAATATAATTGGAATAGTCTGTGCATAAGGCCAATTGTTATTCCATTAGGAGAAGAATTACAACAACAAGAAACTACTACAAAAGTTAATAGTAGTCTATCAAGTACTCCTGTAAGTTATTACACGTTTTTTTCAATATTATTATTACTATGATGATTTATATAACTTTCTGAAAGCGGAGATTATCTGAAAAGCCATGTGGGATGTATTTGCGCTATACATTTCGAACAATCTGATCTCTCACACATTTAGTTGACAAGTCAATATATATGGAAAAGTTAAATTAAACAAAATGACGAAAAGAAGGATTTAAGAATGATTAACACAAAGTTTGGTAATCCAATGAAATAAGGATTACCAAGGTAGATTAAGAGTAATAATAAACTGTTTTTGAATACACACTGGAGGAGAGGTTTTAGTTTATGAATAGATATAGCCTCAGTGTATTTCACTAGGCGCCCTTGACGACTATCATAGATGACCTTAAAGGCTGAGTTAACATCAATCTTATGGTTCATCTCGATTAGGTATTTAGCTATAGACGAAGTTTGTAGTCTGACACCTGCATCTATGGGTTTTTCACAATTCATTTCTTTTTCTAACCATTTCGGGATATGCTCTCCCATCCTCACATGCAAAGCACGATTACTCATTCCTAAGTATATGTAACCACACACACGAGAATTGGTAAATAGTGTGGGGTGTGACATAATCACTTGTGCAGCTTTGAGATTTGCGGTGGAGCTTATTTTTAGCTTTCTCGACAATTACAAGCTTGGTTGCATAATAGGTTCTACGGATGATCGAATTCAACCTTTCTCTCAAAATCCTACTGTTTATTTCCCCATTATATGGTAATTTGATGGAGACATTTTTCTTAAGGGCAGTATGAATTGTAGGTTTAAAGACTAATTGACTTCTACACCTGTTTAAAAATTTTAAAGGATATCCGTTTTCAACAAGAGTATCCATCAATATTTCGTTTTCTTTGTCTATAACATCAGCCGTACAAATACGCTGAATCCTCTTAAATAGACACTTCACCAAGCCTCTCTCATACTGTAATGTACAGAAGCTGTGAAAATTAAGGTATTGCCCTGTCCAAGTGTGTGTGTGTGTGGTCACACATACATAGGGAGGAGTAATCGCTCTTTGCATGTGAGGGTGGGAAAGCATATCCCGAAATGATTAGAAAAACAAATCAATTGTGACAAGCCAATAGATGCAGGTGTCAGACTACAAACTTCGTCTATAGCTAAACATCTAATCGAGATGAACCATAAGATTGATGTTAACTCGGCCTTTAAGGTCATCTATGGTAGTCGTCAAGGGCGCTTATTGAATTACGCCGAAGCCATAGCTATTCATAAACTTAACCTCCCCCCTGTGTATTCAAAAGCCGTTTATTATTACTTCTAACCTACCTTAGTAATCCTTATTTGATTGGATTACCACTTTGTTTAATTTAACTTTTCCATATATATTGACTTGTCAACTAAATGTGTGAGTGATCAGATTGTTCGAAATGTATAGCGCAAATACATCCCACATTGCTTTTCAGATAATCTCCGTCTTCTAATAGCGCTATCAAAATTTATAAAAGGGACTAATTGTTTTACATAACTTTCATTTGATGAATATATATTGTTGAGCGTGCCAATCCACTGACTGCCTTCCTCTTGGATGACAGATACTAACTGACAGGATTCGATGGGAAAAGAGTTAGAGGTGATCAAATGAGAGGTCTTTGACTGTTTTGATTTCAAGGGTAACCATGTAAAACGATGAGGTGCATAGATTTCTACCCTGGCACGTTGAAGCCCTGAATACGCTTGAAACTGTTTGCTGATATTTTGGTGAGAGCTGTCTGCTAGCCAAAATTGTTAGACAGCACTTTTGCGTCAGTGTTTGCGTCCTAAATCTTGGTCATGAGAAAATAATAACAAGAAAAAAAAGACTAACTCAGCAACCAATCACAGAAGACCCTGCGTGGGCGGGTGTGACCTTCAAAGAAACGGTCATAGAGAGATGACAGTTTATCTCAAAACGAGTAAACAACCAATCAGAAGACGCTGCTTCTCTGCTAATAAAATAACGAATAATAATGTACATAAAAATATATATAAATATCTTTTGATTTCCTCAACAAGCGATCTGTTGCCTGGTCCTTGTCTTCTGTCGTAACAATATGACTCAAAATTGTTGTCCATGAATGTTGCAGATGCATTCACTTTCTGTGGTCTCACAGATCTACTGGATCCTCATATTTTTCCATGTAATTTTGTTCTTATTGCTGCATATATTTGTTCATTCTTTTAAAAGTCTCTTTTCTCTCACTTTTCTTTACTTTATGTGCTAAATGCACTCTAGCAAAGTTCTATGTTGAAATTCACCCAGTCATTCAGTTAGTTATCTTCGTTTGATTTATTCTGTAACGATAGCTGTTAGGCTTGAGTCTTTAGACTGACTTAAACTGTTTTTTATCAGAATGGTTTATTTTAACAGGATAGCTTAATAAGTTTCTTGGATATGTGTGCTACAAAATGTCTTCCCAGAGACTTATTTACTCTTCACAGTGTTTTTTATCTTTGAGAATGACTAGAGTGGTTAGATGTGAAATGTCGCCGTGGGATAAAAAAATAGTCGTATTGTTGTTAGCATCTATCAACATATCACGACTCCTTAGATGATGGGATCTGACAAATAATCGTAATCAATAGCTCAAAGCGTCATCAGATTCGGCTGGCAATGGTAATTAGTGCTGAACAGACTGCAATTTCATCCTTTCCTCTTCCTTTTTGAAAGGAACAAAGCAATGAATACTTCTTTAAATTTCTTTGATATGTATGCTTGCTTGCTTTCGTGATGAGACAGGCAACCGGAGTGATTGGTGAATATTTGTCCCCACACCCGATTTGGCACAACCCACTGGTTAGGAATCATCACTAGAACTCCAAGCGAATTGATCCTGTAGTCAGCCACACCAATAATTTCTGGAAAAATTTTCAAGTGTTGATTTGCAGGGATTTACTTGGTTTCACGTTTGCTTGCAAATTGACTTCATTTAGAGAACCACTGAAAACCAGGAAGTATTCTCTCCAGTAACTTCTGCATGGGGTTTTATGTTTGTTATACATACATAATAGTTGCTGCTGTTATTGACAGCATCTATGTTTTTAAAATGATATTGAATTCCTGTCGAACTAATAACATTAGCAGGACAATTACGCATGGTCATCATCAAATTTCCGAACACCAACATGCGTCTCCGGCCGACAACTGTGCCGTCTAAGTGCAAAGTACCGTTACAAGATTGGCAGGAGCCTGTACCTGCACTCACTCTTGCGCGTGAACCACTTGAAGTTGTTGATAAGTTTGTGTATCTGGGTTGTTGTGTGAGTGCTGGCGTAGGGGTAACGGATGAGATTTCCAACTGTATATTGAAGGCTAGGGTGACATACATCAACTTCAGTCACCTCTGGTGCCGTCGCGACGTTAGCCTGGCTGTCAAAGGTTGGGTATACAATGCTTCGGTGCGGGTTGTCTTCCTCTACGTCTAAGAAACCTCGCCTTTCCGAGCTGAGGATGTGCGGCGACTCTGCGTGTTCGATCACCGCTGTCTCCGCAGGATTGCTTGCATTAGATGGCATCATCGCGTGAGTAATTCTTAGGTTCGGCGGCGTGCGTTTGAACACAGTGAAGATCACCATTCGTTGAGTGTCGTCATCTGAAAACACTGGCTCCGGTGGCTTGGTTATGTGCTGAGAATGTCACCCCAGAGACTTCCGTACAGGTCTGTGTTCTCTAGCCCTGGGATGGCATGGAAAAGGCGGAAGGGTGGGGTTAGTCCATGACGTGGCGTCGTGGGATGAAGGATGTTCATGCTAGATTAGCATCGGTTCGTGTGTCACGACTCCCTGGTTGAGGTCCGTGAGATAGCTCAAATCGATGGCTCGAAACGTTATAGGGTATGGCCAAGAATCGTTATCAATGGCGAACGTGTTTCAATTCCCTTCTTTCTTCCCTTTCCGATGATAGTTGACGAAAACTGTTTGAACTTGTTAAGTATGATTGTTTTCCTTCCAGATGAAGTTCTTTATCCGTTATCTACTTATGTTTTTTACTTTTAATCTATGTTGTTTTATTATTGTTATTGGGTGGCGCATCCTTCTTGGTGCCATATTGTATCAAGTTTTTTCTGCGTTTAAATAAATAAAAACCAACCTGCATAATGGTTCAGCAAGGGATAACTAAGGTTCATTCTCAGCTGTGGTTTAGCTCACCTTGTAAATACTAGGCATAAATTTGGTTTATTACAAGGCATTTAAATTTAGCCATCATATTTTGACTAATCTTAATTTTGTTCTGCTTGAGTTTTGCATGAAGCCATTGGAATCCACCACCGACAGCCTCCTAAAGTCACGCCACCAATTTCATTTAAGAGCTTTTAATGTTAGGACACTTTGCCAAATAGGACAACAAGCATCACTAGCCAAGACCCTGGCATCCCGAACCATTGATGTATGCTGTGTTTCAGAAACACGCATACAAGACCCAAGTGTGGTTATTGATATGTATCCACAAATATATATTTATGTGTGTGTGTGCACGTTGGTCTCTCTTTCTGTTTGCTCGCTTAGTCTGTGACCATTTCACTTGTGTGAACTTGTCTCCTTTAATAATGTATATTCTCCTTATATTATATTATATATAATATGAGTGTTTGTTGACAGTCCGTTGCTTAGTGACATATTTCCATACATGGTTGTTGTTGACATGTCTGCTATATATTTTGCTATATATATATTTCGTTCACACAATTTGTGTGAACTACTTTACTTACTTATCACTTTGGTGTGAGACCATTTATTTTCGTCTCCTTGTGTTTGGACAATAGAAGTATCATCGCAAACCTAGTGGTCTTCTGATTTCCGCCTTCTCGCGTCAGGACTATTAGTTTCTCAACCAGTCCGTAATAATTTAGCGACGAGTACATAACAGTTATTCACCTAACCCCACCTGGCCAACAAGTTGAATCTGCGAAATTCACCTTGAGGGTATCAGGAGGTGCCATAGCTAGTTCACGAGGATTAGCTGGTGTAGGGATAGCTTTGAGTACTAGGGCAGAAAAGACACTGCTTGACTGGATCCCGGTAGATAGCCGAATGTGTACTGTCCGTCTGAACGAGTCAGTAAAAAGGAGGAAGGACTGCACTACTCGCCGATGCCTTTTCGTAATCTCCGCCTACGCTTCCACTAACTGCAGTTAAGATGAAACGAAGGATGAGTTCTACCAAAAGCTGTCTAGTTTGGTGCGAACGGCTAAACGCTCAGACATAGTCGTTCTAGCTGGTGATTGCAACGCTCAAGTAGGGAAATTGTGTCAATCTGAGAAGGATGTCGATGGCACCTATGGAGTTCCGTGCCAGCGAACCGACAACGGTGACCGTCTCCTACAGTTCTGCTCTGATAATCATTTGTTTCTTGTAAGCACTAACTTCAAACACAAGGAGAGACACTGTTTGACTTGGAGATCCCCTTCATCAAGCCAACGCTGGACACAAATAGACCACATAGCAATAAGCTATCGTTGGCGTGGGTCGGTAGGAGGTTGTCGCTCCTTCTGGAACACGTGTAAAGATACAGATCACGCACTGGTCCGCGCTCATGTGTGCTTACAACCGAACGGACGTAGGAAACAGCTGGTGATAAAACCATCACGTCTCGAGCTCGATCAGGAAACTAAATCCGTATTTGAGGAAGAACTAGGCAGCCATAGATACAGCTGTAAAAGCTGTGAATAAGTTAAACCCAAAGGTGAGTAAAAACCACTGGATCTCCACCGCCTCATCCGAACTGATAGATGCTAGAAGACTTATTCCGGCGAGCTCCGAATTCAATGAGGAGCGAAAGCTGCACAAGAGGAAACTTACGAAAAGTCTCCGCAAGGACCGTGAACAGTGGTGGGCGACAAAAGCCAAAGAGATGGAGAAAGCTTCGAGGATAGGCAACACCAGGCAACTCTTTAGACTCATCAGGGAAACGGGTGGGAGAAGACAAATCATAGTGAGACAATCTCGGAAAAAAATGGCACTATAATTAGCTCCCAGGATAGACGACTGGATCGTTGGAAAGAGCATTATGAGGAGCAGTTTAATTGGCCCACAGCCACGCTCAACCTTCCGAGCATCCAACACCTCCCTGAATGGGATATAGACACAGGTCCTCCATCCCTAACTGAGGTTACTAAAGCTGTCACCAATCTGAAACTAGGCAAAGCAGCGGGACCTGATGGAATGACTCCAGAGGTATTTAAGTACGGTGGAGACAGCTTACTGTCTGCATTAACTGAGGTACTAGGCAGCGTCTGGGAATCAGAAGAAGTCCCATCGGGTTGGTGTAAGTCACTGATTATCCCCATATACAAGAAGGGAGACAAGTCTTCCTGTGATAATCACAGAGGGATTAGCTTGACTAATATAGTATCTAAAGTCTTAGGCTCAATAATCATGCGTAGACTGAGTGGTGCTCGGGAGCACAAACACGAGAGAGCCAGGCAGGCTTTAGACCAGGAAGAGGGTGTATTGATCATATCTTCACCCTCCGACAGATTCTAGAACATAGGAATTCCTACCGGCGTCCAACAGTCATTATATTTCTTGACCTAAAGGCAGCATTCGACTCTGTCGATCGAGAAGTTCTCTGGAGATGCTTGGCTGTAAAGGGAATTCCGAGAAAATATATTGCACTGATTAAGGCACTCTACTCGTACTCATACAGCCAGGTGAGGGCTTACGGCGAGCTGTCATCTGAACTGATGACGACCAGTGGTGTCCGTCAAGGATGCCCATTATCCCTTTTCCTATTCAACTTCATCATAGATGTGTTAATGGACTTAACCCTAGGTGACTTCAGCGACTCAGGGATTGACTTGCTACCGGGAATAATCTCGTTGACTTGGAATATGCAGACGATATAGTCCTTCTAGGCGAAGACGCTGACAAAATGCAGAGTCTTCTAAACACCTTGAGCTGCAATCTACGAATGTTTGGCATGCGATTCGCTCCCGCCAAATGCAAGATGATGTTACAGGACTGGACTACATCGACGCCTAGTTTAAAAATAGGAAGTGAAGTGGTAGAGCACGTTGACCGCTTCACTTATTTGGGAAGTACCATCAGCCAGTGCCAACGGGTTGATCTCTGACGAAATCTCAGCACGAATACAGGGGGCTCGTTTCGCATTTGCCAGTTTACGCCGACTCTGGCGTAGACGAGATGTTCGACTATCGACCAAAGGGCGGGTGTACTGCTCATCAGTCCGCTCCGTCCTCCTTTATGGTTGTGAGGAGACCTGGCCACTGAGAGTGGAAGACATGAAAAGACTAGCTAGCTGTCTTTGATCATAGGTGCCTGCGTTCTATTTCCCGTGTAAAGTGGCATAATAAGGTGAGCAACATTGAGGTTAGGCGTCGAGTTCTAGGTAAACAGAGGAAATCAATCGACGAAGTCGTGAAGTTACAAAGACTGAGATGGTTAGGACATGTGTTACGTATGCCAAGTCATCGCCTCCCTCGACAAGGAATGTTAGCGGATATAGGGTCAGGCTGGAAAAAAGCTAGCGGCGGTCAAACAAAAACTTGGCATCAGTCAATGAAATCCACAACAGTTGGTCTAAGCCACGTAGTAAGGTGTAGACTTCCAGGTTGGGGTCCTCGGGACGGTAAAAATCTATGGTTGGAAACAGTTGGTGACATGGCAAGGGTGACTTGGAGGAGGTCATGTGATGAAGAGACGAAAGCGTGTGGGCAGACTTGGAGTGGGGTTAAAATGTTGGCAGAGAACCGAACTCAATGGATACGCGCGGCTGAAGCCCTATTTCCCCCTAGGAATTAAAGGAAAAGATAATGATAATAAATGCCTACTATCACTTACACATGCTTCTGCGAACTGTAATCCATTCACCTAAACAAGTGGATATCACGTAAAACAACATGGATGTTGTCCATCAGTGGTTCAGTTTGGCAGGACGCTTGCCAACCACACACGTGATCCGGGATTCGATCTTCGGCCGATGCACTCGTAAACCTCATTAAGTCGACAGTAAGTCCGGTAACGAGGGAAGGTTGGGCATGAGTCTAGCAATCCCAATCCTGTGAAAATAAACACCACTGCTACCGAAACTTCAAAGGTCTAGTTTGAAGTCACCCTATGTTCCACTCGGAACATAAGGGATTAAAAGGGAAGGCAACATGCATGTTGTCAATAGTTAGTTATTCTCTGACCAACTGTCGAATCTGATAGGGAAGTTATCGAAATCATCTCTTCTGACCTGATTTTGTCTCAAAATTCAGTTTTTGGTTCTTTTTTTGATATTTAGATATCTGCATCACAAATGAATGAAGAGTTCGCCAGTGAAATAGTCTGTAACAACACTAGTACACCTCTTCTATGGTGGACACTTTCACGTGATATCGACAGGTCATTGTCAAATATTGAACTCCTATACTGTATGCAAATATCAATAAAGTCAACTGTTCTTGTCCAACCAGCATGGTCACACGTATTCCCATTGCATAGAATTCCAAAATTCCCTTACAATACAAGCAATCTATCTGAACAGTCTTCAATACCTATATATCTTTGTCAGGTAACTATTCCTGTCAGCTTAAAGGGTAAGTCAATTAGTCATTTGGTGTACACACCTATGTAAGAGGTTAATTTGAAGGTATTTATTGTACTGTGAACATTTTTCACCTAATTATTTGATTAATAATGCCTAGCAGTGGAGTCTAGGACTGGCGTTTCTTTCCATTTTGAGACTCATCCTTTGGATGTACATTCATCTCTAAGGAGTGATGGTGTTCCTGACGAGACTTGAACTCATTGTCCATCCTTCCAAATATCAAATAGATGGTATAGCCATGGGCAGTTCACTTAGCCGTGTTTTATTAATATATGTGCCTTGTTTTAGCAGATATATTCATGTCCAACCGTGAAAGAACAAAGTTGAAGCATGCAATTGACGAAACATCTTTGATCATAGGTGCCTGCGTTCTATTTCCCGTGTAAAGTGGCATAATAAGGTGAGCAACATTGAAGTTAGGCGTAGAGTTCTAGGTAAACAGGGGAAATCAATCGACGAAGTCGTGAAGCTACAAAGACTGAGATGGTTAGGACATGTGTTACGTATGCATACCAAGTCATCGCCTCCCTCGACGAGCAATGTTAGCGGATATAGGGTCAGGCTGGAAAAAAGCTAGCGGCGGTCAAACAAAAACTTGGCATCAGTCTATGAAATCCACAACAGTTGGTCTAAGCCACGTAGGAAGGTGTAGACTTCCAGGCTGGGGTCCTCGGGACGTAAAAATCTATGGTTGGAAACAATTGGTGACATGGCTCAAAACCGTTCTCAGTGGCGCAGATGCATCCACTCCCTGTGACTTATGATCTTCAATGAAACTGTTTTGTATTTCTTTATTACTCCTTTGTCTCACACCTCTGCTCACTGTTTCTATTATGCTTTTCTTGTACTTTCTTCTCTTGCTTGCTTCGCGTGCTACACGGAGTGTGGCGACTTGAACTTCCGCACATTTGTGCAAAGTTCTATGTCGAAAACAGACAGACAGACAGACATTGACGAAACAACTTCCTACTGTCCTAGTATGTTGATGACACATTTATAGTGTGCAACAATGAAAGTCATGCTTCACATACTTACTCATATTATTCAATGATGCACACACCAAATATTGAGTTTACTATGGAACATGAAAGTGACGGAAAGTTCCACTTCCTCGACATTGCTATGCAACTCCTAGAAGACGATAGTCTTCAAAAGTCAATTTATCGAAAGCCTACTTGGAAAGGACAACACCTACATATTAATAGCTTTTGTCTAAATGGCTTTAAACGCTGACTAGTCAAGACTCTGTACTATAGAGCGAGGAGAATATGCTCTATAGAGAAATTAGAGGAAGAATTTGTGTTACTTGAAAAGATGTTGAAGAGCAATGGTCACCCTCAAACGTTCATCAACAAGTATGGAAGATTTGAATTCACAAATGTAAAACAAATCACAGTGGATAAAAAGTCAATCTACATTCAGCTTGATTTTAAAGGTGAAAAATTGCAGCAATGATCAACAGGAGGCTGAGTGCATCACTAACCAAGCCTATCCTGCAGCTAAGCTCGTTCCCGTCTATCGAACAACTTGCTGTCTGGTGCAATAGAAAATTGATAGATATCCTTCTCATGTTAACTCCAGCTGTATATGCAAATTTACATGTATCTGCGGGAGCAGTTACATTGGAAAGACAAAAGAAGGGCATATCTACGATTTTCTGAACATGTACCAAAACGCTTATGTCTTAAGGGAACAAATGCTTTAAACAGTTCCATCGCCAGACATCTCCTTGACACAGGTCATTAGGTGAACGTCGAAAAGCCGTTCAAAATTCTTAATGGGTAAAAGAGCTCAATTCTATTCAAGTTTGCTGGACCCATTTCCATCAAGCGCCTGAAACCTGATTTATGCGTCCAGAAAGAAGTAGTTATCAGTCTTTCCTCGCCCTGCTGCCTGGTAACTGGATATTTTCATCTCTCTTTCATATGAATGTGTAATGCTGAAAAGTTTCCATTGTGTTTGATGATTATTGTTCGGAATAGTGTTTAATATTACATATATCGATCGATTGATTTTTGTTTAAAATGAACTCTGTGCAAGTATGTTTTTGTAGATATATTTAATAATATTTTTGCGTGTAAGCAGCTGACGAGAAGGCAACGAAATAAAAGATGGTACACCACTTTATTCTGCTAAAACTGTAGTTCTTGCTTTGTTCAAATTCATTAAGGGGAATAAATGTATGAAACATCAAAATTCTATGCAATAAACTACCTAATCACTAACATTTCGACTGAGTGAAATAAATAAACGGGAAATTTGAAATAAGGATCATAGCTGTTCTGGGTATAACTGAGTTCTGCATCCTTTTTTGCATACCTAGGTGACTGTTGAATTATCATTTTGGTGACTAAATGACTAAAACGTTGGATACTGTCGCAGAAGGTTTGGAAGGTGATATGTATCCACATATAAATATTTATGTGTGTGTGTATGTTGGTCTCTCTTTCTGTTTGCTCGCTTAGTCTGTGACCATTTCACTTGTGTGAACTTGTCTCCTTTATTAATGTGTATTCTCCTTATATTATATTATATATAATATGAGTGTTTGTTGACAGTCCGTTGCTTGGTGACATATATCCATATTATATGTGGGGTTGTTGACATGTCTGCTATATTCGCTATGTATATTTGGATCGACACTTCATTATATTAGCCATCCATGTTAAGACTGTCTAATGATTTATTCCCACGCTTTGTTTGGAACATTCATATATATTTCGCATTCACAATTTGTGTAACTACTTTACTTACTTACCACTTTGGTGTGAGACCATTTATTTTCGTCACCTTGTGTTTGGACAATAGAAGTATCATCGCAAACCTAGTGGTCTTCTGATTTCCGCCTTCTCGCGTCAGGACTATTAGTTTCTCGACCAGTCCATAACAATAATTTAGCGACGAGTACATAACAGAAGGTATAAAAGGAGAGTACCGATTGCATGGACTACTTAAGCCTTCTCAAGAATATAGGCTCGGAATCATGCTTTTCCCGCCACGAGTTAAGTGGTAGGCTGCATCAGTCTGGAGAGCTTAAAATGTGCTCTGCATGCAAGTCACCAAGTGGAACACAAGCTGGATTCAGGAAAAGCAACTCTTTAGCTCAACTTTATTAGCTATGAAAAGGATTTTGACACTGTTGACCGTGAAGTAATTTGGAGACTACTTCAGTATTATGGCATGTGATACACTTGTATCAACTTCATTTAATAGCTGTGTAATGACGCCATATGTTAAGTCATACACAACGGTGGGCTAAGTTATGCCTTTAAAGTGCAGACAGGAGTAAGACAAGATTGTCTCCTATCGTCAATGGTATTCCTGATTGTTGTGAACTGGATCACCCATCAAACCGTGGAGAGCTAGGAGACGGTCATATGTTGGTCCGACACAAAGATTATAAGATTTGAGTTTCGAGTATGATTTTTGTCTAATGTCACTACAAACTTGAAAATTTATAGACGGAAACTAACAAACTGACTGAAGAGGGAATAAATAAAGGTGATTGTCTTTGGTTTGAATGAGATTTATGTGAAAGAGGGTGGAGGGAGATATTGAGGACTGAAGCTTTATTTATCTACTCAACAGAAACTACATGCATTAGGAATGCTTCAACATCTGTCTCAGGCACCTGGGAAATTCTACTACTTTTTTGACAATTGAGAAGGAAGATAGAGTACAAGTAGAATTAAGTTTCGAAGTTTTGTGCTTAGAAATGATATGTGCTCGACACTTCGTAATCCAGCAGATAATACTGTCTCACTGAGTCACATATATATATATATATATATATATATATATATATTATGGGTACCAAGAGATGCGCCACAAAAAATCTCATATTTTGTCGGACAGCTGGTAAACTTCCCGGACGCCTAGACTCAAGCAGGTGGTTGTCTGAGTAACTTGACTTGAAGTTTAATCTACAAGGCATTAGAGTAGCATCAGGAGCTACGTTCTCGTAATTTTCAGTGACTAACATAGATTTATACACCATTCGATCCCCCCGGATTCTGAAGCTGATGTACAGCACAGGTTCGGAGTCAGGGTTTTACAGTTCACCTAGGTAGATCGACGTGTCCACCAGTGCGGTTGTATGTGCCAGACGTTCGCATTTTCCCTTATACACCGCCGCATAAAGACAGTGAATAGGACGTACCTGACGGAGACTATGAAGGTGTAGCTACATAGAAGCATTTCAAGGGGAAGACGGGAGTCCTCCCATCCTCTGCCTCACTAGGCCGTTTCATGGGAGGAGGGTCTCTTGACATTGACAAATTCTTATTACTTAACATATTTCTACTATTTGATTTAATTTATATATGTTCTATAAAGTGGAAATTTTCACAGAAACATACATATAAGGATTGTATACAGCTTAGTGTCTATGTCCGACAGTTGGAAGCAGTTGACAAAAAGCCCTGGATCTATGTTTCGTGCTTGTTGGTACTTGTCCGCAAGATGTTCATCTGCAATGTTGGAAAGACATCAGTTTCTTCAACATCCTCTCAGTTCGATTACTTCTTGCTGATAGTTTTCAACCATTTGACATTATCACAACGGTTAGTTACCCCCAACTTGTTGTGACTGCATTGCCATATTTACTGACAGGATTGGGACAGTACCATTACAAAGGTTTAGATGCATGGGCTGGTCTACCCCCCCCACACTCAGCAATCAATCTACACCTCATTAGATTATCTTTGTACAAGTCTCTGTTCATAAGTGTTTACAACTGTATTTCATTTTTTATTTTTCGTATTTACAGATAATTCATTGAACAATTTCACTTTCTGCCCAACTTTACTTATCAGTACAATGGAATATGTATTAACAAATCAAATAGTTATACATATTAATAAAACATCAATTCTACAAACCTTAAATCCCTTTTCAATACACCTTTTAAATAATACTCATTCATCTGTATACTCTGTTGAACTGCTGATGAATTATCCTTCTCAAAAGTATCTTCATCATCGCCTGGAAGGCCGAGAAAGTCAGATACAAAACTTTTCAGTGATTCAATGTCTACAATACTGAAAGCATCATTTATCGACGCTGACTTACGATATAAATGTCAACCGAATTCTCAAATATCAATTATGCCACAGTCTTTGATAGATTTACTATACATTGATACTGTGAATCGAAATAATAATAATAATAATAGTAACAACAGTACTGCGGAAAATCTAAGCTTGAATTTCTTCGATCCATCTCATTTCAAGTCACTGGAATTAAAACTGTACTTGAAGGAGGAAAACAATGCAAGCGACACTGGTCGTTGTTGTTGTTGTTCTTCTTCTTTGAAGGATCCAATTAGTATAAATCTCAAAGATTTTTACTCTCCTCGTCTTCTTCTTCTTCGTCGGTTGATAGTGCTGCATTATGGCAGACACGGAAACATATTAATGATCAATTATCAATTCATTTGTATTATTCATTGAATAACAGCTCATTTGGTTTAATTGTTCAATTATTTGATAATTCCGCGAATAAAAAAAACGCGCTGATTACAAATCCTACATTATCATCAACATCATCACCAATACTGCCGACTTCATTTATATATTTCAACAAAATCAATTTGATAATTAATAAAGTTTGTCTACATTTACTAACCATCGAGAATAGAATACTCAATCAAAAAAATAATCACAAGAATAAGAAGAAGAATTCCACTTCTACATCTCCAATGTCATCGTTATCATCATCGTCGTCTACGCTATCGACGTCATCAGCATTTGTAGGCATAAAACATGGATTTTATGAAATTCTACCACCACATGATGAATTTCTACGTTTTACTCTAGTGAATTTATGTACTACAGTATTATTGATGAGCGAAGATTCACGCCTGACAAATCACAGTATTCTTCCAGGTGATGATAAACACCAATATATCCTTGTAAATAAACAATACAGTTTTGAAATTAGTTTACAACATTTTCAGGCAGATAATTGGTGTCATGCATGGACTAATATGTATGATTTCCCGGTAATTCTACAAACAGTTAAATTGAAAAGACCAAAAATTATTTGTCAATTCAATTTAGCATTGAATAAACAACATGTTTGAGTTCATTCATATCAACTTCTTCTCCACCTGTTATTACTTTATTTTTTTATCCTCCTAATTTAGATGTTTATTTAGAAGATTCTTTAATTTATGATTTTCTTGAATTATTTAATAATTTTCTATACATTTTTGATAGATATTATGATTTATCGTGTCCATTGAACATTGATCAAATGCCTTTATTGGGCGGTGTTTCAAATATCAGTTTACCGCCAAAAATAATCAATGAAAGTAGTGTTTTAATGAAACAACTATTAATTGATGCATTTAGAATCAATTTAAGTTTACGTGCAATGTTTCGATTATATTTATCCTGTCATTCAGCTCCATTGAATTTCACTGCATTTAAACTTGTCAATATAACAGATGTTAATCAGTCTGGTAATTCAACTAATGTTCAGGGTTCATTGGTATATTGGAGTTCATTAAAATATTTATTGACAGTGCATTATATTACTCAAATGCTGTTTCGTTCTGGTTGGTTAGTTGGTAGTTTAGATTTATTAGGTAATGTAACTGGTCTACTCTATTCTCTGGTTAATGGTCTTAATGATTTAATACATTTACGTTCAAGTGAGATGAAATCTGATGAAGATGAGAATAAAATAGGCATGATCACGTTATCTAATCCAAGTGACTTTGTATCTCAAGAAAGTGCGATATCTCCGACTACTACGATTACAACAATGACTGGTGTTAATATTTCATTGAAAAGTAACCAAAATATTGGATTTTTATATCGTCTTTATCAAGGATTCAGTTCACTTACTCGCCGAACAACTGGGTAAATGATTTTTTCTTCACTATTTTGTTATACGTCTGTAAAAGCATATTAACAGTAGGTTTGATTTTACCACCTTGCGTGTAATATTAGTAATAATACTGGTTAACATGCAAATTATACTTCAGTAAGAGGTGTAGGTTCGATTACCGGACGACTCATTCCTAAACCTCGCCTAATTTATTAGCTGATAGTAAGCTCAGAAGATGTGCGTCGGTGGTACAGTGGTTAGGACGCTCGCCGACCATGCACATGGTCCGGGGTTCGATCCCCGGCCACAGACGCACTCCTTTACCTCTCTAAGCCAGAAATAATTCTGGTAAAGAGGAAGGGTTGGGCATGAGGCTAGCAACCCCATCCTGTAAAATAAACACTGCTACAGAAACTTCAAGCCAATAGCTAGAAGCCATATGTTCCACTGGGGAACATGAAGGAAAAAAATAGCTCAGAAGATATGGAAAGTTAGGGGACTGATGTTAGCAACCCCACCGGGTAAAATCAACACCACTGACACTCTATTGAAACTTCAAAGTACTTCAAGCTCAGTGGGTTCCACTTGGAGTGCGAGGATGAAAAATAAACATTTTTAGAAATCTCCAAAATATCGAAATGCAGATATATCCAAATGACGAGTCCCAAATAGAACGAAGTGCGCGTTATCCTGGATTCCATGCTACTCACCGTCTACAAATTATATCATAATCTCGTTGTACAAAATATTAGCACTGATAGAAATTCTCACCTTGGCAATGTGGAACCGGTTGTGATAATTCATTTTCAAGAGATTTTTGCATAAAATGACTTTTTAGAACTATTTGCTTTTTCCTACTAACCAGAAGTGTTGTTTATGTTTACAAAGATGATTATTCGAAAAGCGTCATACCCAGGTGTTTAAGTGACGGTATTATAATTACTTCCTTGGGTTGCTAGTGGGTCATAAAACTTCACCAGTACGTCTTCATTTGCGGTGTTCTCTGCAGTCTTTATCAACCGACTCCTCAATTGCTCACTAGGTTTTATTTCCTTCACATACACACACACACACACAACCACATGTATGTCACTCTCGGACCCACACATAAGTCTCTGTTTCCCATTCAAATTATACTCGAGTGCCGGCCTGGCGCATGATATCACTCAACCATCTCCTCAGTGTGTGTGTGTGCGCTGTTCATGTACATTTTCTTCAGCATATTGCTGAACAATGGATTGTTGGTTGGTTCGTCCCCAGAGTTCCTTGTTGCTGAATGACTGACTGACTGGTTTCAACGTAGAAATTTGCACCGATATGCAGCAGTTCGAGTCGCCACATTCCATTTAACACACAAAGGAAGAGATGAAAGTAAAAAGAAATCCAAAATAGAAGACAGTGTGGTGAGAACAGGCTGCTAGCCAATTGGTAGACATTAATTTACGTCAATGTCTATGTCTCTAATATTGGCCGTGAGAAAATGTGAACAAGACTGATTCAACAACCAATCAGAGCAGACTTAACGTGGGCAAATAGGATTCGCAGATATATGGCTTAACCTTCTGAGTAACCAGCCACAAGCAGTACAGAATAACCTTGAGCAAGAAACAACCAATCAGAAGACTGTGTTTGTCTGCTTGAATAAGCTATAATAATGCACATGAAACATATATAAATACGCGCTGATATCCGTAATAAAACGATCTGTTGCCTGGCCCTTGTCTTCTGTTGTTACAACAGTAAACAGAGATATGAGGCAAAAAGAATAGTAATATCAAAGAACAATATAGTTTTTTATTGGGTATTATAAATCATAAGGAGTGGATGCATCTGTGTTATTGTTGTTAATCTTTTGCTACATGTTCCCTACGACGGTACATATAAATGCGTCGGTATTCCAGTGGTAAAGTACCCCCCCCAACCATCCACGTGGTCCAGTGTTCGATTCCCGACTGACTCACTTCTTCATCTTGTTCAGACAGTAGTAGGCATGGTAAGGTGGCAAGGTAAGTTGGACGTGAGGCTTCTGATTCCTCCCTGCAAAGCATTAACATCACTATTAATAAAACTTCATAGCTCAATCTTGAAGTCCTATGTTCCAACTGTAAGGCAAGGGAATAAAATAAAACAATAAATTTATTTTGTAGTAGTAGCACCTACTGACTAAACATTGTCATGAATATTATTTAAAGTTGCATTAAGTACCCTTTAATTGCCTTCGGCAGATTGTTTGACTCAGAGAAATATGAAATCATTTTTTCAAGTATTGGTTGATAGGGATTTGGTTGGTTGCAGGATTTCATCATGAGCTGACATTGGTTAGAGAACCATTGGAAAACCTGCAAAGAGTACTGGACAGCTGTTTCGTCCTGGTTTAAGACTCTTCATCAGTACGCACCCACCAGGGTTCGAACCCTGGACCATTAAGCTCCTGGGTCCCTATCCAATGGCCAGTACGTGAATTCTAACTTCTTCCAATTCACGATATAGCGCAACCGCTAGCCATTGTCTTCGGCGAGTATTTCTAACCAATCAACCAAATCCCTACAGACCAATACTTGAATATTAATGAGGTGCTCACTGACGACTGGCCCTATTCAGGTAGGTAGTTACTTGGGGTTCTAGTGGGAAGTCGTGACCAGTAGGGTGCACCAGATCGGGTTTGAGGACAAATACTCAGAAAACACTGGCTAGCAGTCGCGCTATGTCGTGAATTGGAAGAAGTTGGAATTCAGGGGCTGGCCATTGGATCGGGCCCCAGTGGCCTAATGGCATACGAGCTCGCCTTGTAACCAGAAGGTCCTGGGTTCAAAGCTCGGTGGGTACGTACTGCTGGAGAGTCCAAAACTAGGACGAAACAGCTGTCCAGTACTCCCAGGTTTTCCAGTGGTTCTCTAACCAATGTTGGCTCATAATGAAATCCTGTAAGAAATCATTTTTGTTATCGTCTTCTTTCAAATTGTATCATGTTTTTTTTTTAATATTTCAACAATCGACGAATTATTATCTTCTCTTTCTTTTTTTGCCTTTTCAGTGGCTTACTGTTATCCATTAGTGGAATGGCATCAAGTTTAGCTAGAAATTTAGATTATCTCTCCTTGGATCCTCATTATGAACAACATCAAGATCAGATACGCAGACATCGTACACCAAAAGGATTTGGTGAAGGTATTCAATTAGGATTAAGCAGCTTTGGTCTATGCTTGCTTAGCGCTATAGCCGGAATAGCTGACCAGCCATTACAGGCTATTTTTAAAACGATCGATAATCATCAGCCAAATAATTCTGAATCATGTTCATCATCATCATCACCCTCATCGTCACTAGATATTTTCAATTCTTTGGATGTTGATCAGTCAAGAAATTATAACTTTTTATTATCTACACTTGGTGGTTTTGGTCGTGGACTTGTTGGTGTAGTTACAAAACCAGCGGCTGGTGCTGCAGAATTGATTGCTCAAACTAGCAAGGGTTTACTACATGGTACGAGTAATTCAATAGAAATTACTATTCCAAGTAAATATGGAGAGTAAGTAACAACAGAAAAAAAAGTGAAATTGACCGCTTTACTGATTTCATGCGTATTATTATCATCATTGAATTGCTTTTTGTTTGTTCCTGCATGTTGCTGGTCGATTAGTGTTGTTTTGGTGGTTTTTTTTAAAACTTGCGGCTATTGAAAACCTTCATCACAATGCATATTGCATATAATTTCTTTTATTCAATTAGTTTAAATCTAGTGAACTATGGTATTATCAGCTCTTGTGACCCGATCGGGCTTGCACATTGCAATGACCCAACAAGCTACACTGGCGGGAACAAGTGTTCCTGCAGGTCATTCCATGCCAGGAAGGTTGTTAGGATAGCGAATAGACTAAAAGCAGTTACCGGCATCGTGTAAGAATCTTTCTTACACCATGCTGGGGTCTGTGGGCGAAGTCGTACTGCTGGGGAACAGGGTTGTAACAGAAGTGAGGTGTTTCCCTCAAATGACCAGCATGCCAGCTATGCTGTCTCTCCACTCCAGAGGGAGGGGGTTAGAAAAGGTCGACCCTAACAATTATACATCCCAACTTACCCTACGGTGGTCCGTAACCGACGAGACCAAACCAAGAAACCAGTTCATATAGGCCGTGTGTGACCGGCCTCAAGCAGTTGTCCACCTGGCCTCTGCGGTCACGCGACACTACCCTCTTTCTGTTTCAGGTACCCGAAGAATTAATCAACTCGCACGTGTGGGCAGCCGGGAATTTACAGCCGCCCACACTTCCAAAAGCACACAAACCCTTCCTAAGCATCACTATTCTTTACTCACATCACCTACCTCATCTTGCTCCTCCACTACAGTTAGTACTATTCTGCAGGTTAGTGAGGTATCTTCACTTCACTCTGTGACCACAAACAACGGTGAGAGCCATAAAACACCCCAGATAGCCTTTTAAAGCCACGTCGCCAACTTCATATAGGAGCATTTAACGTCAGGACCCTCTGCCAAATCGGACAACAGGCATCACTTGCAAGAATTCTGGCATCTCGAGCCATGGATGTATGTTGTGTTTCGGAGACACGCATACAAGACCCGAGTGTGGTCATTCATTTAACCTCAACCTGTCAACAAGGTGAATCTGCAAAATTCACTTTAAGGGTATCAGGAGACCCCTCAGCTAGCTCGCGAGGACTCACAGGTGTAGGGTTAGCACTGAGTGTTAGGGCGGAAATATCACTTCTTGACTGGATCCCAGTAGATAGTCGTTTGAACAGGTCCATTAAAAGAAGGAAAGACGGCACTACTCGTCGTTGCCTTTTCGTAGTCTCCGCTTAACCTCAACAGACTGCAGTTCAGATGAACTAAAGGATGACTTCTACCTGAAACTGTCCAATTTGCTGCAAAAAGAAAAATTTTCAGATATAGTTGTTTTAGCAGGTGACTTCAATGCCCAAGTAGGGAAGTTGTGCCAGACTGAGAAGTATGTATGCGGTACTTATGGAGTTCCCTGCGAACGAACCGACAACGGTGATCGTCTTCTACAGTTCTACTCAGATAATCATCTGTTTCTAGCCAGCACTAACTTTAGGTACAAAGAGAAACATTGTATAACCTGGTGACCTCCATCACCAAATCAATGCTGGATTCAGATAGACCACACAGCCATTGGGTATTGTTGGCGAGGGTCAGTAGTAGACTGTCGCTCCTTCTGGAACACGTGCGTTGACTTTGATCACGCTCTGGTTCGCGCACGTTTATGCTTACGACTAAATGGACATAAGAAATTGACGGTAGCGAAACAGTTACATCCCCAACAAGATCGAGACACTGAGTCCTCATTTAAGGAAGAAATAGTGAAACGAGTTTCTGAGGTTGACAGCAGCATATAACACAAGTATTCTTTTTATTACTGTGAAAGACAGGATTTCCAAAGCGTCATGAATCATATTGCACACTACTTTTATCACTCCTTTGTGAAACGAATGTCTTAGGTCAACAGCAGGACTTCCCCTGAGGTAGCCTGGCACAACATACAGTTAGCTGTAGACACAGCTGTAAAAGCTGTTAATAAGCTAAGACGAAAAGTTAGTAAGAGCCATTGAATCTCTACCGCCTCATCCGAATCGATTGACGCAAGAAGACTGATTCCGGCGAGCTTCGATTGTGCTGAGGAGCGAAAGGTACTTAAACGAAAACTAACAAGAAGTCTTCGCAACGACCATGAACAGTGGTGGGCGACAAAAGCGAAAGAGATGGAAAAGGCATCGGCAATTGGTAATATCAGACAACTATTTAGACTTATCAGGAAACGCAGGTGGGAAATGGCAAACGATAAGTGAAACAATTTCTGAGAAGAATGGTACCATAATTAGCTTCCAGGATAGACGACTAGGACGTTGGAAAGAACACTTTGAGGAGTATTTTAAGTGGCCTTCAGCCACGCTCAACTTACTGAAAATTCAACACGTCTCTGAATGGGATATAGACACAGGTCTACCGTCCCCGAATGAGGTCACTTAGGCTATCACTAGTCTGAAATGAGGCAAAGTAGCAGGACCTGATGGAATAACTCTAGAGGTTTGTAAGCACGGTGGAGACAGATTACTGTCTGCGTTAACTGAGGTACTAGGTAGCGTCTGGGAATCAGAGGAAGTCCCGTTGGGTTGGTGTAAGTCATTGATCATCCCGATATACAAGAAGGGAGACAAGTCTTCCTGTGATAATCACAGAGGGATCAGCTTGACTAATATCGTATCTAAAGTTCTAGGTTCAATAATCATGCGTAGACTAAGCGGTGCTCGAGAGGAACAAACACGAGAGAACTAGGCAGGCAGGCTTTAGACCAGGAAGAGGATGTATTGATCATATCTTCCCCCTTCGACGGACTCTGGAACGAAAGATAGGCATACTTACCGTTGGCGTCCATCAATCGTCATATTTCTTGACCTAAAGGCATTCGATTTTGTCGACCGAGAGGTACTCTGGCAATATTTGGCTGTGAAAGGAATGCCGAGAAAATTCATTACACTGATCAGGGTACTCTACTCGAACTCAGGCGAGTCGGCTTCTGAAGTTGTGACAACTAGTGGTGTTCGTCAGGGATGCCCACTATCCCAATTTCTATTCAATTTCATCATAGATGTACTAATGGACTTAACCTTAAGTGACTTCGGTGACTCATGGATTGACTTTTTACCAGGGAGTAATCTCGTTGATATAGTCTTACTAGGTGAGGATGCTGACAAAATGCAGAGTCTTCTGATCATCTTGAGGAACAGCAATCTTCGAATGTTGATACGCGATTTGCTCCCACCAGCTGTAAGATAATGCTTTAGGACTAGACTACATTGAGTCTTAGCTTAGAAATAGGGGGTGAAGTGGTAGAGTGTGTTGACCAAAGGACGTGTGTACTGCTCAGCAGTCCGCTCCATCCTCCTTTATGGCTGTGAAACCTGGCCATTGAGGGTGGAAGACATGAAAAGCCTGGCTAGTTGTCTTTACCGTAAGTGCCTGCGTTCTATCTCCCGTGTAAAGTGGTATGATAGGGTGAGCAATATTGAGTTTAGGCATCGGTTGAGTGCTAGGTAAGGAGGGGAAATCAATCGACCGGGCTGTGAAGCTACATCTACTGAGATGGTTAGGACATATGTTACACATGCCTAACCATCGCCTTCCTCGACGGGCAATGTTAGCTTGCATAGGGTAAGGTTGGAAAAGAGCCAGTGGTGGTCAAACCAAAATATGGTTTCACCAGTCAATAAAATCCACAACAGTTAGTTTAATCTAGCTAGCCACGTAGGAAGGTTTCGACTGCTGTCTGGTTGAGTCCTCGGGACCGTAAGAACCAATGGCTGGTGACAATTGGTGATATGGGTCAAAATCATTCCCAATGGCTGGCGCAGATGCATACGCTCCTTGTGATTTATAATATCCAATAAAACTATATTGTTCTTCAATATTACTATCCTTTTCGCCTCATATCCCTGTTTACTGTCTCCCTTTTGGATTTCTTTTACTTTTATCTCTTGCTTTGTGTGTTATATGGAGTGCGGCAACTCAAACTGCTGCACATCGGTACAAAGTTCTACGTTGAAGTCAGTCAGCCAGTCACATGACTGTTCCTGAGTAGTTTCCTTGGTTCATTATATATATATATATATATATATATATATAGGGCTCCAGGAGAGTTGGTGTATTATGCTGCATTGAAATTTTTGATAGCTCAGTGATTTAAGCGGGTTACTGCTAACTAAATACTATGTTAGTTAGTGCGATACTTCCTGGACGCCCACACCGTGGCCCGCAGTTGTCTTAAGCGGCCACCCCCGAGCCTTCAACTTGAAGTCTCATCCTCAAGGCAGAGAAGCAACATCAGGAGCTTTTTTTTCCCATAGTTGCTAGTGAATAGTACAAATGCATAAGCTATTAGATCCTTTTGGATTCTGCAGACCATGTACACCATAGCACCTGCTTTTAGCCTAACCGCTATCCAGAAAACTTTTTTGACACAGTAGGGCCCACAGGAATATAAGTTTCAACCGGTGTAACTTATTGGATCATTTTAGTATGCAAACCAAATCACCATATCGAGAGAGCAGTTATCGGCCGGGAACTAAACACTAGATTACAGGTTATTTGCGTTATTCTTATGCCTGATTGTTTTAACGTAGAACTTTTGCACAAAACTCCATGAGTTCAAGCTGCCGCACTCCATCTACGACACATTGGGAGACACAAGAGAGGAAAAAGATATACAAAAGAACAACAATGAATAGAATTAGTAACGTGATAGAGAAGATTTGTAGCTCAGGTGGATAAATTTGATGTGGTTGTATTCTTTGAGCTAAATAGTTAATTTGCGAAGCCTTCATTGCCCTACCACTAGGCGACATCTTCAGCTCATACTTCAATTCACTGAAGTGAGCTTTTAGGTTTCTCTACGAGTTTATTAATCATCTCTCCTGGTGACCTTGGACGTGACTGGTTGTTTTTGTGTGTTTTCACATCTAGGCTACTTGTGTTGGAACTGGTTGTTCCTTTGACTTGAACTTTGACCCTATGTGTGTGTGTGGTTTCTTTCTTATCGGTTGATAAATATTCTCTATCTCGATGTGTCTATTGATTGATGATTCATTGGAATGCTAAGCTTCTAAAAATTCTCTAGCACTCTTGTTGTTTCCTACAACCAGGTATTCTAAACCTCCTTATGTCGTCGGCTCAAGCTAAATGTCAAAGACTTCATGGATTGATGCAGAATGTTGACCATTAACCATTCTCAGCTCTTTTCCAACCTAATCTTATATTTGTCAGCTAACATTGGTTGGCGTGGAAGGTGGTGGTGGCTCAGCATGCATAACATTCCTGTCAGCCATCTTACTCGACTTAGCTTCACAACCTCATCGATTCGTTTGCCCTCCATACCTAACACTCTACGCCTAGCCCTGATTTTACTCAGCATATTATACCGCTTAACACTTACTATGATAAGTGAATAAGCAGATAAGTCGTTACCTGGGGTTCTAGTGAGAAGTCGTGACCAGTAGGGTGCACCAGGTCGGGTGTGAGGACAAATACTCGCCGAAGACATTAGCCATCGCTCGCGCTATCTAGTGAATTGGCAGAAGTTAGAATTCATGGGCTGGCCATTGGACGGAGTCCCAGTGGTTTAATGGTATACGAGGTCGCCTTGTAACCAGAAGGTCCTGGGTTCGAACGCAGTTGGTGGGTGCGTACTGCTGAGGAATTCCAAACTAGGACGAAACAGCTGTCCAGTACTCTCAGCTGGTTTCCCAATGGTTTTCTAACCAATGTCGGCTTATGATGAAATCCTGTAACCAATCAAATCCATACAAACCAACACTTAAATACGATTTTATTTTGTATATACACAAATCTTGATGATGTATATTGCAAAATAAACTCATCATATCCGCTTTATTTTTAGTCCTTATACTTCATCTGAAATTGGTTTACGTTTACACTATCAAAATGTAGACTGTATGATAATTTGTCATTGGAGTTCATTAGCATTACAATGTACACAGCGGGATATAACATCATCATCAGCAACAGCAGCATTAAATATTTCTAAAGAAGATTCATTAATTTCTGGTTGGTTTACAAGTGCTATCTATAATCATGATACTCATGAAATGGTTACTTGGTTATCTGCATCATTAGATCAGGCAAGTTCAATATGATCGTTTTTTTATTTTTTTCTTTCCTTCACGTTCTCCAGTGGAACATAGGCCTCCAAGCTATTGGCTTGAAGTTTCTGTAGCAGTGTTTATTTTCACAGGATGGGGTTGCTAGCCTCATGCCCAACCTTTCCTCTTTACCAGAATTATTTCTGGCTTAGCTAGGTAAAGGAGTGCGTCTGTGGCCGTGGATCGAACGCCGGGCCATATGCATGGTCGGCGAGCCTAGTAACCGCTATGTATGCCACCGACGCACATTTTTTTTGTGTTAACAGTTAAAATTACATTATGAAAATATCTAGTTTTAGATTTAAGCTTCCACTATATCAAGGTAAAGGGGATACTCTTACTTATTGTACTACCTGACCTAGAATTCACTTATCTGTTGGTTACCTGAATATTCTGGGATTCTATTCCTCGTGAGGTGATGCATCCACACCTGCTCTGATGATCACTCCCAAAGTAGAATAAAAACACTTGTTCATATCTACAGACTGTACAGATTAGAATGTCGAAATCAACCAAGATCGGAATGTGTACACAGACGTTCATGAATCTCAAATCACCGCAGAAATCTACTACATTCGGTGTGATCAACAAGATCCAGTTTTTTTTTCAACACTTATGTCAACTTCATCAGTGATTTTGCAAAGTTCAGTGACTTGGCTGGAATGTATGTGTCATCGAAAGTATTTCCAATAGGATTTTAGACTTTGTCAATGAATCAGCCCTAGAATCCTTCTCTTAACAAATATACAGAAAGAAATGGCAATGCATTTTCATACTCTGTAAGGACTGTTAACTAGCATCACACTTCAAAACACCCTCAAGTTCTACATGAATAGGAAATAATGAGTTAGGACAAAGTTATACTTTAAGCACCACTAAACTGCCAATCAGAAAACGGCCTCGAAAGCACCAATCACGTGAAGGAGGCATTTTTGTGTATGGATTACACATATATTTATGAAAAAATTGCATAAAAACTGTACAAAAGTGTAATAGAGGATAGCTTCCTCTCACATGGAATAAAAATAGTTCTCAGTTTTAGGTTGGAGTATCAACAGAGTTATAATTCCCTTGTGGGTAAAATTTATTTTGATAAAGTTTCATAGTGTTATGCAGCAATAGATTGTGCTCGAAACATGGTCATCAGTAAATATTACTACTGTATAACAACACTGTGAGACTTTATCAGAATAAATTTTACCCACAACTGAATTAAACTACACCATAGTGCACAAGTTCTATTCTTATGTCAACAGAGTAATTTAACCACATTCTATGCATGTAATTATTTAGGTCTTCTAACCCTAACAACAACCCTAATCTGTACTGGATCTAAACTAACTGTAATCTAACTCAAACCAAAACTACTGTTGCCTTTGTTATATTAACCTAACCCTAACTCTTGTCCTTGGCTTGAAGAATAACTTAATCTTTCACAAACTTAAGCTGAAACTTACCAGATATCCTATTTAATAGCACAATACTTCGATGAGCTTATTTTATTAATGATGACACAATATTATTTGCTGGGTTCCACTAACTTGCTCAGTGAGCTTTTCAAAGTCATTGGTGAGGTCGCACTCCATTGGTACTTAATGGTGCTTAAAGTTTAACGTGACCTGATTTAGATAACCGAGGCCGACATAGAGGAGATAATGTTTGTTTAAGAAATGAAAGTTTATGGCGGTCAATCAGTCATGCAGTCAACTATAAAAGGCATTAGAGATTAGCGCTAAACGGAGATGTACTGCTCAGGCTCATGCTGTTTGTTCCACTTGGAACTTGAGGGATTATTTAATAATAATGCGACTGAGAGGTTTCATTCACTACACTTCACACATCAAGAAAAAGATATATATATATAGCGAGAGAGAGAGAGGAGTGAGTGAGTAAGTAAGTAAGTAATCATATTAGATGTTTTGAGGCAATCGGCCGCAAGAAGCCTTGCTTGACCTAATTTTCGTGCTAGTTGACACTCATCAGTCAGCAAGGCATATCTACAACCTTGAAGGGACTCATATCCCTTCTAAGATTCGAACCCGCGTCACCCAGTGAGTACTGTAGTCAGGGACAATACTTTTTTTAAAAATAATTTTGGATATATATAAATGCAGAATCTGACGAAGAAGAAGAAGGAGTTATCGAAAAGAAAATATTGTTTGTTCAAAAATCAATCTTTCAAATTATTATTTGGTTTGATTGTCCTTTCTGTTGTTTTTTTTATTTTCAGCATCTAGTATGCACATCTATAAATGAAGGCGAAGGCGATTCACCTCACTTCTCTTGGTTTAAAACATTCCCTGACAGAGTGTTAAATAATTTTGTCAATAAATTAATTCCCCTCACCTATAAACACTTGAATGTAACTGAGTATTCTACGATAGCCAACAATTCTATGCTGAAAACATCTATGCCCAGTAATCCGCTAACTATTACTTCTTTGTCTACAAGTCTTCCGTTTATTTCACCGACTGATTCTTGCAAATGGATTGAACATATTCAGCAATTCAATTCTAGCAACGATCTACACTGTCTAACATCAATTATTGAAAATTTTTGGTTAACAGAAGAAGACAAAATGAAAGAATCTACCAGTGGAAAGCAACATATGGATGCTAAGTGTAATTCATCAGAAAATCTCCCTTGTATAAATGATGATTCTTTTGATTCGAATCGATCAGATATTCATTCGTCTGATATCCTTGTCTGTGATGATCAACAGCGTAGTTCTAGATGGAAACGAGTCAGAGAATACTTGATGGGTATTAGTCCATCAGATTTGATTCATATCTAAATGTCCCAAGCGTCCTGTCCTCTCTGAACCACAAAAGAATAATCACTTGCCTGTAGGAATTTATTTTTTTGTTTGTTTGTTTGTTTATCTATACAGCCTTTGTGAGAAAATGCCTGACATCTTTCCTCTTTGTCTACTGCTTTGATGAAATAGTCGTGTGTGTGTGTGTGTTCACACAAACTTAATGTGATAACTATTTTTGTTTGTTTTTTTTTCTCGTTATGAACGTGTTTCTATTTCCCAGCTTTTGATAAAATAGTCAATATTTTCTTTTTCAGTGTGATATATTTTCGCGGTTTGTACTGTCTTTTAAAGAAAAAAAATATTTTAATGAATATAATTTTTCTTACGAGCACAGGGTTCGAGTGAGCCTCAGTGGGGATATTTTCAATCATTCACTAGGGGAATGCAGGTACATCCAGGTGACGAGTCCCAAATAGGACGAAGTGTGCGTTATCCACTGCTAATCATCATCATCCACCAATTAACTTATTATTATTATTATTATATCCTTTAATTCTTAGAGGAACATAGGGCTTCAGCCGCACGCCTTCATTGCGTCCGGTCCTCTGCTAAAGTGTTTACCTGGCTCCAGGTTTGCCCACATGCTTTCATCTCCTCTTCACATGACCTCCTCCAAGTCACCCTTGCACTGACGACGACCAACTCGCCGCTTCCCTTTCGGGTTCCACTCGAGCGATGGCTTGTCTAGTGATGTCACTTGATGGTTTCCTCAGAGTATGGCCAATCCACCTAACTCCATTTCTTCCTGCTTATTTGTTCCACAATTGGTTCCTGGTTGGTTGGTCCATTGCCAGAAATCCCTGTTGTTGATCTTTTCTGGCCATCTAATCTTGAGTATTCAGCGAAGAAAGCTATTGATGAGAGTCTGTTGTTTGTTCGAAGTGGCCTTCGTGACGTGGCTCGGCGCCAACTATGTGATCCGTGGAGTAGCGCTGACTTCACATTGGAATTGAAAATCCGGATCTTATTTTTGATACTGAGTACTGTTGACCTCGACACAGACTTGAGGGTAATGAAAGCTTGTCTTGCTTTTTCCATTCTTACTTTGATATCCTCGTCAGTTCCACATGTAGCTGAATTCGACAGCTGTGCTCACCCTGGAGAAGCCTGGAAGAATATTCAGTCAGCTATAGATACAGCTGTAAAAGCTGTGAATAAGGCAAATCCAAAGGTGAGTAAAAACCACTGGATTTCGACTGCCTCATCCGAACTGATAGATGCTAGAAGACTTATTCCGGCGAGCTCCGAATTCAATGAGGAGCGAAAGCTGCACAAAAGGAAACTTACTAAAAGTCTCCGCAAGGACCGTGAACAGTGGTGGGTGACAAAGGCAAAGAGATGGAAAAAGCATCGGCGATAGGCAACACTAGGCAACTCTTTAGACTCATCACAGAATCGGGTGGGAGAAGGCAATTCATAAGTGAGACTATTTCTGAGAAAAATGGCTCCTTAATTAGCTCTCAGGATAGACGCCTTGAACGCTGGAAAGAACACTTTGAGGAACAATTTAACTTGCCTACAGCCACACTGAACCTCCCCGCCATCCACCACACACCCGAATGGGATATAGACACTGGTCCGCCGTCTGTAGGTGAGGTTACAAAAGCTATCAGTAATTTGAAACGAGGCAAAGCGGCAGGACCCGACGGAATTATTCCGGAGGTGTTTAAATATGGGGGTGACATACTAGTTTGTAGATTAACTGAGGTACTAGGCAAAGTCTGGGAATCAGAGACAGTACCATCAGACTGGGGTAAGTCACTTATTATACCGATATTCAAGAAGGGAAACAAGTCCTCGTGTGATAATCATAGGGGGATCAGCCTAACGAACATAGTCTCTAAAATCCTAGGCTCAGTAATCATGCATAGACTAAGCAGAACTCGGGAGGAACAGACAAGGGAAAATCAAGCAGGCTTTAGACCAGGTAGAGGGTGCATAGATCATATCTTCACTCTTCGACAGATTCTAGAACATAGACACACTTTTCGGCGTCCAACAATTGTCATATTTCTTGACTTGAAGGCGGCCTTCGACTCCGTGGATCGAAAGGTACTATGGCAATGTCTGACTGTGAAGGGAGTGCCAAGAAAGTACATTGCACTAATCAAGGCACTCTATTCAAACTCACGTAGTCGTGTAAGGGCTTATGGGGAATTGTCATCTGAATTGGTAACAACCAGTGGTGTCCGACAGGGATGTCCACTTTCCCCATTTCTGTTTAACTTCATCATAGATATGCTAATGGAAGTATCCTTAACTGAACGTAATGACTTAGGAATCGACTTGTTACCAGGGAATAATCTTATGGACTTAGAATATGCAGATGACATAGTCCTGTTAGGGGAGGATGCTGACAAAATGCAGAGTCTTCTGAACACCTTGAGCAGCAATCTTCGTATGTTTGGCATGCGATTCGCCCCTGCAAAATGTAAGATGCTGCTACAGGACTGGACCCCGTCAACCCCTAACTTAGTGATAGGGAGTGAAGTGATAGAACATGTTGACCACTTCACCTACTTGGGAAGTTGTATTAGCACCAACGGACTGATTGGCGATGAAATCTCAGCACGGATCCGAAAAGCTCGAGCTGCTTTCGCTGACTTACACCATCTCTGGCGTAGGCGTGACATCCGGTTATCAACCAAGGGACGTGTGTACTGCTCATCAGTTCGCTCCGTCCTTCTCTATGGCTCTGAAACATGGCCAATACGCGTTGAAGACATGAAAAGGTTGACTGCTTTCGATCATAGATGTCTGCGATCTCTGTCTCACGTTAGGTGGTTACACAAGATAAGTAATGTTGACGTTAGGCGTAGAGTGTTGGGCAAAGAGGGAAAATCAATCGACGAGGCTATAAAGTTACATAGACTAAGATGGCTAGGTCACGTGCTGCGCATGCCTAACCACCGCCTCCCCCGACGGGCTTTGCTAGCTGACATAGGTGAAGGTTGGAAAAGAGCCAGTGGTGGCCAAACAAAAACATGGCCTCATCAATCCATGAAATCCTTGACAGTTAAACTGAGTTAGGTAGGGAGATGCAGACTCCCGGGTTGGGGCCCTCGGGACTCTAGGAATCAATGGCTAGAGACAATAGGTGACATGGCTCAAAATCGTTGTCAATGGCGCAGATGTATTCAGTCTCTGTAATCTTTCATATTCCTTTCTACAATTACCCATTCTGTTTCACTCTTATATTTGTCAAACTCTATTGATTCTCTTCACTCATCTTCTTGTCTACCTTGTGTGCCAATTGGAACGTGGCAACTCGAACTGCTGCACTTCGGTGCCAAGTTCTATGTTGAATCCAGACAGACAGACATGTAGTTGAAACGATGCTTCCCAGGTCGGATGGTAAAGCAGGTTGTTTCTTTCAGGTTTCTGCAATTTATGCTGTATTTGTCTGTTGTTGTTGCTGTTGGTGTTGGCCAGGAATCTTCATCACCTCCGTTTTCTCTATGTTTACTTGGAGTCCTTTCTTTGATGCTTCTTCTGCCAATTTGTTGCTTTTCACTTGCATATCTTCCAGTTTGTGGGAAATCAGACACATCATATATACATATATAATTATATGTATTATAAAACAAACTGGCGAAGTTAGAGTATGATAACCACAGTCTAGGTTCTTCAAAGTTGACCCTGAATGGCCAATCAAATTAATCGGACGCTTCTGCAGATCATTCCAAACAGCAATCATGCCTGCCTTTATATATTAGGTTAGTGAGTTCCACGAAGATCTAGCATTCTAACTATAGTGTTAATAATGGTTAATTGGAGTGATTAAGAGTTGACTTTATGGAAATACTATGACGGTAAAGCGTGCGTCCGTGGCTTGGCGGTAGTGTTCGCCGACCATTCTTATGGTACGGGTTCGATCGCCGGTCGACGCACTACTTTATCTCGCTAAGTTGGTAAAGAGGGATGGTTGGGCATGAGGCTGACAACCACACTCCTTAAATAGACATTACCACTGCTACTGAAACTCCAAAGCTCTAGCTTGAAGCAAACTTCTGTTCCACTGGGAATGTAAAGGAAAAATTAATGACGCTTAAGAAATACAACCTTGTTGGAGATAAATTCTGCTATAAATGTAATTCATGTTATAAGAGAAAATCTGTTCGGGATATTTTTTCCCGAAGTCTAAGCTGTCTTTTGTGGATATCCTACACCACATGTGCTCTTGGACAAAGAGCTGTAAGGACAGCAGCAGCTGAGACAGAAAACAGCCTGGTCTCTACAGTGCAGTGTCACCAACATTGTAGAGAAATATCGTTGTGGAAGTTGAAGGGGATTGCTGGCTGTTGTGGAGGAGTACGAATAGTCGTTCACATCGATGAAACTATCCTCACCAGAAAGAAGTACAACAGGTGAAGGAGAAGGCTAATCAAGTGTGGATGCTTGGAATCTACGACACTTCACTTCGCAAAGGTATCGTGGAAACAATACTCAACAGAAGTGATGGGACATTAGTCCCAATTATTTAGCGCTTGGTAATACCAGATATAATCACAGGTACTGATGAACGGAGGAGATGTATAACGAACTGTCACAAAATACCGTGATTTTTAGTCACATCGATGAATACATCTATCGGGTGTACCACTTTTTCCGCATCTGAATTCTGATTGGTTGTTCTGACTACTCCGAAGACATAAGGGCGTGACTTATTCCTTGCGTTTTCATCCTAGTGATAGATACTAAACGACCTGTTACCAATGTGTCATGGTAACCAACATGTATCAGATCCTTTGTATTTCCCAATGAATGAAAAACAAAACGATATTGCTGTCTTTACTGACGTTTCGCTATTTAATGCTGCTGCTAATAGCTTTATCAAAGTAGTATTATTAAACCGGAATTTACAAAATCTCCTCAGCTTATATATAACAAAGAGTTAAGAGGTGAGAAAATAGACAAGTTAGGTCAAGTTAAAAAGGACATATTGAAAGTCAAAATAACAATGAAGATTAATCACT